AGGAACAACTTCCAATAGTAATGTAAATATCCACAACACCTTGTCAGGTAATAAAAATGTCGAATACTATTTCAGAGCTAATTAAAACACAAAGGGCTTTCAGTTGACATAATAAAACGTCGCTGCCAGTATACTCTGAACGACGCCCTAAATAGTTTAGCAACTACCCGCCTGTAATTATTGCCACGGGGAACCCGACGGCGCGTGGCGACCGGCTACTGATGTGCCCAGGGCTGTCACAAGTGCAATTGCCACAACATGTATGTTTCAATTGCTCAGCCATGTTCATCATGAACAAAAGCGTTCGGAGTATCGGGACATTTTTGTTTCGTATTGTTCCAATTTATCACCGTCACGCTACAACAAACAGCACCGAAATAGCAAACCCGGGACAAACTCGGCCAGTAATCAAAGGACGGAATCAAAACGGCGGCACCGCAACAGCTTTGATGTTTCTTTGTAAATTTGTTCTGATGCCATTCCTATGGCTTGATTTACATACCAGCCTATACGGTTCCTTTAGAAATAACTTACTTTATATTAAGTATTTCAAACGCGTCAACTAGCTCTGGTTTTCTGTTAAGACAGTTTGTAAACATAATATTCTTATAGAAGAATTTTAAAACTTCAGAGAAATTTTCAGTTTGTTATTAAAATATCCAGGCTTGGAGAAGACGTAGACCATAATATCGGGTTTCTATTGGTAAATTCTTATTTATAACATTTATGAGGTGGAACGAGTATTTACACTAAACTCTTTTGTTGGGGAAGCAATAAAGTTTAGCCAAAACGTTTGGAAACGTCACGAAACCGTCGAAAGCGCTGTGATTAACGAGCTGGTGACATTCTGTTCCCTTCCTCTCCTAACGTCCTCCGTAAGATGTTCTGGTGCGATACAATAATAATGCGGTATCTTCAATTTCACAGCCATCCTGTTTTCCAAAGTAGCAAGTTTACTGTTCGATGCGTTATCATTTCTGAAAATGCTTAAAAACATATTTTCTCCGAGTTGTGAACTCCTCATAATGAACTACTTATTTTTGATACTTGTAGCACATCTTTCCCTATCGTGATCGCAATTTGGTAGATGTGACAGTCGACAGACACATTACAAAATGAAATTGTTGCTGAAATGAGTTTGTCTGGGTTTAATTGGAAAACTGCTAAAGTAATATATTAATTTTAGTACCAGTGCATAGGTATACATATACATTATACATAGGTCTCTTTCAACTTTGATATTAAGATTTCTAAAGCAATTTCATTAAAATGTGGATTGTGGAATAAGTTTATCGTCAAGAACAAACGTTTTAATTGCAGGTGCAGAGTGACTGGCTCTCTTTAGCGACTCAAATATGAGTGTCAATTTTAATAAGATATTACGTATCGTATTCCCAGAGTCGCGGTGTCGCGGACGTAGGACGGGCGGACAGACATGAAAGGATTTCAGACGAGTCTATTTTCACCCGCTTTGAACCATCGGACGTATTTGTTTGTTTGTATTCGCAACTTTCAAGTTGAAGGGGAATGTGCGACGGATTATGATATTGCTAACTTTAGGACGAATTTATTTCGTAATTTATAGCGTGTCATATTTATTTTTAGGTCGACAGGTCGACAGTTAAAGGGTTAAGTTTACGATTCTGAGGAACTAATTCTGGACACCCCTTTTAGCCATCGGTATGTTGATTATTAATAAAAAGTAATTGAACTGAGTTTGTCCCTTGAACATTTAATTTAACTGACTATTCTTACTACATTAAACAATCCCAAAACTAATTTCTGAATAAGATCAGTTCCAAAAGTAACATTGAAAGAAACATAACATTATTTGGACATCTGTTACAAATTATTCGAGCGGACAAGCAACGTGAATGTCGGGTAAACGCCACTAAAGTTGGGGGTACGTGATCGGCATCCAATAGATTCGGCCTCGGTCTCGGCATCCCGATCACGCTTAACAAATTCCCGATACTGCGGGACCGCGGCGTGATTGTCACGGTTGACGATCCCTGTAACGAAACGTCACGTGCATCCTAGTCCCTACACACTATGTAAATGTGTGGACGAGTTGACTGCGACATGAGTAATCGTGAACATTACTGCATAGCTCTGTTAAATATTTATTATAATCGGAATTTGTCAGTGTAAAGAAAGGCTTTTACCCTAGCTTGACTACAGCTATGACAGTCTAAATGAAAACATATAGGTAGCACCACGGGTAGCACTCATATAATTGTGTAATATGTAACGGAACAATGTGGGCGACACAACACAACACCATTACGGAAAACAAGGACTTTTTATATATTTGCCGGGTGTCTGACTCCATATGCCCTTACCATCAATTCACATTGACGTAATCCAGGACCGACAACTCGGTGACAGTTTTATGTCGGTGATAAATTATTTTTCTGTTTCATTCTCATTTTCGCGTGTGTCGTCAAAATATTTATGGTGTACAAACAGATTTAAAAACGTTCGTGACAACCTGGGTCATTCGCACGCGAATCAAAGAAGCCGCTGTCTTTGATCTAGTCGACTGAAACTGTTCTACGCGTAATAGTAGGTACAGCTGAAAATATTATTGAAATGTTTTTTTATTCGGTCAACGGACCATGTATAGCAATCGTGTAATGGGCGACATCAGTTTCAATGAATGCTAACTGTAACAAGTACAAGATTGCGCTTCGTGTATCTAATAAACTAGCTTGTTCACTGGTCGAGTAAACCATTACGTTGATAGGGTTGGCAAACACTACAGAACACCAAGATACGATCCATGAACAACTTCATATAACATTCAGTTTTATTCGATAAATAGAATTATAATTCTGATTAAGTCATTTCTTTTTAATTGTCCGTTTTAATTCAGCTATTTGGATTCAACTGACACTGTCGTATAACATTTATTACCGAAAGCTTATGTTTTCTTTAAAAAAATACTACAAAATAACACAAGAATTTTGCTACAATTTTAACGTCGAAGTGTTTTGCTCTGAAGTCTAAGCTCATTGTGTCGCGAGTGTGGTGAGTACACACGCTCGCTAGATTCATCACTGCCACACTATAAATTCCAGAGCATTTTATTAGATTGTAACATCTTAATAAACCCACCACATGTTCGTATACACGGTACAATCGACAACTTTATCACATTTTAGTAACAATACACTACGCCTTACACCTTCTATTATGAATATGAGCAAAGGTGTGTTAGATTGTCTAAATATCTACTACCTATGCACTTATATATTTTTCTTTTATCTCACTGGAGATGTAATATTTGGTGAATGGCTTTAATATTTATATCTAAAACTTTGATACAGTCAAATATAATTTGTCTGAATAATTTGTTTTATTCATCTTTTAATAGTGATATCCTGTGAGCACCGGATGGAATGTCGCCATAAATAAATTCTGAGGGTTACAAAAACATTTTTTGTTTTAGAATTCTCAGTTTCCTTCAATTTAAGATTTTTGTCGAAGAATGTGGAAGCTTAAAACTAATATGTATACTACAAACTGATACTATTTCAAGGTATATAATTGAATGCCTCTATAAACTCTGTTAATTTCTTTGCAGCTAATAAAATCCCTTCGCTGTCATCAGATCGCCGAGCTATCTACATAAAAGTTTATAGGTTCATAACATTAACGTTAAATGTGTTCACTGTTTCAGGAAAAACCCCATGAAATACTGCATAGGTTTTATTCCGGCTACTTTTTGATGTCATTACCCTGTCCACCCCCACAGTAAAATGGCTGGCGCTGTTATTAAGCCATTATATTGGATAGCGGTGCCTTGTCATCTAGTACCAATTACACTCCTATTCGTGGTAAACAACATTTTCATGTCAAATTACAGACCAGTCTATTTGTCAATTAATCATTTTTCTATTCATAGAAAGCATATTGTTTTATATCGGTTCAATTAATTGACAAAGCCCTTTTACTAGGGGTTAAGTACGTTTAATGGCTGGTTTAACGAGCAGCCACTTTATTTAGATTGTCTCCGTCTCGACCCCGGTTGGTTGTGACGTACAAAATCACCGGATGAATTAGGGCTGTAGCTTCATTATCGTATCGATTATATCAACAAGGATAACAGCATTTATATCTAAATCCCACTGAGTTAACTCGTATGTATCTACTACTCGATTGTATTGAATGTCTTGAGAATACTAGTCAGTGGTTATAATAAAAGTTTATCGAAGTCATTTATGAATATAACAAAGTATCGATGGTGGCACGTAACTTATTCAAACAGTGTCGCGGGGGAGGAAGCGGCCGTCACGCGGTGTTCCCTAACAAGACGGAATTAAATACGAATGTATTAGTGCACGGTGTTCGTCTCTTCTTACACGTTTTAATAATTTAACTTTTATTCACTCGACGCGCTTTCTGGGAACGGACCGCGCTGTGACGCGATTCTTGATTAGAATCGACGCGTCGACTCGAATAACTTTCTTAGCATAATATTTCAATAACACAGGAAGACTCACCACCGAGGAAATCATAGATGAATTCGTAGATGTCAACGTCTCCTTTATTTGTTTTAGATGAAACGTTACATCAAAGACACGGACGGACACTATAAAAGGAACTCAAAAGAGTCGCGTGGCTTTTGTGGTTTCTGTAAACTACCATTATGTTGAACAAAATATTGAATGACCTCGGCAGACGCAGATAAAAATATACGACGACCGAAAACTTTTGGGGAAGCGATAAATCTATTTAATTAGTCAATTTAGCTTTCGAGTGAAAACTTTGATTGGAAATCTTTGGGGATTAAGAATATTTAGCGGTTGAGTAGACACCAGGTGCGATGCGGAATATCCGTGTCCGCGTTAACGAAGGATTCCTACATGGTTAAGCGGTACGTGCCTGATATGACACGGTCAGCGGCGCGCAAGGGGAAACGTAATCGATTGGATCGAAGCTTTAACATGCAGCACTACAACACTGGAAAATGCGGTCAAGTGATGAAGATTAGGTACCTTCTCACATACGCTGCGACACGTCCCCTCGGCTTTGTCACAGCAAGCTGTTATGTCTGGAACAAAATTAGAAACATGAATACAGAATGTTTTATAGCATGCAAGTTATTTGTATAGGCGAGGGATCAGTCGGCTGGAGCACAACAGCTGGTGCCAGACCACAATAAAGTAGCTGTGACAGTTACAGATGACGGTATAAAGCTTTTGATCTATTTCCTCTAACGACCGCTTTTATTCATATCACTCCCAGTTATTGCACGATTTAGATATCGAGATGAAAACGAACCTCAAACTAATGGACGTTCTTGACCTGAAAATTCTGATTCACAAGCTGATTCATTCAATGTTTGTATATACCCTTAATAGATTTAAATCCTTAAATAATATTTGAGCCCACCATCTCACGAGGAAAACACTTTGGATCATTAAAACCAATTCTTATTACCAGATTTCCAAATAATAAACTGAAACAGGCGTACATTGAATAAATCCAAAATTATAATGCAAGCGTCTATATTTTGCTTGATACGAACGTAATTACTTTCAATAACAGAGAGAAAGCAGTAGATATTTACAAAGTTGTTGGCAAACCAGTTTAATAAGCCAATCCCCCGAGAGCCCGATTTTGTTAGAACCAAATTATAGGAAGCATACCGGATCTAGCATATCTACGTATAGTCAGGGTAGGTCTACACTATCGCGCTCTCGGATCTCAGTGCTCCTAGTACAAATATTTGAACGGACTGTAATCAAATTTGATTCGGACGTTTCTGTGCTGCTTTACGGGTCTGGGAACCGAGTCCTATAACGATCTGCTTATACAATAATACAATAACCCGTTATTCTTAGGTGAAGTTGTGCTCCTAGTCCTACAGAGCCGTTTGTACCTAACGTTTTAACAGAAAGTCGATAAAATGTTAAGATTCATCTCTGACTGCTTTCTTGGACTGGAAAGAGCTCTCTAAACATTAATCAAACAAAAGTTGAAAAAATATTCATCTGAACTAACTTAGACTAGCCGATAGTGTACACCGACCTCTTTGAAGGGATAACTCAGTTCAGACCTGTGATTACACTGTCGCTAAACCGGATAATCACATCATATTCTATACAGCTATGTCTTCACTATAACCTATATTACTAAAACCTTATAAGACACCGATGTTGCCACTCAACGCAAAATATAGTTGTAAAGGGCTATTAATAATTTCCGCTTCATGCCAGCAACGCGATAAGGGTATTTACTGATCGAATTCCAAGCGAAATGCTTCTTGAAATTACGAGAAAAGTTGAGTCGGTGCCCTGGAAGCTAAACCACACTCAATACTACAGTTTGGCGCCTTTCCGCCCTGCTTATGTCATAATTTAAATGTATGACGGTCTCTTAGATCAAAAAGAAATTAAGTTCTATTGAAATGAAATGAAATACAAACTTCTTTCATCGTATTCCTTTTTTAAAATCTGTCTCAGTTGCTAGATTCTCATTTTTCTGTGAGAGCTCAGTGACTAGCGAAACTTTATTACGTATTTTTAAATTAAATCAACTTCTGTTAACTAATTGATTTAAGTATTTCTCTTTGTACTACCTTAACTTTTCTCAAAAGTACTGAGGGAGTCTTGCCTCGGGATAGAATTTTATTTCGAAGACGATTTATAGAAACATGATATTACTATTAACTCGTCGAGTACCGGTTTTATAGACACAATTAAAGAACAATAGGTCGCGGTCACCGGTGACCGCTTGGTGTTTGACAGTTTAAATGTCTTTCATTTGGTACAATCTTTTCATGTTGAAACATTTTACAGAACACAGAATAGATCAGTCACAAAGATAACTAGCTTAATATTTTACATCTTTGCATTGCAGAGAAAATGCAATACAGAACAATATTTACAGGGAATATAAGAGAAATAACTTACGTTGCGAATTTACACAGGCCAGTGTAACGAGCAGGAATATAAAGCTAGATTTAAGCATATCGTCCTGCCTTCTTCGAAATCTGCTGCAACTTTTAATGGTCTCGCCCATATTTTCCAATACAAGCGTTGCAATATTCTTCTACATCTGAAACATGAAATTGCTTAACTTAATGTAACGTAGAAACTTTTTAATGACGTAAACATTAAATAATATTTTATTATGTACTAACTACTTCCGCGCGGTTTCACACGCTCTGCTTAACTCCTATTGGTCGTAGCGTGATGTTTTATAGCCTATAGCCATCCTCGAAAAATGCGCTACCCAACACAAAAATAATTATTCAAATCAGACTTGTAGTTACGGAGATTAGCGCGTTCAAACAAACAAACAAAAAAACAAAAACAAACTCTTCTGCTTTATATATTAGTATAAGAGTATAAAATATAAGATAAGATTTCATGAAATCTAGGAAATCTTCTAAAAGCCTCTCTAAATCAAATCAAATTAAACAGAAATATTATGTCAAAATTAATTATTCTCATGTTTCCCAGGGCTTTTCCTTTATTTACTTGAAAAGGTATTAGATATTTATCAATCTCCCAAATATTTAATTTGCATTGAACGTAAGTCATTTGATAGAATCAGAGTCTTATAAATAGATAGGGCACTACTAAATACTGTGTAAACACAATACAACTACATTGAGTCATCGCAGATAGGATCGCCAATAAAATCAATAGCATCAATAAATCAAGCAATCCCTACGTGATTGATGCCCGATTAAGTACACTCGCATCCACTGCTCATAGTGATGGACACATTTAATTTTTATTACTGCAAACAGTGATTTAAATCGACTATAAATGGAAAACAAGTACCTACTAAAGCTAACTACAATGTCTCGGCATAATTAAAATAAACATAAAAATAATGAACCCTCCACATTTTGTGGGCCGTTAACAAATCATATTAGCGTCTAAACATAGTAGTTTATGGGCCCTACCGGCGTGTAACGTAAGCTTTTGATATCAAAGTCGGTGAGAGGAACAGTCGTTAATTTATCACATTACCGCCTTTATCGCCGTGTTGGGACTAATTAGAGCGCGTTCTCGTTTACAAGTACGACACGGCTGAGACTCGTACGTTGCACTTGATTAAATGTAATAGAGAACAGAGATATTTGGCAGTTTACATCGGCACGCGTAATTGAACATTTTACGAGTCTGTAAACGTTGTGTAAAGTGATGCCAAGTTAGTAAGTGGTCCTTCGAAACATTACCGCTTCTAATTAAATTGTTGTTAAAGAAAAAGTAATTGAACATGTGTAAATATAGGTTCGGTGCTTTTCCTGTACCTATTCGGTTTCATCTTTACTAAGCATAGGTGTTACAAACAGAGCGGACGTAATACAAACCGTAGCTGACATCAAGAAACAAGCCGGATAACGAAATCATTAGTAAATTAATGAACGCCGACGGAAAAACATTTTCATTTTCCCGTCGAGCCGTCACCATTTGAAAAAAGAACGGGCGTTAATAAACTGCCATGATTTTTGGCTTCCCTTATTTTTTAGCATCTTTAAATTAATCAGGCAGCTATGCGACCTACATTCCAAATGTTAATTAATCTGTCAAACACCAAGCGGTCACCGGTGACCGCGACCTATTGTTCTTTAATTGTGTCTATAAAACCGGTACTCGACGAGTTAAATATTCGGCGTATCAAACATAGTCCGACGACGACTATAACAAATGTACGCGAACACATGTAACCGGCCACAATAACATGTGCTCACATTAATGTGTAGTACGTGCAACATTTGCGTTCACATTCGTCCCAACTTTTCGCACAAATCAAAGCAAAACCGTCGGACCATGAGAATCTACCAAACTAAAATAAAAATGCTTTATAGCTCTACGCGGACTCAACTTGAAGTAAACTTAGGCTTTTACGCCGTAAAGTGTTGTCTAGAAGTTTGTCTTTGAGAATGTTATAGCAACCTCCGTAAATATTTGAAAAGGAATTTAAACTTGGATTTCCCTAATGCAAATTAAAAAGTTTATGGTTGTGGCTGTAAGGAAATGGGGTCCGTAGAGCTGAGATATTTGCAGGAAGACTATTGTGAAATGAGAATGCTAGGTAAATCTCGGTGATGTCTCGTAGACTCGAAGGTTCCTAGATGATTTCTTATAAGAAGTACCTACTACGATTTGATTTGCCTATAATTTATTATTAGAGTCAGGTTAAAACATATTTGTATCTGTTTGGTTATTGAAAATCGATAGTTTCTTAGTAGCTCATGACATTTTAGACATTCCTTATGTTAGATCGTTACCGTGTATCAAAATTTTACTGCATGAATTTGTGTAGCGTTAAATAAATGACAATTAGATACCATAACATCTAATACCTACTTTTTTAGGTACCAAAGCCTTAGTAATAAAATTAGTTTTCTAGTATGATCCGACAATAAATCTTAGATAATGTACCAAAAATCCGGCTTGAACATTATAACGATCAAAGTTGACGTTTTATTGCTCCCTAAGATACAACTAGTACTTTACTTGCGTCCATAAAAGAAGTAACCTTATAAATACATAATTTTAATAGCTGTACTTTAGAAGAAAATTTAATTGAATACTCAATGAAATTCAGGTTGACATAGGTATAGTTTCGTACGGTACTTCTGTAAGCGTGCTACAGAAGATGTCTAAAACATACTACAACTAAGTACATGATCCTTGAGGTCCTTCAATACTAAACATTCATAAACTATTCGCGGAATCAATCAATTAGTATCTTTAGTATTCTTAGTAAGTATCTCAAACCGTTAGTAAATTTTTCTAAATCGTTCTGAAGGATAAGTGTATTGTTTATAATTATAGTAATGATTTATCTACATACTTATTTATTTATTAAGGGTGTCGCCGATATTAGTATAGCAACGACAGCAATGACATCTTACTAATTGACAATATAAAAGTAATTGAACTGACCACAATTTCCTCAAAATTATTGTATAGATATCTGTTACACAAGCAATAGCGCTGAAAAAACCAATTGTCTAAACGTAAGTACCTAATCTGAAATCTTTGCCTAGTTTATTTAAGTTTTAATTATTTTATTTTCGACTTAGGAAAACACAACTTTAATTTTATTTTCAATTCATTCATTTACTTAGGTACATACCTAATATTTGCTTTCGATGAAACTACGTAATTAGCTAGGTACTAATTGCAAAGTAGGTATTAAATTACTACAAATATGACAAATCAAAGTTAAAAAGTATCAATGAAAAACGTATTTCATTTTCCATATTAATGTTACAAATTACTTCAAAAACTTTAGATCTCACACCAGTCTTTATGTAAGTATAATTTATTTAAATTATTTGTCATTAAAACATCAAAGGAAAATTTTCTTTGGGAAATTAGATCACAGACAGTCATTACTGAAGAAGTGAAGAATCTTCAATTATTACAGAGCGATGTACAGAATTAGATTAAGTATTAAGAACACAAAGTATTTTTATTTCTCTTCATATTTCTTTAATTTAATTACCTATTTGTTACATTAATTACAAAAATAAATGTATGCAGACAAGTTAAGGTAGTACTTACCAAAGGTTGTTGGAGTTATATTTTGAATCCCCTTTATTTCTCCAAATTATTTCTAGTCCATTTTATCTGACGTATCTTGAAAATTAGTCTCCGGACATGCGTTATCTCATTTGTTTGTTCTTAATCATACTTCAGAATTTAACATTAATTACACACAACTCTCAAAACACACCACATTTCGCGCGCAAAAAAAAACCATCAACAATAAAAATCCAATGATTTTAGTTCACTTTTTTTTTTAATTTCCACAGGCACTGTATTCACGATAATATTATTCGCGCGCTTTTCGTTTATGTTCCCAATATCACCTCCCTCACAACCTTTCTCGCGCCAAATTGACGCGTTACTAAATAGACCGGCATAAATTCATTCAACTCCAGCTTCTAAACGCCCCGTCCTTGTCTCTCGTGGGACTTAGTGTATATTGTTATCGCCTTCCAACGCTTCCGCCTGATGAACCCTATTGAGCTCGTTAGTCATTAATTAATTCTGCATAAGAAAATTACTTTTAATTTAAACAGTGCACAGATGTGACCAATTTTGTTCTGTTACAAAGCTGGGTAATAAACTGTTTCGAGGATTTTTTTCTCAGTTTTATTATTTTAAATATAATTTATGGTATCTTGAAGTTTGAGATACAATTTTAATAATTACGAGTGGAACCAAATGTTAATTATATTTTATGGTTAAGTAAATAAACACGCAATGTTATAAGATAATTAAAAATAAGTTCTAATAAAATATGACATTTAAGTGTGTTTTAATTACTTCTTCTTCTTTGATACAATTTATACATTAGGTATTACATAAAAGAAACATTTACCTAATTCCGTACTTTTATGAAAATAAAACTTATTTTAACCATCACCTGCCGGCATTTTTCGGGAGCGTTTCGTTTACACCATGTATTAACCTGTTTTTATTAATTGATTAATAAAAGCATCGAAATTGTTTATTTTTTTTCGTAAATCGTCTAGTTAGAATAGAATAAAGTTATTAAATATTTCTATTTGAAGTCGGATGAACGAATACAATCCTTGTTAGCACCGGGCGGCTACCTGCTGAAAGTCAAGTGCTACGAACGTGGGACAAACGGACAGAATCCACTTGAGCAATGGAGTGGCGCCAGGCAACACGCCTCGATTTATACAAATGAAACGGCTTCACTTGTAAAGACAAATAAATCAGTGTTTTTAATTTACATTGTAAAGGTATAGAACCTTTTTGAATTAAACTTTTTTAAGCAGTACCAATATCTACTACCAAATACCAAACGAGTAACATACAAAAAAAATTTAAGTACTTAGGTATATACCTGCCAGAATAAAGTAAAAATATTTCAGCTGAAATTATAGAACTTTGAATTCAGACATTTTTATTAGGTAGTAGTAGTACAACTACAACAAAAATATCTAATACAACTTGTGATTATTAAAAAGTTTTTTATTTTTCTCAAAATTAATTGATTAAAGATTATTTCACTAATTTCAGACCAACCCGTGCGCGATAACTTGGCACTTGCGGTTGCGGGAATGTGATCGGTGCGTGAGTACACAGAAACAATAACTTCTAACAACAGTTGCATTACCTAAGCCTACTTTATTCAAAAAAGGCACAAAATATCCAACAAATTCGCTCAATACTTACAAGATACCAAAAAAAATGTTTTATGCATTAATACACGTACTTACATGACATACAAAGACATTTTTTCATTGCGAAGATCTGTATCAATGCATAGGAACACAGTTTCATGAATAAATTTCCATGCGAGTCACGCAGACGTATCTCACGGCTTTCCGATAGAGCCCCGGACTGCAACCAGCCAGTACACAAGCTTAGCTTAGGTGCCGTCTCCTGCATTCAAACGTAGAACTAATAAGAAATCATCGCACTAATGTTTATTTATCGTTTCAATGTCTGCTTTTATTCCTTTTACAAAATACATGTATATTTTTATCTTAATTTAAAAAAAAATATTGAAGTTGAGGAAAATGTCTTTGCAGGCTTAGTTTTTTTTTTGAAGATAAAGACTGCTCAGTTATTCCAATAGAGCATGTACAACTGTCGATATAATGAGATCTCGGAATCGAGTCCCAGATAATCTAATCCGAATTTTGTTCGTCAGAATAATATAATAATTTTGTGAAAGTAAAGAAATACTTGGTTAATCCAATATAGTTGAATTCACTTTGACTAGATTATTATCTACTTACGAACTTAAACTTATCGCCAACATACTTGAGTGGCTTTTACATGTTACTTGAAATATGTTCCAGGTGTACTTCATGTTTTCTATCAATCCAAAATTAGTATAGCATCTAGATACACGAGAAGCATAATATTAAGGTTGGGTTTGTAAAAGGGTACCTACTTACGTAATCCTTGTACTTATACATTAAACGTAAGTACCAAAAACAAACATTATATATTATAAAATTATCTAATACCTAATAAGGTACCTGCACGAAAAACGTGCAACGATGCTTGCCGCTCATGATTATAAGCCCCTGCCATGGCTTGAAACTTGTCGGGCATCCTTGAACAATTACGTAAATAACTTGCAAAACATTCTTAATTCTTAAAATCTTACCCTGTAGCCCTTAGAGTTAAACAGTGTACTTAATATAAATTATAGACACCCAATATTAAACGTTTAAAAACCACAAATTGCGAAACTGTTTCTAAAACATTCCTTTAATTGAACCACAGCATTCTCGAGTTTATCATAATTAATCACAAGGAACGAACAAATTAATAGGTACGTACTTGGGGCGGGGTACCCAAGTCTATGTGCACCAAACCTTCGCTGAAACGAACATGTACGGAATCTACGTCTTAAGAAAAGGTGCAAATTCAATTTGTATTTCACTACTCTTCGTATTTCTATTTCAAAAGCTATATTGCTTATACAAATTCGAATTGAAAATGTGTGCAGCTGAAACAGTCTTCAAATACTTAGTTAAATTCTATAGAATCGCAACTTAGACTGTTATTTATTAAGTTACTATATGACGTTTATAACCGTAACCAAAAGTGAGACATTCCTTTTTACAAGCTTTTTTTTAATCTAACTTCATCACAGATATGTCAGCCCCATTGTATAACCCTTTACATTACTTTACGTACTTTACATTGCTTGACTATTAAATTTTTCTTAGGTACTCTAGAGAATCTCTTGATTAATTGTTATTCGTGAAGGACCAAAATCAAATAGCACAACTTTTTCATAATCGCTGAAGATCGTACAGATAAAATGGATTGCATAATGCCTACATCAAATTTATTTATTTTAAAATTTTTCACGAAAATCTCACGCTCTATTTCGTTCCGAGCACACTCCATTAGCAAATGTTGGACTTCGACTTTCGATTTGACCACAAAGTGTATTAGTTAGGAGAATCGGACTTTTCATAACAAACTTCGCCGACGCATAGTGTCCTGAACGGGACACAAGCCTTTTTATTCTAATGACATCTTCAGGTATTCTTGTCGTCTCCCAAACATGTTGTCAGAATGTATGTTCTTTACAACTTCCAAAGTAAAAATGGGTGGCCCCATCCGTATCGAAGACCACACATCAACAAATTACTCACTCTTTCAAACCTACAAGCAATGCAATTGAAACAAATGGCCGGGCGCGGTACCAGGCTTGCATAAAAAGTTAGGGACAGTTACAAAGCGGGCAAAGCTCACATGTGTCGGGATCGCGAGCGACGACGACACGACGTTTTGTTTATTTGTCGTCTATTTGTCCCACTCGACGCGTTTCCAGAATCGTGTTTACTGATATCGACACGTGTACCGCTTTTATTGTACTTACATATACGATCGTAACATTAAATTCCAATGGGAAATTAACACGATATGATTGCTTTGTAATCTTTACGAGCTTGAAGATGGCACATATTATCTTCTATAAGAAATTGAATTAATAAGCAAAAATGCCTAGAAAGCATTCTGTACAATATTGATTTCTATGAACATTAATCGTCTATCCTGTACTTACGGTACAGTGAAAGCGCACATAAATGTTAAGTAAATGTAATTTATGCTATCATTAAATCTTAACTACCAATAACTGAGACATAAATAGTAAATATTACCTATTCTAGGTAGTATAGGTACCCTATGAGATTCTTCACTACTTATAATATTCACATTTCGCGTACAAGCACTGGGAAGCAAGGAACGCTTCATATTTCCATAATATTTCATAGTGCTGTATAAGTTATTTTTATGCAAAAATATACCAAACAACGTGGTGGCATGACATTGACGAATGAGCTCAACACGGTGGCTCAAATGGCGCCCGTCCATCGTTTCGCTCAATTTCCTATCCCACTCCATGGAATGGCGGCATGGCGGTTATTTAATCTAATTAACGCTATCCGGTCCCAAATAAAACTTAGTATCAAAGAGCTTAATGTTTACCGAGATAACCACATGAAGAGATGGCGATCATTTGATGTCCACATCATTTCATATGCGGTTTGTACGTAAAGTACGTTTGTGGGTCTAGCACTAATGTGTGTTTATATAGCCCTTTACATCGTCATTTTATGACATTCCTGTAATTCACTTAAAATAAACAGCAAATCGATCAAAGAAATTCATTTTATTGAACACCTGGCTATTGAGTAACGAATTACAAAGACCCGATTGCCTATGTATCTTTGTTTCCAGAACACATACAAAACCGTAACAAAATTATAAAATAACATTCTGAAAGATATTCATTGTAAAATTCTGATATCTAAGCAGCCAATGAACCTTACTGCACTTCAAACTTCAAGGTTTGTACAATTGTAGTCATTAGTAGTAGAGTAGAGATGTTCGTCTGTATCTAGATACCTACCTAGGTAGGTAGTCCCTACTACATTGTAGATTTAAGTACCTACATAAAAATATCGATATCACATTCACATACAATTACATACCTACATATGTATAAAAGGCATCAAGATTTACGTTGTTTATGAACACAATAAGACTCCCATAAATAGTAACGGAATTCTCATTCACGTCCGAGACCACAAAGAAAATAGTTGTCAATACCAGAGTCAATGAATATTGAATGTATAAGTTCCAATGTATTGTCCATTTGACCTAAAATATTGGAACTATCGCAAACAACACAATCGTATTCTTGGAACTATACCCTTGATAAGTACATACCTACTTATGTGCGGAAATTAGATTTATTGAATGTAGGTAAATGGTGAAATACAAAGCTACCTAAATAAAATTGCGTCTTATTTTCCTTGATTGTGACTATATTTTGAGCAATATAATAATATTTTTGTAATCTTCACAAATAACTAAGGGCTAGCATCGACCATGTAAATGTTGCGTCATCTGTACTCCACTTATAATCAAGCTAACATAACTATTATTGGTATCTAAGCAAAATATCGAAGCTACATAGATTTACTTAATAAGAAATTTCATTTTTCGTCATGACACAAACAAAAATACATTTTTATAGAAATCCTAGTAGTGGACTGAGCAATTTGATTCTTCATAAAACAGAATGGGACCGAATCACAAAGCAGACGAAGCCGCAGGAGAAACGTTTGCAACAAGAGAATAAATATGTGCAGGCCTTGATAGAGCAGTCGCAGGCATGGCTGAAAAATTGGCCTGACACCGTAGAAGTACGTAATGATCAGTTTATTAACATAATAATATTGGTTTATTCTCCCTAACACCTAAACAGCCAATTCTATAAGGTACTTACAAAAAAACGAAAGAATTTCATGTTCTAATAAAACTTACCTTTAAACCTGAAAATTTAAACAAATAACGTTTCATTTAGGGTTGTGTAGCAAAAGCAGAGCAGAAAAAGAAAAAACAACGTTCTAAAGAACTCGCCTTAGTCAAAGAGTTTTCAAATAGAAAGGTCGTGAAAAATAACGAGGAAGTCATACAACAGGCGAGACAACAGATCTTTGAAGAAAGCTGTTACGGAAGAAAACTTATGAGGTACCTATTGAATAACAATCGAACAAAATATTAATTAGCGTTCTCAGTTCAAAAGATACGAATACAAACGAGTCAATTCATTTTATTTCATACAGCCATTGATGTTTTTCACCCGTGACTCGATAGTAAATAAAACGCCTATTTTATTATTATATTACAAGCAATTAGGTGCCTATATATAAAAGTATTGTAATTATGACCTTTTAAATATTTATAAGGATAGGTAGCATTTGGCCACCATCTCCACCATGGTAAGCGATGGTGTACCCGACGATAGGCAACCTATGCACATACTTAAATGTTAACACTTCCTTTCAGCGCGCTTCACGAATCCAAGGATCAAGAAGAGAGAGAGGCACAAATAAATTTTAAAAAAGAAATAAAACAAAAGGAAACGGAACAAGAACAGAAGATAACTAAAGCTGTGAAGTTCTGTACATTCGAGTTGGACAAGGACGTGGAAACTGTGAAGGAACAACAGAAATGTATTGACGTTGAAACATCCAAAGCGAATAAAGAAATGTAAGAAAAAGAAATGTATGATCGCCTCGTTGGCCGAGTGGTCGCAAGTGCGACTGCCGGGCAAGAGGTCTCGGGTTCGATTCCCGGGTCGGACAAAGTATTCCTGGGTTTTAAAAAAAATCTCAGTAATAGCACGGAGTTTGGAATTGTGCCCGGTTATATGGCAATAGGCTCACCCCCTATTACATGGGACTCATAACATGAATAGTGAAAAGTGGGTGTTACATTGCACAGTGGCATAATGTGCACCTCTGCCTACTCCTTCGGGGATAAAAGGCGTGATGTTATGTTATGTTAAGAAATTATAGTTTGTTACGTTGCCGGTTGAAACATTGGTTTATTTATTTACCTATTTTATTTAAGAGGCTTCATGCAAATACTTATGTAAGTAGGAAAAGGTGGGTTTAATGCTTCAATGCCATGGGCATTCGCTTCCAGCCAAACTTTGGGGTGATACAGAGACAAAAACAATGGTCGGCTATGACCGGCTTAGGGTGAAACAACAATAATATTAATAGATAGATGTGTAAATTACAATTAATATCCCTAGTCCACGATATCAATATCAGCTAAAGTCTATTACAATTTACAAGACAGGTTCAAGATTAGGTAATAACTGCTTAGTCCATTCTAATGATGTGTTGAAGTTTCTATATCACCTTGTAAAATAATAGATACCTTAATGATGGTATCTTATCATTTATCATATTTTCTCATTATTTTGTTTATCAAAGGTATGAAAAACAAAAAGAGGAAGAAACTAAGGCGAAAGAGAAACAAAAGCAAGAAGACCTTGGTAACGCAAAATTAATGAAGCGTCTTCTGGAACTTGAAAAAGAAGCCGAGGTAACAGAACTTCCTACTCAGATCACTACTTTGTAGAGTAGGTACAAAGTTATTTGTATAAAGTGACGACGATCAGACATAATCAATCAATAAAATCATTCATCGCCACCCTTAATCTTCTTGCTCGTGTCGTAAAAGCATTTGTTAAATACCAAGTAGCTGTGCCTTCCTTCTTATAGACTGCGATTTCCAATCCAAACCTGGAGATTACCTATAATGATGATTTGTAAAAGTAAATCTTCTACGTACATTCATAGCAACGAATACGATGTTGTGAAGCTAATCAAATTCTGACGTCGCGGAGAACCTAACGGATTACTGGGACTCCGGCTCCTAGTTCAGGAGTAGGAACGGGGTGGTTTTTAGTCAGTAAGAGTCTGACACTCCCTCCCGCCTCACCCAGGCGGGAGAAGTCATTCGATGATTTTCCTCTCTTAAAAGAAATCATTTTCTGACCCGTCGTTTCTTACTACTTTTTCTCTTCTTACAGACCAAAATGAAACTTTTAGAAAAACAAGCTCTAGACCAATGTGCAGCTGAATACAAAAAGACAAAAGACGAGCTAGCTAAATGGGAAGCTGAGTATCTTGCTAAGATAGAAGTTTGTCGGAAGGAACAGGAACAACTGAACTTTCAAATCAAACAAGTCCATGATCGGGTATGCTGCTAAACACCTTTAAGACCATCCAAGGTGGTATACGTATGGGGGCACCCCTAAAAATTACGTGTAGGGCAATAATTTCCCTAGTCTATGCCAAGCCGGTGAATAGATGAGCCTAGAGAGGATACCCCTAGGTCCAAGGTACAACTGGGTCCTCTGTTTAGGCTGATGTGCAGGCAGGTGAGGCCCATGGAGGTATTCACGCGGAAAAAAGGTCTTGCAGGTTTTAGGTATGTTTGTAAGTATAACAACTCTATGATTGGTTTATTGGTTTTATCAATAGATCTTCAAAGAGTATCAAGATACATCAAAAATGAAAAATAACTTCAATGCCACAAAACAGTTACAATTAGAGAAAAAGAAAATTTTCGATGACTTTATCGAAAAACATATCAAGAAAGGAGAAGATAGGTAAAAATAGAATATATATAAATATCTAAATAATATATTAACTTACCTACACACTATAGCCTACACTTTTCTATGTTAAAGTCAAGTCAAATTATGATTTGCAATTATTAATCTTAGTTCAATCCTAGGACTAATTAACCAATTGATATATGGTGTAAGTAGTTAGTGCAATTTAGTTAGTGCAAAAAAAGGTATGTAGATGGTTATTTTGCACTGATAGTGATCGCACAAACTGAAAAAGTTTTTTACTTTTCAATTCTAAATAGAGCGGATAAAAAAGAACGCAAAAATATAGAGAAGATAAAACAACTTCGCAAAAACAACAAGACTGTAGCCGAGATCAACAAATCAATGGCTGAAGCTGTGAATCATCGACAAGACATCAACAAGTGCTACTGTGACCGACAATGTTACATAACGAAGTCCGAAAAACCACGCATTATGAAGAAAGCGGCACGAGATACTATTGAGCCGGAGGTTAGAGGTATGACGTAGAAAATAATACATTATAATATTTTTAAACGGTTCTATGACCTCTATTCCACTAATCAAGCCCTTTCGTTCAATATCTAAATACTAAATTTGACCCAAACTAACAAACGGAGCAGACTAAATAAAATCGTTTATATAAAAAAACATGTATTCCACATCACTAACCCTGGACAAATCCGCACTTCGCCATTTAAAAAAACATCTTAAAGGAATGATGTCCGCATTATTTTTTTTTATTTACTTTTTAAGCAATATCAATGGCGGACTTAATGCCTAGTGGCATTCTCGTCACCTTCAAGACCTTAAAGTCAACATTATGTTCTACATTCTGTAACGGCATCCCCACTAATTTTTGATATTTGATTACTTCAGCAGCCAAACCGCTCCCATACTTCGGGCCTCAGAGAAAGCTGTTGGTAGACTTGAGACGTCGCGAGAAGGAACCTAGTCCATGGTCCGGCACAAACAGCTTGCATGTGCTGTTCTTCAAAAACGCTGAAAAAACATTAAGCGACTGCAAGAACAAAATACCCGCGAGAAAAGTTATTGATGTTGGTATTAAGTGTATTCATATATTTCGATAAAATTAGGTGGCATGTAATCAACATAGCAGTAATTTTAGTAAAATGATAATAATGGGAAAAAGTTGACGCCTATACTATGTCTCATGAACAATATGACTTTCTAATTTGACCAGGTAGTATGCCTTGTTATGGCTGCTCCGGATATTTGACATAAATATTAATACGTATTTTTCATTGCAGGAATACAAAAAATACAACGGATTGAATAGGACAACTCCGAATTACAATTAAAACAATAGTTAGTAGGTCCCTAAATGTGAAATTTTAGTGTTAAATTAAAATAAAAAACGGTTTCGACAATCATTATACTACATTTTATTTTATACTACAAACATTACTATTTACAAATATCGGTCCTTACATTCAAGTTACGAACGGTCACTTTTCTTCATTCCTTCGCTACTGAGTACAATGAATAATTTAATATATTGAAAATTTTATAACTGTTGCAACACTGTTATGCTTATCTATTAAATAACAAAATAAATAGCTACAAATCACAATGTACATGCGCAGTCGAAATTTCTAGTCATATAAATGTATCGAGTGAGGTACGGAGGTAACACGGTCCTCGACCACGCAAAGTGCATTTCTGTAGTATTTTCCTCGTAAAAATGATTGCAGAAAGGCAAAATATAAATTTTATAATTACCCTAAAATACAACTTGACACGTTTGAGTTTTCTGCTCTCACTCCCAAAAACGTAATTTTGTAACGTTACTAGTGCCAAAAGTCGGTGTAAGTGTACAAAACTCAAACGACAAAAGCTGGGAATATATCTTAAAGATTTAATAAATTGTACGACACACGGGGCTCCGAGACAAGCAATTATAGTACGTATGTGTATACACAATAAGGTGATCACCGGAATCTTAAGAGAAGATAATACTCTCAGGTTTAAAACGAGGTGTGTGTGTTCGTGTGTCGTACTCCTAAGTTGTTCGCCTAGTACTTGGACTGCTTTTGTTTGAGGACAGCCTGCACGCACTTGGCCATTGTGGGCGAGGCGCGACTGATCGTGTCCGTCATGAAGAAGTCTTCTAATTGCTTCAGCTGAACGTCCACCTTGCCAGACACTGGCTTCTGGAGGCTCTGTGGAAACAATTTTGCGTTAAGGACTACCTTTTCTGTGTTCTGTAGATGACGTCATAAACTACTTATCAGAATATTTAGAATCGTACCTGTGCAAGAGCCCTAGCCTGAGCGAAGTAGTTGTTGTTCTCTACATTGCCGTAAGTAACTAGCGCGGGACTAATCTGGCTCAGGCGGTCACGGACCTCGTCCAAGCTGTCGTATGGAAGACGCTCGCCTATGATTTCTGATAGAGCTCTGAAACAAATGATAGCAGAGTTATTACGTTAGTTATTGACACAAAGTAATATAGTAATTTGTGTTTAATTTTTCAAGGTGGTGTGTTTATTGTGACATTTTTCCAATTTTATTATGTGGCCGAATATTTTTATGAAAATAAGGACAACTATTAAACGTAAACTACACATATTTTTATGATTAGCGTCGTCCATGTACACCCACAACACCAAAGGAATCACAAGTGCGTTGTTAGCGTAACACAGCCTTAAGTCACGTACCTGATGATCTTCCAGTCATCCCTAGCCTTGCCAGGCGGAGTGACGGCGGCGAGTGTTTGTTGTGCGCGTCCCTCCGCGTTGACGTAGGTCGCGCGCTTCTCTGTGTACGCCGCGCCGGGGAGGACTATGTCCGCCATCGCCGCGCCCACGTCGCCGTGGTGACCTGGACCAGAGTATGGTGGGATTAATTAAAGGTATCTTTATTTCGTAACTAATAAGGATAGTTTTTTGATAACAAGTGCATGCATCTTTCTTCTTTAGGCAATTGTGCAAGAATTAGATATCTCTTTAAAAATAATTGATATCCCTTTGAATTAATGTCAAACACCATTCCACTTTACCAGATAAAGACATACCGTAACAATAAGATAATTTTAGAACTCAGAGTCGCCCATGGGCACCCAATACTAGAGGAGTGACAAATGAGCTGGCAGTCTTTTTGGTGGGAGATTGGATCTTACCACATTGTAAAACGCAAGCGTTTTCTCATGTCGGTTATCTGTGAGGTACCTCAGTCAAACCAGCTCATTCGTGTCTAAGCATAGTTCTCCCACGTAAAAAAAATGTAACATGCCTTGGTAAATAACAACAGCGTCTTTAGGCAGTTGGTCCCTGGACACGACTCCACTGTCCGCCCCCAGCAGGTACACGACTTGTGGTCCGTCCTGTAGTACAGGCCCGACGCCCGGTTTGTACCCGATGTCCAGTGCTGCCACCTGGGACGCTGTGCGTTGGAGCACGTTCAATACCTGGAACAAATATGGGCGTCAGATTCAAGCTGTATGTAAAGATTAGAGTATATTGAAAATAATAGAGTATTTATGAAAACATTCTCTAGATATTTCGAGTTATTATTTAAGTACCCAGAGTATCCGCCAAACTGATGAAACAATCAAATATTCTTCAGTCTGAACCAGCCAAAAGCATTACTAATGTGATGAAATGACACTAGTGAGCCAATCCATCAACAACTATTACCCACACATGATAGTGGGTCTTCACTATCCTCCACGTCTACCAACATACCTTCCAGCTCTTATCCTCGAGTTTGTCCTGCAAACGTAGAGCCAGTTCCTGAGTGTATGCGAGGATAGCGGCTCCTTCAGGAGTCTTCAGCTGGTCCGCGCCCAGGATCACCACGGGACGCTTAGCAGCCTCGAGACGCTTCATCACTTCGTGAGATGACGTTCCTGAAGCCAGGTCTTTCAGTACGGAAGCAGAATCACCTACGTGCTGTAAACAAAACGTGATATTATTTAAAAGATTTCTTTTAAATAGGTACCGATTTTATACAAATACCGGTATATAAAAATACGGTTGAATTCATTACTTCCACTTGTTTTTGAAGATAGTCAAAAACTACCCATTTTACTCTCTAAAAATGTACGCTTCCCAATGATGAAGGATATTTTCCAGTACTTTCAGAGCCCCTTAAATGCGAACAATCAAATGTCTTTTTATATGATTAGCATAGAAAGTATAAAGATTTCCCTACCGTGTAATCGTAAGTCAGGTCCACTTTAGGTCCAATGAAGGCTACATCGGTGTCCTTGTGGATGTATGCCTTGCGGATCCGAGCGTTCAACAGTGGCGCCTCGAAACGGGTGTTCGCGCCGATCAGAAGCACGAAGTCCGAGTCCTCCACATCTGAGAATAGTTACAATTTATGTAAAAATAGTTTATAGTCAATCATGAATTATATTCCACAGATAAAAGTTGTATAATGCATCTACTTCATCCCCATATACCAAGACCAACTCTAGAAAGGCAAAACTGATATGAATCTGAATCAACGATAAAATAATGGTTTGTACACGTAAAAATACTGACATAATCTCAATAATAACCTCTAGGATAAGTGAGACCAATAAAAACGAAACAATTAATGAACTCACTGGCGATCTTAGTGTTGCAGAGGTATGAGGACCGCAGATCGATGCCGGCGCCCTCTAGTGGGAAGTATTGCTCGGTGCAGGTGTTCTCAGACCCCAGCCTATTCACCAGGTCCTTCAGAGCCACCAGTGACTCCGCGTCAGCCAGGTCACCAGCTACAGCCAGAAGCTGCAGATGAAAAAGACATAATTTGCTTTATAAAAGTGAGGCTAAGGAGTCAAATTAGACCACTAATTTTTTAAACTCATTAGAACTAATAAATTAGAGGATTATGTAGATTACAATCTCAATAAGCAACATACCTTGTTAGGGGGGCAGTTCTGCAGAGCCCTAGCAGCGGCGACCATAGCATCCTCCCACTCTACAGGTGTGAGGTTTCCGCGACTGTCCTTCATCATCGGAGTCACCAGTCGCTGTCTCTTCAGACCGTCACAGGCAAACCGAGACTTGTCCGACAACCATTCCTCGTTGATCTCCTGCAAGAGAACATTAATTAACGAACGAACAAGGTTAGAAGTAAAAATATGTTTTTAATGGTGTTTGATTTGATTCTCTAGTCAGGGTTCCTTTAAGAACCGCACTAAATAGGGCTCAGTTAGCAATAGACAGTAGACACCCAAACTATATGGCTACTTCTATATCATATTGTAATAAAAGTTGAAAACTTGAATGTATTAGCATAAGAAATAACTTATAAATGGTGATGTTTGAATAGTAAAGAGTTCATTGAATCTTACCTCATTGGTCCTCGGGAGAATACGGAGTACTTCATTGGTACGCGTCGCAACTACGATGTTGCTACCCAGAGGGTCTAAAACATCTACAGAGTCGATCTGAAATAAAGATAAATAAAAAGATTAGCATTAACTTCCGAATTTATACCATAAACATAACACGTCATGGCAAAAACGCAACTATTAAATGTAGTAGGTTTCGCCTGACGCTTATCAAATAAGAAGCAATCGCCATGCCAAACATACCTAACGAATCCAGTCTGTACAGAATTTGAAAAACCAAAATACTTATTACTCTTCATCCGAACTAGGATTGATCAATGGATATCCGAAGTTGCCAGTCGTATTTGCGACCACTCAACCAACAAAACAGGTTAAAAATATCAATATTACCAAAAAAGAAAATATTGTTTCTAATCAAGTAATTTGAACAACTTACCCTCCTGGTCTCCCAGGGTCGTGCAGCAAAGCTGTAGGGTTTGGAGGTGAGCGCGCCGACAGGGCACAGATCAATGATGTTGCCAGACAGCTCCGATAGGAACATCTTCTCTACATAGGTGCCAACCTGAGGACAAATGTATTAAAATCTCTTTGGTCAATTACTAAAGGATGAGGTTTTCATTATTTATATGAAAGAACATCCATTCATCAGTGAAAATTTATGATTTATTTTTATTCAACTAACCTGCATGTCAGAACCTCGGCCGGTAGTACCGAAGTCATCAACACCAGCCACCTCTGATGCAAACCGGATGCACCTTGTGCAGTGAATGCACCGAGTCATAATAGTTTTGATCAAAGGACCCACATCCTTGTCTTCAACAGCACTATGGGAAAAAAAATTAAACAAATACTGAGCTTCTTTCTAGTTGTGTTTCATTATTGCATCCAGTTTGATCACTTTTCTTATGGTTCTTAAACAAATGAACATTAGAAAGAAAAATTAAATCTTTAGTTAATTCTGTAGCACTTCAATTCTTCAACAATCAGTATACATTTAAAATTGTAAAAATTATTAACTAACTACTTACATATAATAATTGACATTAACTCATTTAACTATACATTAATTACTGGATCAAGTAATCAATTTAATCTGTATTTATTACTACAATTACAGTATCTAACTAGGTGTCATAATCGTATAAAAATTCAAACACTCACCGCTTGCCAGAGAAATGAATATCAGTGAAGCGACTCCTGTCTGAACCAAAGGCCATGGACTGATCTTGTAAGTCACATTCACCACCCTGGTCACAGATAGGGCAGTCCAGAGGGTGGTTTACAAGGAGGAACTCCATCACACCCTCACGGGCTTTCTTTGTCAAATCTGAGTTGGTCTTGACCCTCATTCCCTTCATCACAGGCATAGCACATGCTGCTGCAGGTTTGGGAGACTTCTCGATCTCCACAAGACACATGCGGCAGTTACCAGCGACGGCAAGACGCTCATGGTAGCAGAAACGGGGGATCTCTACTCCTACTAGGGCTGCTGCCTGTTTGTAGCAAAGAAACAATACAAATATTTCACAACTATCTATAATGTAATAAAGCCAATTTCCAGTTTTATCATTTCTCTTAGAAATTTAAGAAGTGATACTTTAGCTTAAATTCTATTTCCGAAAACTATCAAAGAAAAGTTTCATGTGTATTTAAAGCATCTAGGTAAGTGAATATTGTCTTGTATTTTAATGTTTGGAGAACATAATCATAAAAACATGATTTTATCAATGCCATAGTTTGTGTAATCACCTTCATTTTATTAAGGTATAAAAAGAGAGTAAGAGTCAGTAAATGGACAATTTCAATTTGTTTGACATGATAAAGAATATACTAACTTGTAAGATAGTGGTGCCAGGCTCTACTTGGACAGGTTTGTCATCAATGAAGACTTCGAATTTTTCTGGTGCTGGGGGCTGTGCAGAGAAGGTGCGAGCCGCCAGCGGCGCTGCTCGCGCCGGCGAACTCAGCTTGAGCGCCCTAGTTAGCGGCTGGCGCAGCATTTTCTGCAGCAAACACCAATACGTTTACAACCAATGTCACGCTTATTGTACAACTTTACACAGCTGTTTGCACTCGAAATCTATTTTACAGGTAGTTAAATGACACGATAGTATTTGCACTAGAAGACAATCCTTTTAAAACACATCAAATATAAGCAATTCTTCTGTTATTATTACATAAGAATCAACACCTAACCTAAATAATTATAGTGAATAATGGGTGCGTAAATACTTAATTTTAAGTAAGTTTGCGTTTAAAACTATTAAAAAATACTACTTATTGTAATATACGTCGTATTTTTGTAAAATTCGTACCTAAAAATATGTATTGAAAATCTTTAGATAAGTGACAGATACAAGAACTGTCAAATTGTCAATAACTTCATGAATAAGGCAAAGACCGACTATTCGCTCCTAATTGCGGTTTTCTTTTCTCATCAGTCGACTTTTTTCTCATGAAATTTCAATAATCTTAGTGATTAATGATAGCGATTTTGGAGTACATCACTAGCCGTTCAAATTAGTTCAATTCATTCGTTCTTTGAATGTCAATTTCATTGCAATGTCAATGTCAGATTTCTTTTTTAATTCCTTCTTGCTCACATTGTGCCGGGGCGTGTGGCTATTACTCGAAAAAAACTACATTTTTAAATAAAAATGGCCGTAGGAGACGTTAAAACCGCACAAGGCCTTAATGAGCTTAACAATTTCTTAGCTGATAAGAGTTATGTGTCAGGGTAAGTTACATTTTTGATAAAGATTAGTTCCACGTCAACCTGAAATTTAGTAGAACTCAATATAACCTCAAATTCTTATAAGCCATGAATATTAATCCGGTCAGTAGGTCGTTAATTTGTAATAGGCTATTAACAATAAATAAAATTATTATGTCGTCTTATCTGTCTAAGTTAGTTTGATCAATGACCTTGATAAGCAGCTGTTTATTACTTGTCCGCCATAATCAGACGTACTTTGGTTATTTATAGTTACACACCAACTCAAGCCGATTTCCAAGTATTTCAACAAGTCGGCAAGGCCCCGAGCGCAAGCTTGCCCCACGCTCTCCGGTGGTACAACCAGATTGCCTCTTACAATGCCGAGGAGCGCAAATCCTGGCCAGCTGGTGCTAGCCCTCTAACCGCTGGCGGAAAGACCACCACAGCACCTGCACCCGCTGCTAAGGATGACGACGATGATGACGTCGACCTATTCGGATCTGGTGACGAGGAAGAGGTCAGTAACTTTTAAGCAATGTTTGTCACTTACAACTTCAAAAAAAATCAAATTAAATAGCACTAACTAAATGAAATATTTGTTGACAGGATGCAGAGGCTGCCAGAATTCGTGAAGAACGCCTGAAAGCTTATGCTGACAAAAAATCGAAGAAACCTGCTCTCATTGCTAAATCATCTATAATCCTTGACGTAAAGCCATGGGATGATGAAACAGACATGAAAGAAATGGAAAACCAGGTCCGCACCATCGAAATGGATGGTCTCCTCTGGGGAGCTTCCAAACTTGTACCTGTTGGATATGGTATCAACAAACTGCAGATCATGTGTGTCATTGAAGACGACAAAGTGTCTGTTGATCTCTTGACTGAAAAAATCCAGGAATTCGAAGACTTCGTCCAGTCTGTTGATATTGCTGCTTTCAACAAAATCTAAGATGTGCACTGTGCAGCCAGTTTAATTTTAAGTTTACATTTGAATAAAATCAAAATTTTTCCACAAATATTGACTTTTATTTCACATTTAAAAAAAGCTATGTACAAAGACAATCTAACACCAGAACAGTAATCAGTCAAATAAACTGAGTGCAGCCAATGTGATGCATTACATTTACAATTCACTATTTGTTCATTCCTTACTACATAGTGTCTTTTGAACATTTAGACAATAAATATCACAATTCTTGAAAAATAAGTCATAATGCACTCTTATAGACATCTATACAATGAGATTAGAAGATTAAATTCAATTATATTGTCACAATAGTATAGTTACTGCAATTATTATTTTAGAGAATCTTGAACTTCGTATTCTGTACAAACTAGCTAAGAGGTAACTGATAAAAATCTGAAGCACTCTGTACTTATCTAATACCATCAAATTGATACAAAAGTTGATGAAGCTCCTGCTAGGGCCTTTTGATTGTCTGTATAACCCAGTACATATCAACTATCGAGTTAAAAAAGTCATGTGGGTATCACTGACATGCAGTCTTGTGGCTTGTCGCCGCTATTCCGTGACTAGCAGGTGATTCAATGTGATTAACACTCATTCAACATGGCTTTTAGGGATTGGAACACTATCACCGACATTAGCCTGCAGGAACATGTTAGGAATATCACTACCAAAGTATATTTTGTTGTTCAGCGCAAGAGCTTCGTATCTCTTCAGTTCTAAGTACTCTCTCGTTAGCAACATCTTGTTAGCTTCAGCCTGTTTCTTCAAACTGTAGAATTCCGCCTCTGCTTTGGTTTGTTGTTTCGCTTTATGGATACTATCCTCAATGAGCTCGATCTTCTGTAAAGACTCCTTCTCCATAATTTTTTGTTCATATTGGATTTTCGCGACTTGCGCCTCTTTTTCAGCTTCGATAACAGCCTTGCGCCTCGCTGTTTCTGCCTCTTTTTCCACTACCTGTAAATAGAAATATTGGTATATTTGAGTAAGTTGACCTTACTAAGTAACGGGTCTCAAATTCGTGCCGTGATTTGAACAAATAAGTATAGCAAAGTAAAGGTAACACAAAATAACTTAAGAATATCACTTTAAGAAGAAGTCTCAATCAATGAACGTAGATATACCACTAATGACAACGCGACATGAGTTATGACGTAGATACAATTAATTAATTACCTTCTGATGTTGTGCAGCAATAAGTAATTTTGATTTCTCAGCTTCCATGAGCTCATAGTTCTTGCGGATTGACTCTGGTATCTTTGGTTTTGTTACTCTGACTGCTTGCACTCTAAGGCCAGGCGCCATTTCATGCAGATCTCTTTGGAGCGCCTGTAGAAATACGAGAATTATTCTTGAATATTGCTTTACTAGCATATACCATGACTAACAATAATTGCTACAATTCTTATAAGTACTAACGGTTCGTAAATTTTCGTCGATCTGATCAAACAAATCAATATAAACTTCATGTAGTGTGTGTGCACTGCAGAACTGGTTCAGTTCATGGTGCACCTTGTTGAATATTAACGTCTTGTCGTAGTCCGCCGTGAAGTTACGCACCATGTCTAGCACTGGAAAGCAGAAAAAAATATTAGAATTAGAATTACAATGAAACACATACTATTTTTTAAATGGTGCCGATGAATTTTGTTATCTCTTGAATTCTTTTATAGTAAAGTTTTCTTGAACCTTACCACTGACTGGTTCTAATTTGTTGACTACTTCAATCCTTTCGAAGTATATCATCACACCACCACTTGTACCACATGGAACATTCTTCACTTCGTCAGTCTGTAGAGTTGTCTACAACAACAGAAGATAAAATCATTTAGAACACCATGATAAATGTATTTAAAACATTTCTGCAAATCAGATGCATCAGATTTTCTTTTAATTCAATAGCCCTTTTTGAATAACTATTTTTGTATGGGTATTTATGTGAGCTGACAATCATCTAGCTTCTTCCACCCTGGATGTTGCTAGAGGGGGTGTAAAAACGTCAAAAAAAAATAAAACATATCAAAATGACACTAATTACCAATACCATAAAACTTATTTTAAAACACAATATCTCAAACATCAAAGTCCATTACTTATGTAACAATAATTGATCACTTGGTAGTTTTGTACAATACATTAGCAATTGATGGTCATTTCGGCTCACATCTCGTTCATGGCTAAAGATTACAATTACCAATTACTAAATTAAGGTTAAATACATTAGTCAATTGAATTTCTTATGATCAAAGTCCCTGCTATCATGTAGTTTAGTGCACTGCAAAATAGGGAAAAATAAGAATCCTCAAATAAAATATTTGTTTATAATTTTTTGTGTTTATTACTTTTAATTGTATTTTAAACTTAGCTTAAGTATTTTATAAAGTTCATTCAAACAAGTAAGATATACAACATTTCCTTGTTAAATATATTAAGATTGGTAAGAAATATTGAAAAATGTGAAATCTAATTGGAATGTACCCACCTGTATTGATTTGTATGATGTTAATAGTGGAATCATCATGTGAAATCCGGGCTGACTGGTTACTGGGAGCAGAGCTCCTCCCTGCAAACATGGAAATATTTAATTAACTTAACTACCTCCTCAACTTAAAACTTAAAAGTCATGGAAGCAGGCAGAACATAACTACTCTAAGTTTTAGTTGTTATTACTTTTTATCTTAATAATTTTGATAACTATGTAAAAGTGCTGCGTAGCATAATTGTTTATCTACCTACAATATATCATTTATAATAATCCTTGCATTTTTTATCTTTCTTGACATTCATGCATCATATTTCTACATCTTTTTTTATAATGGTATACATAAAAGGGTTTAAATAAGCATAACAAACAGTAATATTATTTATTTCAAGTAGGTATGTAACAACAAGAGGATAGTAATAACTAATAACACAAAATGCGGCACAAATTAGAACTACCATCATTTAGTGACAAAATGTGTCAACAAACATAATATTTATCTGTTACTTTGTCCTTAATTGCTATTCTATTGTTTTGTTGATAACAAACATTCTGTGTTCCTACTAACATTTTCAATTTTCCTTTAACTTTAAAAGGGTATTTGAATATTTTCTGTATCATCATATTGATAGTATGATGTTATTCATTGTATTTTTTGACAAAATTAGTAAGTTATGGCAGTCTTAAAAAACACTTTGTAACTTCTTGGATAAAATAATTAAACAAACAATACCGACATGTTTGTTTAAAAGAATTCAACATTCCACTCAAAAAGACCTGGAGCAGAGCCAAGTAGTACCATAATTACATTCCTAAGCTATGTTCTAGCTTAACAATATTATCTGACATATAAATACATACTTATTGAATATTGATCGTTGTTACTCACCCGGTAATACACTCCTACATGACCCTCCTCTACTTTATGCAAGGAGAAGTGGACAGTCACCCCAACAGCCAATATAACTAAAGCTAACACTGACGATTGATCAGCCATAGCCGGACTGTGGAGACAACATGATTTTATAAGTTAATTAATTAAGAAACAGCATATACAGAAAGTATTAGGAACAATTTTCACCTCCACAAATCCAAGTGAACACTCACGATTAGCGGTATGATGAATGAATAATAATATTTTATGGCCAACACAAGATTTATTCCTTCATTTAATTATGATCTATATGGTTTTATTCGATTAATAACAACTAAATTACTATTTTATCTTAATGGATCGACAAATTACGATTTCGCACAAATAGCTGTTTTACGACACTGACAGAATGTTTGACATTAAGTTTTGGCATCTATTGTATAGTTCAGAAACTTCATTAGATGCGTTTTTCAAATATTGTTTATTTTACCTACACTCCATATATCGAAAACACAACAATAGTTTAGTTACAATTACCAATTAATTTACTGGTATCATACCTATATTATTTCATTCGTACTTAACAAATAATAATATTAAACTATGATAAACTCTTGATAGTTTCTGAACGTCAGTTACATAATGGAGTGTTAGAAAATAAAGGATGAGCAGAGAATGCGGTCACAGTATGATATAAATAAAAAAGGAAGTATTGGTTGAATAGATACATTTATTGTGTTTCAGAGCCATTTGCTTCTACGGGACTAACATAACATTTTCCTTCAGCGTGTATAGCATCCAGCACACTACTCATAGTCGTTTTCAAAACTCTATATTCTTCTAGTGCTTTAGCGCATAATTCACCTTCAGGGGAGTTGCCTGGCTCAATAAAGAGCATTTCTAAAGACCTCTTCAAATATTTCTCAGCCAACATTAATTCATCCTGTAACCAACCACAAATATACTTCAGATCACTCTGCGGATGTGTTAATCTAAATTTAACCACACACGTTAGGCTAACGAATTCTCACCATATACGCTGTGCCCGTAATTTCTCGGCCGTCAAAGAGCTTTTTCGCCAACTGTACCATTGCGGCATGAAGTTCGTAGAGCGTGATTGCTGCAAGGCGAAGATTAAAATATTTAAACCTAAACAGATAGGTAATAAAGTTCATTTTAATAACCATGCATACAGTTATTTTATTACCTTTCGTTCTAGATATTCCAGGGCAAAGAATTTCAAGTACAGGAAGTATTTCTTTGCAGAGTTCCATTTTTCGTCTCATTAATTTCTTTGTGGGTCTCGGCTCTCTGTTAATAGTGTCTCTCAGTACACCAGCTAGCCGTTGCTTGGCCTCCAGCAGTAGGTAGTGGTTAGGAGCAAGTATCAGCGAAACATTTCTAATGTATTCTTCGAGCTCTTTCTCATCTTTCTTGTCTGTGAATAAATAAAAAAATAAATTAGGGTTGAAAGTAAATTGAAGTATAAAAAAAAACATTTCTAATGGAGATTCACACCTCAAGTGTGTCGATCTTTGATTTACTTGTACGATGAAACTCGCGTTACAAGCCCTAAAGCTAACAAGCAACAGTTTAGATACTAACTTATAACTCCAAACTTATCCATGCAGCATTGAACTTTGAATCCAATATTTGTGTCCTCAAAAGTTTTGCTGCAGTTGTTACAAGTCCATTCTCCAGGAGTACTGCGCGACACGTAGCCGGTCTTACATTCAGGACACATGACGGAGCTCATGTAGGTCCCAATCTCTGTGGCATCGGCACATCTACGACAGCTGCACTTGAAATATTTACCGATCAATAAATGCTGTTGGCGAATGGATGTGCCCTAAAAACAAAGTAAAAATTTTGCACTTTCTCTTAGAGAAAAGAAGTCGTTAAAGTTATGTTGGTGGTGCATAGCATCTAATATGCAATCGCATTTAGTATTGGACACCAACCCACTGCTAAGAATGAAGGATATATTTTTACCTTCAAGGGATCCGTGTAATTGTAGAAAATGGGTTCTCCCTTATTAATGTTAGTGCTAGCGTGGCAAACCAACAGATTGTTGTCGTTTATCGACATGTGTGTGTTACCCACGCAATCATGCGCAAGTAGCGCTGCTTTCAAGTAGACTCCGCGCAAAACTTCTGCGCATCCGAGAGCTGGGAGGGGCGGGCCACGGACTTCGAAACTGTTCACATCAATAACTGCGCAAATCTTTTGGATTAATTCAGAGTCCGGTATATCGTCCATGATGCTGAGAGACTGAATGAACTAAAATCGAAATAAGAGAAACCTTTAAATAAAGCAGTTAACTAATTAGAATAAGTCTGTTCATCTTTCATTTTATGTTGTTTCACCTTGACTGTATTTTCCGAAAATTCCCAAACTTTAGTGCCCTTTCTTTCTTCCAAATGAGTTTCCATTTCCATGAACTCCTTCCAAGCTGCAGGATCAGTGGTTTTTTTCATAAAAGCACGCAATGCTAAAAGAGACCCGACATTTTGAACCATCGTCATCGGGTGTAATCCATTGGTCAGTTTAATACTCCTGAAGAAATCGCATTCCATATCGGAGTGCCATGCTGAAAACCAAGAAATACTTAGGTTCGCTTGCTGTGTCTTGGACATCTATGTACTTACAATCACTAATATAAGTAGGTGGGTGCCTAGGTCCATAAAAAATAAGGTAAAAGCTAGGCTATCGTAAGGATCAGATTTGTTTCAGGATGGTATTGGCCTTGAAAGTCTATGGCCCGGTACCTTTTCGCTAGCAACTTTGCTCGGACAGACACACTGTATTGTTTAAACACCTAATATTTTTAAATAACTAAAGAACAGGGTTTGTATAGGTAAGTACGTACTCTTGTGTAGTTGTTCAGGGCAACCCTCTCCGGGACATATCGGAGCAACTGCGCATTTCTTACAGACGACAAACTTGCTGAGTAAAGGTAAGTAGCAGTTGAAGCATACAAGCGAGCTGTCGCTGTTGGGCCCCAGAACAAACGGCTCATCCGAGAAGATTGTCTCGCCTGCCTTCAAATCTTTCGCGGCAACTATGTATCTATAAGACATAAAAATTATTTCAACCTTTAAGATGCTGAAAGGAATGATTCTCGAATAGTTACATCCGTTGTTTACCAATGCGTTACTGAATAAGAAACATCTGTGTTATGTATTTAATGAAACATTACATTTGTTACTACAACTGTGTTATGAAAAACTATTTATCTCATCATCATCATACCTACAGAAGACTAGCTTACACGAAAGTTCAGTTTGATTAGGAATAAACCGCAACTTACTCGAAGTCATCGATAGATAACTATAGAAATAGCAAATAATTTAAAAATAGGAGAAGGTAGGGAGATAAGTCACTGATTTTACGTTTAATAAATTGGTAAGACCACGCAGTTGAAATGCTTATAATCTATTTATACTTACAAATAAAATTAACACAAATTCTTTGACTTAAAACAAACAAAGTCGTAACTCGGTCATAATTCGTGTTTCAGTAGTAGGTAGGTACTAGTCGAATACTTCTCAAATTGTGAGTTCACAGCTCACGCTGCGATGCGCTCGCTATGCTGTGTTAGTGGGCGCATGGATATCATAAATCATACTGGACTTTAATATGGGCTCAGAGATATTAACTGCAACATAAAATAGGTGAAATACCATCCCAGAGGCGCGACAAAATGTATGGTATTTTATTAATTAAAACTTTGTGTTTGCATGTCTACACGTGCACTTGGACACCGGTAGGTAGATACCTATCATCATCTCCATCGTCAGATCCCTCTTAAAGACATGGATTAACGAGTATAATTTTATGTTTTCGGCTTACTCACATAACTGTCGCGCTAACCGACGCGGCGACTGTCGCGCTGCGCTGCCGGAATGCTGCTCATGAATATGAGCCTCTAGCATGACTTGAAACTAGTCGAGTTCCTCGTCAAACAGTTACGTGAGTAAGCCGCAAACATAATAATTGTTTTTTATTAAACTAGTTTTGTTATTCTTCACGGACTCGTCTCTTTATTATAGTCAATACTTATTAATTATTGTTTGGTGTAATGGTAAGCTTTTATTTTAATTGTTAGTGTCAGCAATAGGTAAGTCCTACTTACACAACACTTATCACATTTGCGATGCCTTTAGTAAAACAAAAAGCCTCCTAAATCAACTTTGCTAACTTGTTTAGTACCACTTATAATCGCTTCGTAAAAAATAAGGACCGGAATTTGGTTGTAGGTAGATTATAGAACAACACAAAACACGATCGCTAATATACCCACAACTAGACAGTGCATTCGTTTTATTATTGTCTCAGAACGTATCGGTCTAAATAAATCACAAATGTCGTCTTACGTCCGGGTTCGGATAGGTCAGTGTTCTCTATTCTTCTAACACACATTTATTGTCTTTAGTACTTATAGGTAAATTAGTTACACACAGGAATTTCGACACCATCTTTTACACACTTCTATTTAAGTAGTAGAGTCCTCTATAATTTTCCTCAAGTAATAAATTAACTCGTCGAGTACCGGTTTTATAGACACAATTAAAGAACAATAGGTCGCGGTCACCGGTGACCGCTTGGTGTTTGACAGTTTAATGCATGCTAGGATTTTTTTCACATAATATTAGCTCCTTGTAAGGACTAAACACACCTGCCGAATTTATCCGAAGTTCGCAGTTCGTATCGTGCGTTCAGTGGCGCGGTCATGGTGTCGACTCCGTACAATATGACCGCAGGTGCGCACCGACCGGTAACACAGACGCGAGTAACTAAACACTCGCCGTATTTATAGCCGATACTCTATTTATAGCCCTATTACTCTTCCTCGACGTAAAATTCTGACAGCCGATGCTTTGATTTCTTACTCAGTCCATTGTTTTATGTCCTCACTGATGTTTGTAAAATTGGTGATATAGTTTAATTTTAGTAATAAAATGCCAAAAATTAAAAGAACCATTACATTTATTATGGATATTTACAATTAACTACCTTAGTACAAAGGTAATGCTTATGACTAGTAAACTATATATTTACAACAACATTATGTACATGTCTATAAAAACAATGATATAAAAATCTGAATTCTCTTAAATAATATTATTTTAGTCCATATTTAAATGGATTATATTATTAAAAAATCCATAATTTTAATTGATGAATGAATCGCACTATGTATTTACAACAGTCTTGTTAAAGCGATACAAGTGACCTTACCTAGTGGTTAGTTCATCATACTATTTATACAATTTTATATTATATGTCACAAATAAGATTTGCTCTACAGTATTTATCAAAGTATTTGAAACAAATAAATTAGTCATTGTTTCGTTTTAAAAACGTAATCACACAGTGTTATTTTCTCCCGAGTTGTCGGTATATTTAGTTTTACAAACGTCAATTTCACATACACTTCACATCCAGACAATAATTTGTGAACCATTTAAAGAATCGAACCCGCGACATGTAGCACAAGAGCCAGGCTCCAAGTGTGCAGTCTAAATTATCATTGTTTTCGCTTGAGATTTGTCATCCTACGTATTGTATCAGTTAAAAAGTCATGTATATTCCGCAAACTTGCTCCAGTTACTGTATGCTATGCTGGCCCCTGGAAAAATAAAAGCATTATTTAATTTGGGAAATAATTCACTAATTAATTAATTATGAAGTACTACAACGTTAACCATCGTAATATAAATTAACGCGATCGGTGGCGGTGATATACACACAGATTTTGATCGTGCAAATTACCATGTAAGCTACCTAACTAGGACACAGTCGGTACTTACATCATCGAGTACAGAGAGCGAAGTAGACTGGTGGGAAGCACTGATGATGTCCTGCAGACAGCGCGCGAACTCCTCGATGACGTCACGCATGGGGTCGGGCTCGGGGCGCGGCTCCAGGCCGGCGCCCGCCCCCGCGGCCGCGCCCCCGTCGCCCGCGCCCCCGTCCCCCTCCACGCCGGCCGCCAGCAGACACTGGCACACTGCCTCTATCACCTCGGACGTCATGAAGCTGCACGGTTGCCTGCCAAATACCAAATAAACTTTATCATACACAATAGTCCACGAAATGTAGTTGACCGTACACAAAAACACAGCACGAAATTATATCAACTCGTATGTGTAGCAAACATATAAATCAAACAAGAAAACTCATAATATTAATTTACGGCCAAAATTTAAGGAATTTTTGTATGGAGATTCTATTAGAGTATACATTTCCACCGTTAGTCTATTTGCCATTCACTTAAAAAACAACCCATGAAAATAATATACTGACTTGACTTGTCCGATGGCTGGTGGTCTGAACATGGGGTCGGACAGTTTGTCCCTGAGCCGCATGGCATCCCGTCGCCTCTCCAACGTCTCCTCCACGTTGCGACACCCCACACACTTGCACATCGACGTACACGCTATCTTTGCCTGAAGTAACAAATATATTTTAGAAAAATGATTTTGTGTTTAAAAAAAGTACATCCATATTATTCGAATGTTTTTTCTTACCTCATAACATTCACAATAGTTTTTGAGACAGCCGCTTCTTTTACAGTTACACCCTTTGTTGTGCCTTCTTATAATATCTGGACCACCGGTTTTCGATTTACCTATCTTAGGCCTGTGGATGTTATAATTAAAGCATTAAAAACATAATATGCAGGTACACAAAACTGTAACAATGAATTCAGTACTTAGCGTTTACAAGCCGAGGCATAAGTTCTGCAAAATACTAGTATATTTGCAAAATGTTTACCTAAAAGCATTAGGGTTCCTATCGAGACAGGCCCTGATAGCCTTTTGTCTGAGCTCTTCATTCTCCAGGTTATTGTGACAGTTGTTACAGTTGCAGCGGTTGCAGAACTCGCCGTTCGCGAAACAGTCGCAGTACAACTTGAGACATTGCGACTTCGTGCAGTTACACGCCTTACGAGGCCTGAGTCCCAAATCACCCGACACTAAATCTGAAATAATCAAATACATGAATTTATTTTATTGAACTCGTCGAGTACCGGTTTTATAGACACAATTAAAGAACAATAGGTCGCGGTCACCGGTGACCGCTTGGTGTTTGACAGTTTAAGTTGCGAAGTCAGTGAGAGCCCAAAGGCGATTTGACAAGGCCATTTTTTTTTTTGGTTTCTCTAGCTAGAGATTCTTATTTTCAATTATACTGAACACCTTACCGCTTTCTGAGAGAGCTTGAGATGCTTTTGGTGAGAGGTAAGGCAAGACTTCATGCTCTATAGTGGTAAAACTCCTTTCCTCCTGAAAAACAAAACATTACGAAATAAAAACTATGCCCTTTGACTATTTAATGAACCTATTTTATGGAAATCTACTATATAAAAATAAGTCGAGATTTCCTTCCTGACGCTATAACTCCAGAACCCACAAACCTCTCGGGCTCCGTGAGGTTTATAAAATATAAAACAAACAAAAATTTCTTCATCTTTTAATGACCAAACGAAATGTTACATAAAACGAAGCCATCTGGTGGCGAAACGGAGTTCGCCGGGTTTGCTAGTTCTTTATATTTACTTCTTCAGACATAATAATGATCTACGTTATTTTTTCATGGAATGCATTCTCTTGGCAACAATCGAAATACCAAATTCTTTTTTGTCTCAAAATATGACAGTTAAAAATTGAGTCCAATATACAATTACCCTCATCTGCTTGTTGAAACTGGAAGGTATGACGATAAGTGGATGTTCATCCGACCTGTGGCTACTGTCGTGGTCCATGCTGTTCGTATTCTCATCATCTGCTGAAGACTAGAAAACAAAAAAAAACCATTAGCACATTTTTATTAACTGTAATATTGTAAATGGACTATTTTTTGTGGATAGAAATTGCGTTATTTCTTAGTTATTATTAACCAATATTTTACTATCTTAATGAATAACGACAAAATAATAATTTAACATAATTGTAAGTTTGATAAAATTACACAAACCTGTCGCCTCTCAAAGTCAATTTCAATTTCGTGTACGCCGTGGTTGTCTTGCGAGTCTTCACCCACGGTGTCGGCAATGAGAGCTCTCAGCGCGGCTTTAGACTCTCTTTCGTCTTCACTTCGATCAGCTTCTCGTTCAATTTCCCGGTCACCAGAATGCTCGAACGCATCATTCCCTGACACATCCACTTCGTCATTGGTACTGCCACCATCTAAAAGGTCTGTCACTTCCTCCAAGTTGTGTTCAGCCATCGGTGATAATGGCGCTAGTAAACTTTGTGACGAACGGGCCGACTGTTGCTGTAACTGGAAACATTGTATATGTTTGTTTAGCCAGAAGAAGGTATGTGCATTTATCATTTCTCAGTTTATTACTTATGATCCTACTTATCAAGACAAGACTTTCTACCTATAGTCGTATTTTTAATTAGACGAAGTCGACTGACGTTTGCTGTGTTGTCAGTTTTTGATGAAATAAAAATAGTGTTGCGAAAAAGTGAATGATTGAAAAAGCAACTAAATGAATGAAATTGTCTCGATCGTCTAGTGAATTAATTGAAGTAGTTGAAACTACAGATGAGTAAAATATAAAAAAATTAGGTAGTTATGGATAATAAAAACAACGCTAATAACATCATTTGATTTTAATCATCATCAGATAAAAAATCATCGCTATCACTTTCGGTGACATTAATAATAAAGTTGTCTGACACATTGTCAATCATGTGGTCAAGGCCATACATTTTGTCTTCTTCTTTAATAACGTGAGACACGCAACTACTCCATTTTTCTGCTGTGATGAGTTGAAGTCCTTCTTCAAACAGTTTTTTAACTTCTGGCATTTTAAAAGTTTTGTTATTTCTTGCCACATGTCCTTTGGCCTGCGCCCATACCAACTCAATAGGGTTAAGCTCACAGTGGTATGGGGGCAGACGTAAAACCGTAATTCCATGGTGTGCTGCCATCTCGTCCACAACAAACTTTTCAGAATGTTGGTGTTTGTGCTGTCGTACAATGTCTATAAGAGTAGCTTTGATCATTGTTGCTTCGAATGCGATATTTTTGCTTGTTAGCCACTCTTGTATTCTGGATTTAGTCCAAGACATTGTAGGCAGCGATTCCAGTTTCCTGGAGTGGTACGGGGCATTATCCATCACTACCACGGAATTTGGTTTGAGTTTTGGCAAGACCTCTCTGAACCACTTTTCGAAGGAATCGGCATTCATCTCTTGATGATAATCTTCTTTGTTTTTTGTGGCTTCAAATATTAATAGGCTGTCTTCTACGAACCCTTCTTCCCCGCCTATATGTCCGATAATTAAGCGTTTGCCCTTTCCTGAAGGTTGTTTTAAGCCAGTGGTCAAGCCATCGAGGAAGGCCTGGCGGGAGGTTAGCACTGTTTGGTCAATCCATACCTTCTTCGGGGCATGACCTTAAAAATAGAGAAAAATATCAATTAATTATTGAAAGTAGAGGGACCTTCTAAACACATGCCTGTAAATGTATGTACACGTTTATCTAAGTGGTTTGTCATGTTTGTTTGTAATTATTCCTAATTTATATTATTGTCACACAATCAGAATTTACAGTCTTATAAGAAACGCATGTAATCTGTGTTAAATACAGCGTCGGTAACGAATTGTAAGAACTTTTATCTGTGGCCACAAAACCTACAGAAAGTAAAATTTAAAATGAAGAAAACAAAATTGTAATTACCTTCGTTGATCCAGGTCTCATCTTGGTAATAAATATACCTTCCTTCTCTTCTATACTGTTTTATTTCTCGAAGGTATCGCTGGCGCCATAGAATAATATCCTGTCTGTCAATAAGAATGCTTTTTCTTGTCTTTGAAACGTATTTGAAATTCAAATGTTTCATAACATTTCTTAGTGTACTCCATGAAAAAGTCGGTAAATCTGGGTCTTCATTGACAACTTTAAGGATCTGTAAAGTAATAAAAATGTTTTTGAGTAAGGAAATCTATGCAATCTAATACTTTGGTTTTACAAAGAACATTATGGTGGACACAGAATATAATGCAGTAGACGGAATAAAGTTTATGTTACCTTTGCAATGGTGGGTGGCTCATTTGCATAAAAAAACTGATGAACTTTTCGCCTTATGGCAGTAAAAGTAAAATCATCTAATTTGTCTTTGAAATTGTATTTCGGTCCACGTTTCTCGGGTGATTTAAATTGTTCATTTTCTTTGTATTCTTTTAATACACTGTAAACCGAGGTCACACCAATTCCCAAAATGTCAGCTGTTTTCGAAACACATTCCTGTTTTTCGGGGGTTTCAAAAGGTAATAGAGAAGCAGCTTTCTCCTCAAATACGTGTTTATACACGTTCTGTACCATGAGCTTTTCGGTAACGCTTAACGAAACCCGTGGTCTCTTCCTTCTCGGAGACAAGCTTTGACTTGACGTGCTTGGTTGAGGATCCATATTGTTTAAAGGAAACAATGAACCACAATAACCGCAAACACAACGAAACAAAAAACTTAACAAAACAACGTGAGCGCAGAAATAACAAAGTACGTGCTTTCAGACCAGAGGTTAGAAGCCGAATAACAATCAAAATGGCGACCGACGCGCGCGACGTCGATCGGTGTTGTCAGTACTCGCCGCGCCGCGCTTTACAATAAACTATCAAATATTGATACAATTTTATTAGAAATAGAAATAATATTCATTTATGTTTTGGAATGATTAAAATTATGAACTATTCACATTCATTGTTCATTCATTTGATTGAACGAGAACTGTAGCCATCACTATTACTTTAAATATGGCCACATTATTTTACAATTTGACATTAGCCATTGTCAGTTGACTTCGTCTAATTAAAAATACGACTATATATTAAATTGATCGACGCGGCTACATGCCTTAATATACGTTCATACTTTTTGATGTCAAATTGACACTAGCTGAACTACGGCTAAAGTTTAAGATTATACTTAAAATATATTAACAAACGCGACAGAGGGCGCCTCATAGTTAGATAATTGGAAGATTAGTCTAAGCAGATAAATTATAAAACTGCTATAATGTTTATGCGAATATTTTCTATGAAAAAACTGAATAGTGTACTTTAATTTGCGAATCCACTTTAATGTTATATCATAGTTATTGATTCAGAAGCCACAAAATTGCGCGTTTATACGTTAGTATTTTGGAAGACGAGTTTGGCTGTTGGCTGAAATATTATTACACGTATTACACCACGCTATAAAGTAAAGTAAGCAATTTCCACATACCTGCACAGTTTGCGCGGGTTTCACAGTACCCGGAGCTATTCGTACCAACTTTTTCGGCTTCGTAGTAACTGCACAACAAATACAATATTATGTTAGATCTCCCACAATCATCAAACGACACAGCTTCTGAGTTCTGACAACTGACTTATAATTTAAATTAATTCCAAACTAAGTTCCATGTTTAATAATTTTCAAAATGTTGTTTTAAATAGAGAAACATTTCGTAATTAGAGTTGTGTGTCAATATTATTTGAATTTGCCGTTTTCCAATTTCTAAAATTATTATTTTTTACAGGTGTCACACAGCCACACAGTGATAACTAAATGAGAGAGTGAAGTAATGTTTTTTTTTAATTTGGTATAATGATCGAATGAATTTACTTTTTGCTGTCGTACTTCCTGTGAGTACCAGTGGAGGTGGCTGGCCACTGTCCATTTTCTCTGCAGTCATCTGAATGAGGTTACCTGCATTGAACATGTTGCTTGTCAGTACTCTTCAGAACATTTTGTGAAAGAAAGCAAAATAGAATGTTATCAATTACCTAGATTACCTTTACTATCACTTAGGACGAAACTTTTGGAGGGTGCAGCCACAGCAGAAGTAGATCCTTTTAAGAATTGCTTCTGTGTTGCGGTTATAGGGTTGGTTATCAGTCGAATGTATTGAACCTGTTAGAAGAAACACCCATATTTTAAAATATATGCAAAGATAATTGTTCTCAATGTAATGTGGAGATAGTCTTCTTTAATTTTTAAATCGTATGTTTTTCTAGTTTTATATATAAAAAGGTTGTCAAATAAACTTACGCCTTTCCCAGGAACATTAATTTGATGTATTTGCGATCGTTGTCCTTGTATCACTACATTACCATCCTTCTTTATCTGGAAGACAAAATATTTATTTCATCAGGAAGTGCATCATTAACTCTTTAACTATTAATTATTAAATTTGGAGAAAGGCATTACATATCTGTCATGGTTTCTATTTATTTATTCTATGGGTTTCTAGCACATCAGTACGTATTATATATGAAAACTACATTTGTTTAATAAATATTTCTCAACAATTTCACATACCTGTGCTGTTTTAGGAGGTGCCGTAGTCTTCAGTATAACATTTTGACTTGGATTCGCCGTTATAACTACCTTCTTGGTAGTAGTGGCAACTGTAACAACAAAATGTTAGAAATATAATATTTTTCCTTTTCTGCAGTTTATAAGTATTTTGAGATAGTGTAACTTCTTATCAAAATATCATGCAATCTATTTCCGGGGGTATTCAGTTGCAGAGGTGTTCATACTACACAATACACATATTAAATAACTATTTTACAACAAAACAACAATAAATTAAAAAGCTTACCTGGTGTCGTCGCCGGTGCGATGGTAGATGTAGGCGACTTAATAGCTATTAATTGTTTCTTCGCGAATTTCACCCCTTGGTTTGTTGGAGACGCCATTATCACCTATAATTCAATAGAAATGTTTTAACACAATAACAAAAGACTTGTTACTTAATAAACAATAATTTTGACTTAATTAACAATACTTGTTACTTAATAAACTTAATATTAAACCTGTGATGATAGTTTAGGTAAGGTTTTATATATATAAATAAAATAAATAAATAAATAAAATTAACGTTTTACGTTAAGATTTCTTTACTTTACTTTTCTTGTTTTTGTAAAACTGTAAAATTAATATTGTATTGACTGAACTAATCAGAATCTATTTATGAGGTGGATAAAAATAACTCTTTATTTACTGAATTCTGCCAACAACTACAACAAAAATGATAATAACAAAGATATCGCGTGGTTACCTTATTAGTTCCTATAGAGATGGGTACAGTTTTCTGTTGTATAACATAACGAGTCTGCAAATTGGCAGCGGATGATGAAGGTAGCAGTTTAGTTATGACAGCGGACTGGCTTGCAGGGTCCGTGTTAGATTGACCTGTACAAGTAAGAACTTTTTTAGAATTTAAGTTTAAAGATATTGAACAGAATTGCTGCTAATCACGCATCTTCAATCAATAATTTTATTGTTGACATTGTCAAAGGGTTATTGGTGACTTTTTATTGTATGTACATATTGTACATCTCCCTAGTTAGGCGTTAACAGGCGAACCTATAGCCATACAAGACACACTATTTTATTTTACATCGCTTTAACACATGTACATATTTTTAAGCATTATCTAATTATTATATGCTATCTAGATTTACCAAAGCATACCTTGAACAATAACTTTCGCTAACACAGGCTTCTGAGTATTGCCGCTGCTGACATTTTTTATAAGTTCCGCCTGGAAATAGAAACAACATTAATAGACACAGTTACTATTGATATAGTTACTATTCATACCATTCATATATCTTGTAATTTTACCTGGTCACTGCTTGCTCGCACATATTGTACTGGCAATCCCGACCCAGATGTAACTAGTTTGATTTTCTGGCCACCACTTGCAGGAACCATCACCAGTTGCTTTCCTATTTGAGCTGGAATTATAAGGTTGCTTATAAATCAGAGAAAGTAGTAGAGTGACCGAGTGAAAAATAGTGTTATTAGAGAGAGGTGTGGATTGAAAGACGATGTAGTGACAAGGATTGAAAAGGGAATGTTACGCTGGTTTGGACATGTAGAAGGATGGATGAAGGTAGAGTAACGAAAGAAGTATACAGAGCGGATATGAATGGAGCCGTCGGTAAAGGGGGCCCTAGACGGACATATAGTGACCAGATTGGCGATATATTAAAGAAGGGCCAAATTAAAAGTACCCTTAACCGACGAGCATGCATGAAAGATTGATGACTGTTAATGAAGCGAAAGAGGTATGTAAGAATCGTAGTAATTGGCGTTCCTTAGTCTCTGCCTACCCCCATGGGAGACAGGCGTGAAGTTATGTATGTATGTAAGTAGTAGGAGTAAATTGGTGTACTACTGACAAAAATTGTTAACGGTAAATAGGCAAGTGTGACACAAATTCTATCTAGCATAATAATTAAATATTACAAAAACAACTTACTTAAAAACGAGTTTCCACTTTTGGCCCCACCCTGTATAACACTAGAGAGTGTCATTTTCTTCACTACGTTGGCATTCTTTGTTGTGACGAGGGCGACAGGTTTTGGTGCTATTGCATATTGCTTCCCTGATGAGAAGGTGGCTGTGGACATTGGTAGCCCTGAAGGTACCAACTTAGGCGGCTTTGGGGCTATGGGCACTTGCCGTGGCGGGTTACTTGTGACCACTGTCTCATTCTTCTTGCGTGGTATTGCAGCCTGGAAACATTTTGTTTTGGAATTAAAGCTGGTTTATTAATCTAGTAGTAATATGAGTAAACTGCTGAACATAATATGGTTCTGAGTTTGATATGTATGAAAATTACACAATATTTATAACAATAAATAGTGTAATTTACAAACTTGTATGGTATTACTGAACAAGTGATCAGTTATTTCAGAGGACTAAAAATCTTAAAATATTTGTAAAAAGGTATTGTATACACAAAACATTTTTAGGTGATATTTTCATAAACAAGCTTTAAGCATAAATACTTAAAAGAACAATTTTTATATGTATTGTAGAACAAAACCTTACCTTAACTGCAATGTATTTAGGTTGTGTATGTGTTGTGGTAACTTCTTGTGTCATACTATGAGGAATATCTGGCTCAAATTGCAAGTCGATCATGGACTCTTCTTGAGCTTGCATCACATTCAGACCCTGGAAATGTTAAATAATTATTCTAGTATCTATTTTACAATATAATTTTAACCACATATATAAAGCTAAAGAAATTTTTCGTTTGTTTGAATGTGCTAATCTCTGGAATTACTGATCTGATTTCAATAAATCTTTTTGTGTTGGATAGTGCATTTATCGAGGAAAGTTTTATGCTAAAACATCAATCTATGAGCCAAGAATCTAGTCAACCAGCGCGTAAATATTTATATCAGTATTTATATCAATAAAAAATTGCCCCAAGTCTTTTAAAAGGTATAGAAATCTACATTTAATTGGGAACACACCCTACATATAAATAATTATAATATTTACTAACATAATTCATCCACAACTTAAAAATATTTTGAAATAGTTCTATACTTACATGTACTTCATCCAATCCACTTGTTTCTGGTACAGAATCATCTTGCACAGAATACTCTTGCAATGTGTACTGGTCATTCATAAAATCTGAAACTAGACAAAAACGTAATTACTTGGGATACAGTCAAGTAAAGTTACTTTACAACTACCCAAACACATAATTTCAAAATTTAAGATAATCAAGTTATATGACTGTAAATAAAACAATTTATGATTGAGTAGGATTTGTCTGGTGGCTAGTCAACCTATCCTTTTTAAATCTTCAATTTTATTTCATTGTCTTGATGAAAACCCAATCAATAAATTTCATACATTTGAGTCGGTTGATCTGTTGGTCACTGTACAACCAATTAGTTGGTTAAAGTACTCGTCGATGTATCTATAACTATATTATTACATCATTTTACATATATATTAAAATTATTTGCATGGTTATTGAGTTACCACAATGCATAATAAATTAACATGCAGAGGTATATTTTTAACAAACAAATCATCCTTATTCATATGACTGACATTTAACACTATCTGACCTTCAGACATAAGCCATTATTTAGGAACTATATCATTTCAATGTCAAGTGATTAGTTATTAATACATCATTCAGAATTATCTAAATGGCATTGTAATCACATCACTCCTGGTCTAAAGGAGATAGATGTATACAAATATTAAGGATAGATATCACAAACTCTTCTTTGCAAATATATATGTAACTAACATGTTACAGTTAGTAAAGGAATTGAACCTGCAAAATGTTGTGTTGCAGCCGTGCAGTCATTACTTTGCTATTTAAGTAACGGATGAATCTCTTGCCAGGTTAAAAAGAGTGTAAATTCAAATATGTATCAAAAGACAAAATTACCTATAATCTCTTCAGTGCCAGTGTCCATGAGCATCTGTTGTTCCTCAATACTCTCAAATTCCATTGGAATATCTGGTTCATGACCAGTTGTTTCTAAGGGTATGTCTTCTTGACTCACTACTCCAGCCTCGTGGTCAAAATCCATCTGAAAATTAATAAATTAGAGAATAGAAAATTTAATTATGTTAGAGAAAGAGGCAAAATTAGTAAAATGTTGCATCTATAGACAAACTTATAGTGACTCAACAGAATCATTTGTATTTTTTGGCTTTTTCCCAATTATGTTCAGGTCAGTGTTGAATGTGCAAGAAAAGAATGAATTAAACTTTATTAGATGGAGGAATTGCCATAGGCCCCTTCCGGAAAATCTTGGTCAGACCCACTGGAAGATAACTTGGCTTTCTAACTTGGTATAGCAGCACTTAAGTCTCATTGCTAATAGAAAATTGATTTTACCTGTACTGTCTTAGTACTTATAATATCTCCATCTATGTTTTAGAAACTGAAAATTATTATTATTATGGAGTTTATATTAATTAACCTTTTGCAGTTACACAAGTAATAATGATCTCTGATCGGAACATAATCATAATACAATATTAGATTAATATTTACATTCTCTAGGTAGTCTGCAAACGCACAAATCAGCTCTGGCTTTGTTATTTATGAAAGTTAACTAAACACACTTTTTGTAAGAATATTCATTGTGCAAAAAATTTCTAGTATCATCTCATGTTTCCCTGCACTGTTAATACACTCCTTAGCAAGTCTAAGTAGGCTAAATGAAGATTGATGTGTATACTACATTGGACAACAAAAAATGTATGTGACTGTGTTTCTGATAATAATTACATGGTTTGTTTAGCTTCTTTATAGACACAAACATACCTAAAAAGTAGAATATAGTCATTAAAAACTCAAGGAATATTTGTTTCTGCTTATTTATTTAGTTTCCATACTATGTCCAAAGTGATTTACCTACATAAACATACCATGATTAATAACATGACATAAACACAAATAGGTAGAGCATGAAACTGAAATACAGTGTGTTTCTAGTTGGTTTCCGGCTACTTTTGAATCTATTTTACAAAAAGAACAGAAATATTAAAGTAAATAAACTATTCTAAGACTAAACTCTACTTACATTGCCCATAGCACTTTCCAAGTTTAAAGAGTCGTCCAAATTGTGTTCCATGGTAAGGCTTTAAACACTAATGTACTTCAATATTTCACACACAGTAAAAAGTATTTAAACACCACTAAACTGGTTCAAAATCATCAAAAACATTTGGGAGTTCAAAAGTGGCCGCCATTTTATAAGTTGTCAAATTCTGCCGACAAGCCTTTCGAAGTCTCTCAAGTCGCCACGGTTGAAAACAAATCGACACAAACATATAACAATAATGGCGGGTAAAAGTCTTCCACACAAACTGTAATTATTAATTATAAACAAAGAACACCAATAATACTTCAGTTTGTAATGCTTTTTACGCGCCTAAAACAAAGAATTTTCCTTAGAAATGTAGTAAAAGCGAGAAAAATTCTAATGGCGCTTCTTTCAATTTTTTGATGTCACAATGTAGCCAACTTCAGAAAACAATAATTGATCGATTTGGCATTTAATCGATTAGAATGTTACTAATTGTAATGTTGTAAATGTATAGTTTTTGTAGTTTGTAGTAAATACATTAATGTCCTATTTAACAGTCACCAAATAGTTATAAAAAATAACTTTTTTTATGTTATATTTAAAACCACAAATATTTAATATTTCATGATTTAAAAAACCAAATTATTGTAAATTAATGATTAATTATTATAAATGATATTGTACTACGTGTGATGTGATTATTAATTTTTTAAAATGTTTTCATCACGTTTTCGACGCTCGGTTCCATTTCAATCATAAAAAGTATCCAAACTGTTTACAATCGACTAAACAAAAACCGTAAATTAGATCATTCGTTCCGGTTTTTTTAAATTTATATTTTGATTTTTTCTTTACAGATAATAAAAAATAAAAAAAAATACTAATTATTAATAAATAAATACAACTTAAGATAAAAAACAATTAAAATAAAACAGGTTTAAGAACAAGAAACAGGTTTACAGAAGATTTTCAAATTGGCTGTCAACTGTCAAGTGTCAGTGTCATAATTAATTAATGTCGTATATTTTATGCCGGATTCTGATCATCTATTCTTGTTTCAGAAATAATAAAAATAAGAATTGTATAATAAGTACCAGATTTTCAAAATGCCAATAAATTTACAAGGAGTACGTCAGTACTTAAGTGAATTGAGAAATTCTGGGGGCTTGCACAAGGACCAAGCTGAAAAGTAAGTCGAAATACTTTGTTTTGCATCCTACTTCTATTTGACAAAAGATCTTACTTTTAATCAAAACAAATCCAGTAAAATGCTACTATAATTTTATTTTAATACGTGTCAATTGCAGATACCGCAATGTTCTCATGGAAATACTAAAAAGTACTGAAACGGAATTGGCTGAATCACTAAAAGCTTTTGTAGAAGCAAGTAAGTCAGTTGTATATTTAAAGATTACAGTGTGTCTTCATAATACAAGATTTACCTGAGCGTATTTATCTATTTCAAATGATCTTTTGCCATAGTTTATATTAATAAGCTAGACATTTGTCCTATGTCTGTTGGTAGTTAGGTAGTAACCATAGAATATCACATTTAATCAATCTTACATCCCTCTTAGGAATTAAAAGAAAGCTGAACACTCATATTTATTTTGAAGTCCATATGTACTTTTTAATCTTGAAAATTCTGTTTAGAAAAAAACATACTTAACTTCCTATTTGTGTTTTTCAGTTGTGAATGAGAATGTGAGCCTTGTAATTTCTCGTCAGCTCCTGACAGATGTGAGCACTCACTTGGCGCTGCTGCCTGACCTTGTCTCCCAAGAAGTGTCACACTTTGCTCTAGATGTCATTCAGCCCAGAGTCATCTCTTTTGAAGAACAGGTACTTAAATCCCTTCATAATTACATTTACTATTGGCAAATCATTAGTATTGAACAACATAGCACTATAATGTTAGCTCACAATTTTCTGTCCAATGAGGGTAGGTGGATTTGTGCTGAGTATTTGTTTGCTTATTACTTTCTTCACTTCTATCGAACTCATATAAAATGCCATTACTTATGTAAGTACCACAACTTTAAACAAAGTCCTATGAAGCCTGAAATAAATGAAAATATGGACTAGCCCCTTGACTCCCTCTATGTGTGACAATAAAAACTACTTTAAAATGTAGATACTATGTTCAGTGGTCTAATAGATATGCATGATTTTTATTACCCTCCAACTCACCTCTTATATTGCTCGTAATCAAATTGAACCCAACCTTGTTAAACCTCATGGAATCAGTAATAATCAAAACAAACAAAACATTTTTCAGGTGGCCAGTATTAGACAACATTTGGCAGATATTTATGAGAGGAATCAGAATTGGAAGGAAGCTGCCAATGTACTGGTTGGGATACCACTGGAAACTGGACAAAAGTATGCATAAATAAATATTTTTTATAACTGTGATTTGAAATAGAATATAATAGAATACAACTTTATGAAATGACAAACATAAATAAAAATAATAATGGGCCCAAAGGCGGTCTTATCACTTATAGTGATTTCTACCAGCCACCTTTATGTGGATATAATGAAAAGAAATATTTAGACGGGTTGTACGGTAGAAATATTTTTTTATATCAGGCAACAATTAACAAAAGTTTAAAATAAATACATATTGAAAATGAAACAGGCAGTTAATATAACCAAAGTTATAACTGAAATCATTAACTGAATGAACAACTGCATTATCAGAATGTTTTCATAAAAAAAAATGAAACAAAAATATAGACACAAAAGTAGTGTTTTGTTCATACTCTTAGGTATTTCCCTATTTTCGTAATAGTAATATATTCAGTCCACATAATACCATTTTAGTTTTGTTACTAACAAAGTGATTTATTATTTTCAGGCAGTACTCAGTAGATTATAAACTCGAAACGTATCTGAAGATTGCCCGACTGTACCTCGAGGTTGATGACCCCGTGCAGGCTGAGGCATTCGTCAACAGAGCATCACTCCTGCAGGCAGAGACTACTAATGAACAACTACAGATCTACTACAAAGTTTGCTATGCTAGAGTCTTGGATTACAGAAGGTAAATTCATTGTCTTTTTATCTACTTTAAACATCAACTGATTGTAATCGGAACTGCAATCACTGAGCAAAAGAGGGGTGAATTTCCCGCAATAGGAAAAATAATATTGGAGATTTTTGGCTACTTTTTAATTATGCCTGATATAAGCCAAAGGGCTTATCCAGTATTACATTGAGCTCGAAAAATTTTAATAGTAAACTTTTTATAGCAATTGTATATCAAGTGTGGGAGAGCCATGCTTCGGCACGAATGGGCCGGCTCAACCGGAGTGATACCACGGCCTCACAAAAAAACCGACGTGAAGCAACGGTTGCGTTGTGTTTCGTCGTGTGAGTGAGGTTACCGGAGGCCCAATTACCCTCCCCTTCCTCAATCTCCCCAATCCCTGAATCCCCAACGATCCTCAAACTCCTAATCCCCAAAAGGCCGGTAACGCACTTGTAACGCCTCTGGTGTTCCAGTTGTCCATGGGCGACGCAAAAAATCAACTACCTACTGGTGCAGAAAATCTCGAAATAAGTTAAAAATTATGTTATTATTTTGTAGGAAATTCATAGAAGCGGCCCAAAGATACAATGAGTTGTCATACAGGAACATTATTCACGAAGACGAGAGGATGACGTGTCTGAGGAATGCTCTCATCTGTACTGTCTTGGCATCGGCAGGTAATATCATTATACATTCTATTCTACGGATTCTATCCTAGTGGTAGGCAGGACCTATGTACTTACCCAAAGTAAATAGAATAGGTAGGTAGCTATGTAATAAACCCTAATCGATTTTGATGAAGGTGACCAGTCAGTAAAACTGTACTAGTCCACTTCAACAGTGATACTATATTTAGATATGTGTTAATACAGGTTCACTCACTCTCTATCCAGGCTCCTAATGGTAACTTTATTTGTGTCCAACTTGAGGATCGAATCTAGGATCTAATGAAATATGTACATAAACCACCGTCTTAACAAGACGACTGAGTGCAGCTTGCCCTCCCCTGTAATAGGATATTTAACTATTCCGATATACCTATACATAGGACTTCCTTTGATAGGCTAACTAAAGTAGATTCTCTTTATTATCAGTTACAGTCGCACCAATTTCTACCTGCGACGGTATGAATAGTATTTGTTAATGAACCTAAAAACCTCACCTCAAAGTCATCATTAAAATGGATACTATGTACCTTGTCTTGAAAAAGTAACACCCACCCTTTGTTTACAGGACAACAGCGTTCCAGAATGCTAGCTACCCTATTCAAAGACGAGAGATGTCAGCAGTTACCAGCATATTCTATTTTGGAGAAAATGTACCTGGACCGTATCATCAGGCGCTCCGAGCTGCACGAGTTTGAAGCCCTAATGCAGACGCATCAGAAGGCAATGTGTCATATTTATCATTCAGTACTTACAGGATAAATGGGCATGACCAACTCATTGCATGAAGTCGACATTGTAATGGCTTCTGAGATAAAATGTATTGTATAGTTATGTTATTTTCCAAAGGATGCCTATGCCAGTGCCATGAGCATTCTTGGACATACCAGTTATGTATGGAAAACTTTTGGAGTAAGAGGCGATGCTGAAAAAAATTCTAGTAATACTTTGGGAAAGGGAACACACTAACAACGCTATTTTCTGTTAACCCTAAGCAACAATGTTATTGTCGCACACAATGTTGAATTATCACTAGAATAATATTCCTAAAATTTCTACGAACAAAGATTTATGTGTTACGCGATGCTGCAACAAAGTAGCGGATTGCGGAACTCTGTTTACCATATACAAGGAAGTAGTAAATTACGCATTACTTCACTTTTGCTTTTCTAGACACGTGTTAATTACGAGCAGTAGTATGTTCTTGACCTTTTTATCAGCATCAGCACTAATAATCATCTTATTTTCAAACAAACAAAAGATCTATCACTCTCATTAGACCAAGCTTGTGAAATATATCGATACTTTTTAGCGTATGTGTAAATACATAAATCTATGAAGTGTAGCTTTTAGATCTCTAATTTACGAATATGTTAAATTTTAACAGGCTACCACATCAGATGGAACCACAATCTTGGACCGAGCAGTTTTCGAGCATAATCTCCTGTCTGCTAGCAAATTATACAACAATATTACTTTTGAAGAACTGGGCGCGTTGTTAGAAACCCCACCCGCCAAAGCGGAGAGGATTGCTAGCCACATGATCAGTGAAGGTCGGATGAACGGATACATAGATCAGATCAGCTCTGTTGTACATTTTGAAAGTGAGTGTTTATGACAACATTATTACCATCAACTAGAATCGATAGATGTTTCCTAGAAATCGCATACCTACTAGGTACTAGGTAGGTCATTCATCTGCTTTCTACATTGTCAATCCTTTGATAAAAGGGTAATCTGTATCCAAAAGCATCGGATAAATACACACAACTGTAATATAATCGATCAATATCAATCAACACACAGGCATAACGTAAATACCTACTTGAAGTGATATAAACGCGTGATGTATTTTCACTTGATAGTGAACACCAACAAGCGCACATTCCATTGACATAATGATAAGATATAAATAGCGAAGAGATTTAGTAGATATGATTAGATAGGCCTAACAAAATGCTAATGTCTTCTGAATACCGAGGTCGTGTTTTAATGTCCCATGTCCTCAAAATTCTCGACGGGATGGTTGTTCTTACTCGAAATTGTCTGTGGGATCATTATATCTAAGACTAGGATAATAGTCTAAAAGTAAAAACTTTCAGTTATAGATGGAACTAACTAACACAACACAGTAAGAAAGCATGATACAACATTGCAATAAAGATTTCCTGTATGGGAATACAATTTATGATACCAGTTTTTCAGGAAGTTACTATCAAATACTTTAATTAATATGTTCTTATAAGCCTTCGTACGCAATACTTGTAGGTAGGTATTTGTAATTAGTAACTGCGAAGAGAACATGATTTAGGCTAATTACCTGCCTGTCAATAAAGGAATTAAAAGTTTGAACATTAATATACTCAGTTTGGCCTTAGATGAAACACCGTCTGTTTATGACAAAGCTAAAGCAGACGATATGACGATTGACGCAAATATCGCGTCACGTCATTGGCTAGATGTATAAATAACTGGTAAGATCGGCTGTAACAACAACTCTTCATAAATTGTTGTCGTATGTTTTCACTGCATAAATAATACCTACGACTATATAACAATCTTTCATTGAACGTAACAATGAAGGTGTGTGCCAAACTGCATCGTCAGGGTTAAAATAAACGCTATACGGGAAGTAATGAAGGCCCCTGGCTACATTGTTCCTGTTTGATCAATGATTCTTCTATTTCAAAAGTATCTATACTGCTACTGCTAGGGAGATTGTATCCCATCGTACCTATAAAATCAATGATGACGTTACGAATTGTTTCCAGCTCGTGAGATTCTACCACAATGGGACAAACAGATACAGAGCCTCTGTTACCAAGTGAACAGCTTGATCGAGAAAATAGCTGCTGCAGAGCCAGAGTGGATGGCCAAGCTCATGGAGGAAGAAATGATCCAATAGCATTAGTACTCCTTGCATCTACTGTTCTTACTAATATAATATGCTTTTCAATATAAATTTCTTTTTTAATTGCAATACTACAATACAAAAATTGACTAGAAACATTTAAACAAAAACTCTTTATTAAACAAATAGCTTCCAAATGATGAACATTGTAAAAAAATATCAAATACCTATCCACATTGAAACACTTAGAATAGAGGGACTTACTTAAGGAGAGGAATTAATTCGAAATTATTTGTTGGTTTGGTCTAATAAAACAAATACACGCTGATTCCAACGGACTATTCATTTTTATTTCCATTCAATCAAGAATACACCATAGGTGCTTATTTACAAGACAACTGGCGTGGTGACGATATACAGGTTCAATATTAGTATTTACCAAAACAGGGATGCTTATACGCCGCGTGCTAATACATAATAGTTACATTAAGAACTCTAATAATAACATTTCTAGGAAATAGCGACCGCCGTCTTGAAATAGAAAGTATGATCAGACGGTGCTAACCCGCATTTACAATGATGAAGTAATTAGGTGTATGATAAGTTTAATTGGAACGTTTTAAACGCTCATTTACACTATACAGAGAACATTGACTTGAAGATACTGTTTAATAAATTGATTTTTCTAGTTACGCTTCCTTTTCTGTTATTATTATATAACAGTCAATGTGGCATTATGTATTATCTACAAGACTAAAAGCCGAAGCGCCTCTGAGTGCTTAGGGCTCGAGCTCAAGGGCGACGCCCACTTTGTGTCCACCAGCGTTGAAGTTCTGGCCATCGATAGCCGCCGACAGCGTCAGGACCACTCCTGTAAATATGAGAACAAAGTTATGTAAGAAATCAAACTGCCGCAGATTTTTCTTGATAAGATATGAGATAACGCATGTCACGCACAATTGTACAGATCATATGATCTGTCTCTACATTAGCTCAAAATTACATTTTAAAAAGTTGTGCCTGCGCAATTATAATATAAAAAAATTGTTACTTCTCATAATACAATTGTGTTAATTGTTACATCACTAGAATGCATTATTTCATACTAGTCATTAATGCTAGAATGCTCTTTATCAGAGATTATCTTGGCAAGTTTATGATGTAATTATGAGGTTTATGTTACTATAGTTGTGGAATGATCAATGAAACACTTATCAACATTTCATCAGCTAAGTGTTACCTGGGCGGAGTTTCTGTTGGTATCCCAGACCAATGAGAGATTTGTTGTTGATCTTGGCGTGCAGAGACGCGTCCGCGTCCAACGCGAACTTAGCGCCAACACCAAATAGCGTGTCGGCAGATCCTGCGGTCCACTTCATGCTGATACCGCATTCGATCTTCTCAGACACCTTCTGGTAGATGGAACCACCAAAGTCCTTTCCATTGTCACTGCATATATAAGAAAACAAAATTCAAAGTTATTTAAATATTTACAATTCATTAACATTCATTGTTCAATATATTAAAGTCATTGTTAAAGTAGTTACCTAACGTAACAAAAAGTAGAAGCCAGATCATATGAGACTCAGTCATAAATTATTCCCCATTCAACTGAATGATTGTACTTAGCTGGTTATAACTGGTTAGCATAACAAGAGAGATGACATCCTTGCTAAAACTCAACTAGGGCATGACTGCATGAGTTATGCAATCTTATAAAATCAATAGCAGTGACTCACTCAGATACTATCAAATGCCCTATAGACCTAGATTTAGCTTATTTCAAGTGAATTATTGATTCCTCTGACCCACTGTCTGTGTATTTTTTGTCAGATTTTATGATGTACATAACAAAACTGAAGACCGTTATGTGAGTTTATTGGGTGATAAAATGATACTTTTGAAATGATATATACTTACACATTGGTGTGTAGGTTGAAGTCCTTTGACTGGTAACCAAGAGCAAAGTTGTTCTTGGAGAACTTAGCCTTCTGGGAGTCAAACTGTCCATGGACACCAGCAAGCCAGCCCTGGAAGCTCAGGACAGCAGCAACATCCACAATAGGACCAGCCAGGTCCAAGTCCAAGTTGGTATTAACAGCAACAGTTTCATTAGCAAAAGAGGTCTTCAGTTTACCAGTCTTGCTTCTGTAAATCAAAATTAACTGTTTCAAAATATATTTTCTTGAATAATCAGAACTTGATGGATAGACCAATGAATAGCAAGAAATAAACAATATTTCTGCCCCATTCTTACCCAGTTTGTGGTGCGAAGGTTCCTTCAAGTGTAACTTTAAGTCCAGCAGCAATTTTATCCTGAATAGTGATGTCAGTGGCAAGTGTATTGTCTGTGTTCCATTTTTCAGTGAAAGTTAGACCATAATCCTTCACTGCGTATTTTGATGAAAGGCTACCGAACACCTGAAAGATAAAACTTAATCAGTTTATGTTATTTACCTTAATAAGATTACATTCATGAGCATAATTTACATATTTTATTTTCTTAAACACCCGACTGTATTCTAACCACCTGACCTTCGTAAATATTTATTACAGTAACTTTGTAATGTAACTTCTAGAAATAATACATAGAAATGTATAAATATAAATTGGTTAAAATAATCCATTTATATTGATACTACAAGATATTCGGTTTGTTGTAACATTCTTACCTTTCCACTTTCTTGGTTGGAGGTGATTCCACTGGAGAATTCAACACCTGTTTCACTTTTGGTCTTGAGGTCAAGTTTGAACACACCGAAGTGGTAGCCTTTGCCGAAGACATCATTGGCCTTCTTTCCAAGATCAGCATAGTATGGGGGAGACATTCCCTAAAGAACATTGAATCAATCATTAGATTTGAGGCCTACGAAAACGTTTGGTATGTACGTGTCCGGCGAGGTCATTAACCTTAAAATGGTACTATATTAGAAAACTGAAAAATAGACCCTTATCACATAAATCAAGGTGAAGCTTAACACGTTTAGCAAAGACGCGAAATAGCAATCAGTGCCAGCTGTGTCAGGGTCGAAATCGGCTTAGTGACTTATTTACAAGCCACTTCTACACAAGGTATTACATAACGTCGATGCATTGGAGCTGAAGCTGTACTACTACAACCTTACAGCTTCGTGAAAGACCATGAACATGAATAACTAACACAGGGTAGCTATATGTAGGAGGCCTTAAACTTGACCTTTGAGAAAAGAGCCGAAGTTGGGCTGCTGAAATGTTCACATCACATGCGTCAATTTAGCTTGTACCCCGGTGACGTTTTAGATCAGCAATAGGGGGACATTATATTACATTTTGAGAGAAAAGTTAGGACCTTGAACTAAAAATGTAATTTGAACAACTTTTAATTGAAAGGAATTACGAGAACTGTACAAAATTGTAAAATGACGTCGATATTCCCCGTTATAACCGGCTGGCCCCACAAAACGTAACCTATTTACAACAATACGAAATTCTTCTCGTTTCATCTGAAAACTTAACGTAATACGACTTTCTTGAATAATACTTACTGCGGCTTAAAATTTATTCACAAATTGGAACTATTTCACACTGAATTCCAGGCAATTTGCCGAGAACAAGACCTCCTACACTACCACACCACAAGACAATTTCTATTTTGACAAAAAGTCGACAGAGGGCGTGACGGCCGGAACTCGCGTTATTGATATTCACTCCACTTTAATGTATATTTTTAACAATTTAACTAGAATCCAAATTGTATAATAAATAAAAGTGATCGTATTTTAATAGTGTATTTCACAAATTATATTTTTAATATCTGTTCATTGACTGCATTGTAAATATTAAAGTACACAATTGACTTTTGTTTTCAGGAATGACGTACATAAGGCTAAGAATCTTATGATTTTTTATACTAATAATATTTTTATCAGTCTATTTGCCTTTAATTATATTTTATAATTCATATTATAAACCAAATAAATTTAAAAAGTCTAGTTTCTTTCTTAAACTTTCATATATAAATTATTGTTAGTTTCTAACAAAGACGCGCGTAATTCAAACGGGTGTTTTGAACTTGGACAATAATTATTTATTTATATAGTCATTGTGTAATAAAATAATAGATGGAAATTTCAATTTCATACTTACTATTGATCCAAAATTTTCAATAAAGCATATAAAACCACATGATTTTTCTGCATCTTCTGGAGTCCCTATTTTAAATGGGCACTGTTCATCTGCATTTTCGCAGTCACCGCCTTCACTGACTGAACCATCCTTTAACAGATTTTTTTAATAAGTGCTAATATCGAAAATATTAATTGTTTTTTTCTTTATATGGGAACCTTTAAATTAGGTATTCTGTGAGCTACTTACTGCTAGCATAAGGTTAATGTTAGGTAACATGGTAAAAGTGCTTACGTCTGAAGTACAAGATGGTTTTTCTCCAAATATTGCCGCGCTGACTGTTGGATATTTTAAGCTTTGCCAACAGTCCAATAAATCCTCAAAAATTGACATAATTAAGAAAAAATCATTAAAAATTACGATAATATTTGAACGAAAAATGTATGACAAGAGGGGACGTCTAGATCATTACGAATTTTGAACCAAATAAATCTACTAGGCTATTATGATAATTAGATATAGGACTCAATGATTATTAATACTGAAGCTTGAAAGCCTTGAATTCAAATGAACTTTTATGGGATCATAATGGGCTAGTTTTTTAGGTATCCTCCTCCTTTATCAGTATTCATTATTTACACAAGTTATATTAATGCTTGACAAATATCTTGGGTTTTAGATAGTCTCAATCTTGATTGTAGGCTAACACGACTACCTACCTTGTAATATGGCGCATCTATCAATCTAGTATCTACAATTCTACATAGGTAGGTTTAAATTATCAAAAACATAACATAACATCACGCCTTTTATCCCCGAAAGGGTATGCAGAGGTGCACATTACGGTACTTAAATGCAAATAAAGACTTTGAGTTTGAGTTTAATGCCACTATACCATTGTAGTCAATAGTGAAAAGTGGGTGTTACATTTTTACTACCCACTTTTCACTATGTATGTTATGAATCCCATGTAATAGGGGGTGACGCTATTGCCATATACCGGGGTCATTTCCAGACTCCGTGCTATTACTGAGATTTTTAAAAACCCAGTAATACTTTGCACGACCCTAGAATCGAACCCGATACCCTTTACCCGGCAGTCGCACTTGTGACCACTCGGCCAAAGAGGCAGTGAAATTACCAATATTTATTATTTCGATAATATTGGTGAATGTTTTTTTAACTGTTAACTAATTTGCAATTAACATTCAGTGGGAAACGCGTCATCAGTGTGAATGACCCAGTAGATCACCTTTCCTTATTACGTGGAGTATGCCTACATAGAAAGGATAACTAGGTTTAATTTTATTGGCATTGCTCCACAGATGCTAGACCTAACATCTGCTAAGTGTTCACTTTATAGACATTCCTTAATAGACATGCCTATATAGGCATCATTGGTCTATGTTGCGTCGCATCGTAAGAATCACAAAGTTTTTCTTCTCTGGCGATTACTTAAACATGTATATACTTAAGCATGTCTCTTTTGTCTTTGTTGTTTATGACTACTTCATCCCTTAGGGCTGGAAAATCTAGTGGGTGACAGAACCTATAGATACCCACAAAAAGTACATGACAGCTTTTAAATAAAACAAATAGGTACGTCCCGAAAAAAATCTCAGCGTTTCCGGCGGGGCTCCCTTAATTAGCGGCTATTCGCTTGATATTGTGTGGACTAGGATATTTTTAGGAATAGATGTTTACTCACTTGACGCATATAAATATAGCAGACAATAGGTATTACTGAATGTAAACTTATATCGTATCATATGGAAACGTTCCGAAAGTTCGAGCGGCCCAATTCTCGAATGGAGCGAAGTTTATTTTAGACGCTAATCTTGTTCAGTGGGCATTTCAGCAAACAGTTTCGGTCGCTTCAATCTGTATCTGATCAATCCAAGGAGCACTTGTGTACTGACGGAATGGGTGACGACGTGCGTCATTATGATGTACAACAAAACGATAAATATGGGCGATATCTGGTAGCTAATAAAGACTTAGTGAGCGGTGAATTAATATTTACTGACACTCCATTCGCCGTTGGACCAAAACCAGGCAAGTGTTTAAATACATTTATAAGCACATAAAATCAATTACTGCTAATTTTATTACTAACGTGACCATTTAATAAATCAATGATCTATTTAATCTTGGTGCCTACACAAAAGACAAATTATTAGAAAAGTAATCAATCAAAAATCTGTCTACCATAAAAATGTTAACTGCCCACTTTACCTAACTGTGTACCTAATTGAGTTAATTTTTGACTGATATACATATTATTTATTACCAATTTAACAAAAAAAAGTTGCTAAATATAAAAACTTATCAATACACATCAATGTTTTTTAAGAATTTTAAATGTCAACGATCGCCATGACCTAGGTTTACAGCGTAGCTATCGTAGGTCTACGAGTATTTAGTGCGTAATTTTAATTACTCAGGCATGCTGACACGAAAATTATGGTAATTTTATAGCCTTTATTTAACTATACCTATAGCAATTAACATTCGTAACATTCAACCATCATTCAACTTGGTTAATTAATAGGTAGGCCTACGTGAGTACTGCAATATTAAAATCTTTTAACTAAACTAATATTAAGTGAAGGTTTGGTAAGCTAGATTCATAAGTGTGCCAGAAGTGAGGTATTAGGTATCTTGCAAACGAATGTGATAGCTGATAGTACTGCGTCTACCTTCTACCCAGAAGGTATCACCCGATTATCAGACGTGATATGTTCTTTAATTGATACAGATACTCCACCACTATGCCTAAGTTGTTACTGTCCCGTGGAGAACACCCTATGCTCTGCTTGTGGTTGGCCGGTCTGCAGCGAGGAGTGTGGGAAGTCTCTGGCACACGCTGGAGAGTGTGAAGTCTTCTCCGCAGTCAAAGTGAAGTTCCAAACGGTCGAGGATTGGACCGTGAGCGCACCACAGCTTGATTGCATTACGCCGTTAAGGTACTTAGCCTAGTTAAGTGATATTATAATGTGCACCTTATTATTAGATAGGAACGGTATTTACTATTTAAAATACATTAATTCGCCTGTTGGTTGAGTGGTCACAAGCGCTAATGCCGACCCAGAATAAGCTTACCTTACCAGTGAGACTTATCTTAGGTTCGATTTCTGCTAGACTATTCAGTAACTGTCAATTCAAAGTTTCGAAGTGAGCTTTATTACATTGTCGCCCGTCATTGGTCGAGATTATTTTCACAACCAATGAAATGGCGGACCGCGACCGAGTTCACTTTGATCTTTTGAATTGAAAATTACAGAATAGCCTAGCTAGGTAAAGTATTTATTGTGTGACATATTCGGCTTTCGAATATTCTCAGTAATGAGAAGCATTATGAAGCTGGTAATGGAACTTACTTGCCCGCTAGTTCACGTCCTTGTATGAGACTCACTCATACATCTGACGAAAATAAGTGAATGTTATCATTATCACAATATCTGTGCATTCTCTGCCCACTCCTCTGAAGACTAAGACATGAAATATTACGTTTAAAATTGCTTATTTTTACAAGCCATTTTTTCTGTTTAGAATACTTTTAGCGAAAGAAAAAGACCCCGATCGATGGCAACGCGAGCTAGAAGTGATGGAGACTCACACGAAGGAACGGAAGGAGAGGCCCACCTGGGGTGCTGACCAGGTCAACATCGCAGACTTCCTTGTGGACTACTGTAAACTTGGCGATAGATTTGACAAGGAGCTGGTACAAAAAGTCTGCAGTATTCTTGAGGTGAGATACAGAAGACAGACAAGTAGGAACGTTCTAGTTTAGATTTTTTTTAACTATTAGTTTGTTTAGTTCCTGTAATTGGTTTCAAATCATTTATCTTTATACCCACAGGTGAATTCTGTAGAAATCCCATCCCGTGGTGGCTTTAGCATAAGAGCTCTTTATCCCCAGTTATCAATCGCAGCACACAATTGTGTTCCGAACATCGTTCATACAATACTACAAAATGATTACCAGTAAGTATAACACTTGACTAAATTGATCTTCATAGTAAGTAGGTAGGTATCTATATTCTGGTAGGATTGAACCAACTAAAAGTGCTTCAGTGTGATTTAATTGAATTAAATGCTTTTACCTCTAAGATTTTTCAGGAAAATACAAAAGGAATAATGACTACCTATAGGTACTCCATCTTTTCTTCAGAGTGCAAGTTCGAGCTGCGGTCCCCTTACAACAAGGAGAAACTCTTTACATATGCTACACGCACTCATTGTCTCCTACCATTGTTCGTCGCGACTTTCTACTCGAGTCCAAGTTCTTCGAGTGCGATTGTGCTCGTTGCGCTGACCCTACAGAACTCGGGACACATCTTAGCACTCTCAAGTGCAGTAAATGTGATAATGGAGTGATACTGGCTACTAATCCTTTAGGTATGTTGTCGGAACCTGTATTTATAATCAAATTCAAATTTATTCTGGTTTAGGAAACAGGTTTGAGGTGGTGATCATGTGATGTTTCCTAAGATAGTAAGAGGGAGGATCCTTTAACCAGGCTATGATACTGCCTTAAAGTTAGAATTTTCTACCCGCCTTATTTCACAAAGGCACCCAGACCTGCCAGAACTATTTATGGACATAGGTCTGCGCTAGAAAGGCCACAGAACTTTAAAGGCCTCGATTAATAAATCACGCGAATCATATTGTTGTACGGGATCAAATAATTTTAGCCGTCGACGATGCTATTTTAAAATAGGTAGACGGGAAAACTGTCGGTTTCAGTAAATATGACCGACAGATGACAGACAGTACCTACCTACTACTTTAAGAGATGTTTTAATTCTGGAGTTGCCAACTTTCCGACTATTCTTTACAATCTAAATGGTTATGTAACGATACGATGGTTTATAAGTGTAATATTATATTATATATTATGAAAGTCCTAGGATGGGTATCCTACCTAGTAAAAGTTTCGGTCGGTACCAACCGTACCTAGGTAGGAATATAGGTAGTTTTAAAACTTTATCTAAACTACCTACACCCAAAATAGGGTAGTCTCCTATCAATTTCCATCTGGTAGATTATCAATTCTCAAAAAATTGAATATTTTCGACGATAAGTATATTAGTTTGAAATATCACATCACAACGTGCTGCATTTTTTAGTACTTTTTCGTACCCTGGCTTACTACCCTATGGTCGATTTTTCAGACAACGACGCTCCATGGACGTGTTCGGACAAAAACTGTGGGTTCAAGACGTCCGGTGCCGCAATGCGCAAGATGTTGGCAGTGGTGCAATCTGAAATCGACCAGCTTGATATGATGGAGCCCGGCCCCGCCGCTATTGAGCAAAGAGAGGCCACGATCAATAAGGTAAGCACCCAAATTGAATTTTAGTCTTTAATTAATTTATAGGTACCTACTTAACTTGAAAACCGCGCATAGCATCGGGACTTACTTTCCAAGAGGCAGGCAGAAGTGCTCACGCGCATTTTTCGCCTACATACTACTACTACAAGTCCCATGGCGAAGAGGACCTGACAACCCGATTCAAGAATAAGAAGTTTACACAATCTGCAAGTTGAGCTCGATATCAGTTGATAGTCGCAACTGTGATAATTTTTGTTTCAGTATAAATCAGTATTCCATCCCCGACACTCGCTTCTTTTGTCACTGAAGCACACACTAGCTCAGCTGTACGGCCGAGTAGAAGGGTACAGCATCGATGAGCTGCCGGACCTCATGCTGGAGAGGAAAGCCGAGTTCTGCAGGCTCGTCCTCAGCACTCTGGACGTTATCATGCCAGGAGAGACTCGAATGAGAGGCGAGTTGTAACTTCGTCGTATCTACCTATGCATGATTGTCTTACCCAGGTACCACCTAATAAGTAAGAATTAAAGATATACGAGACTTTTTCAGCTGAAATAGACATAGATAGTAGGTACTACCAGTCATTTTACATACATAATCCTTATTTCTATAACTGTAAGGTTCATTATACCTGGGTATAGCAAGAGATATTTATTCTTATGTAAAATTATACTTCTGCGTTTCTAGGTATGATGTTGTATGAGTTACACGCACCTCTGATGTTCTTAGCAAGAAACGAATTTAGTGCTGGCCTTATTACTCAAGAGAAATTGAAAGAAAAATTGCAAGAACCTATTCAATGCTTGGCGGAAGCCGCACAGATTCTTATACGGGAGGATCCACAAAGTCCTGAAGGAATAACTGGGCAGATCGCACAGCAGTCTATGGAACAACTTAAAGCTAGTCTTGAGTGCTTATAAAGTAGTTGTTAATAATACATTGTATTCAATATGTTTGTAAGAACCACAATGTTTGATGGGTAAAATGATTTGTTTGATAATATTATTTCACATACATTATTATCTTTTCGGCTTACTCACGTAATAATTTAACGAGGAACTCGACTAGTTTCAAGCCATGCTAGAGGCTTATATTCATGAGCAGCATTTCGCGACCCGCGACCCGCGACGCGGCGACTGTCGCGCTGCTACACGAAATTACTACGTGAGTGAGCCGAAAACAAAATAATTTATTTAGTATGTCTCACGAAAGTTACAATACAAAATAATTCCACAGTTTAAACTTGACGATAAGTTTCATAAATGAATATTATTATGTGTAACGTAATATTCTAGGTGTAGATCAGTGTAGGTGTAGATTTTCGAATATTTTTTGCAAAAGCTATGAAAAGACAAATTAACAATGATCTCCTCAAAATTCATATTAACGAATTTATTTCAACAAATAAAATTATGTAGTATATGATTGTTGTTTCATTCATAATAAGTTTTGTAACAATTTAAAATTTAATTTTCTTGGGTTTCTTGCTACTTGATTCTTCGTATGACAATTTATTGCTTTGATGCCCAACATCTTCAATGTTTTCTGAACTGTTCAGTGTGTGTAGTTTCACTGTAGACTCTTCTTTTTTATCCGTCAGCTGAAAGTTATGACAAAATTAAATGTTAATTAGACTCCATGATAAAATGATAATGTTGAATATCTGTGACAGAAACAAAATTGAAGTAGGTCTGCCTGCTGATGTACTACCAAATCTAGTGAGTGCAGATTTAAGTATTTGTTTCCAGTGAATCTATGTGTTAAGTAGTGGATACAATAATTATCTACCTACAAAGAGTTAGTAAGTGTTTACTAGATAAAACTACATTATAATTTGTATGTAATAATACTCACGGTAGGACAATCTTTCCTTAAATGTGTGACATCACCACATAGCTTGCATGAACCACCATTCGGATACAATCCCTTGGGATTATCAGGACACTGTCTGGCTATATGCCCCTGTAAAAATAATTTATGGTCATTAGATCATTAATGAAAAACAAACATTATTAACTAAATAATGATAAAAATATAATTGATGTTTACTTACAGGCTCTTTGCAAATAAAGCATGTTGCAAATCTAAATTCTTTATCTCTTTGTACTTTACATTCAAATTGTCTGTGTTCTGTGGACCCGCACTTGAAACACACTCCTTCTGCAGCATCAGCTGAAGGTATCTTTGACTTTAAGTCTGGGCAGTCGGAGAGAACATGACCCCCTTTTCTGCAGTTGTAACACACTTCTCTTTTCATTCTAGCCAGAGCTTTTTCAGCTCTTCTTCGCTCCAACTTCATAGTCCTTTGAACCTCACTCTTAGGGATGCCCTTTTTAATCATATTATTCTTCAAATCTTGGAGCCTTTCAGCATCTTTTTTCATAACTGGGAAACCATCAAATCGGACCAATTCTATTTCCTTACCGTTAATAATGAGTTGGAAACTCCTATCGTTGATCTCTTTCCTGCGAACTGGTTTGCCATCAACCAATTTTTTATTCTTTTTGTTTTTACCTTGTGGTTGTTGTTTGTTACTATTGTTGTTGTTTTGTACATTATTATCTTTGTTATTACCTGTTGATGTATTTGAATTAGGTGCCTCACCCTCTGTAGAGTCAGTTGCTACTGTATTTTGTACATTCTTCTTCTTCTTTTTCTTATTTTTTTTAGTACTTGGTGTAGTTTTGTCTCCTGTAATGGGTTCTGTTACTTCTGTGATATTTTCTTGAACCTGTGACTCGGTTACCCCTTCACTCTTTTTCTTCTTCTTTTTAGATGTCTTGTCAGCAGTCTTTACATTGTCAGTTACATCATTCTGGGATTCTGCATTATCATTGCTGGGATCAGGGTTCTCTGTCTCACTGGCAACCTTTTTCTTGTTTTTCTTTTTGCTTTTGACTGGTGGACCATTTGACTCTGATGAGTTAGCTATTACTTTAGACTGTTTATTCTCAGAATCTGGGAAATCACACCAGGTCGCTTTCCGTTTTTGAACTTTATGTTCTTTGAGGAAGTTTTCGTAGTTTTCTATGCGTTGCTTTTCAGCCTAGAAATTAAAGACAAAATTACTTTAAGCTATGTGCTTACTTATCACATGCAATCACTAACAATCTAATATGCTGTTAATGATTAATAAAAGCAAAAAATAATATTACCGTACCTCTTTCCTCTTTTTAGATTCCTCACCCTCTTTTTTAGCTTGTAATAACTGTTCTTTCATAACCTCCCATGGCGTACTGTCTTCTGGAGCTCTTTCATTAGAAGATTTCGAGCCTTTGGCTCTAGCAAATCTAGTCATGATTTTAGTTCTATATAACCTTTTCAAAATTATTTATGAAATGCACATGGGCAATATCATCAAGCCAAGTAAAAACATTGCAATGTGAAATTTGACAGCGACAGACGATAGATCATGTCAGAAGTCATACGTGACATTGACACATTCTAAAATGGTGTTGCCATAGATATTTAGTTATAGCCTTGGCTATAATTTACTTTTATTATGCTTTCAAGTTTCAATGAAGAAAGTTAATACTATTTTATATTCTATAAATTAATGAATGACTTTGTACCAAATTTGTACACACTTTTCATTTCTGATATGTCTGAGCAGCTTCGATATTTACGGTTTTTTGTTCGTTCTCCTCTAGTGCCAGTGGTAAAGAGTATAGGGACAGTGGCGATGGATTCAGGATTAAAAGTCTATAAAACTCTATTCAAAGACTACTAAAGTATATTGGCTAACTCTTCCCCTATACTTATTATACTCTTTGGCTAACTCTATTCTTTGAACTACTAGTCTATAGTCCATATTCTATCACTAATTTGAGGTTATGTATGTAGCCATTTGGTAAACAATAATATATATTCATCTTTCATTTAGATTCCCTACAGCTTTCTGTTGTCTGTTAAATATTATAATTGAAATACGTTTACGGCGGTGTCGATCAAAAAGGAAGAAGATGAATGGAAACTCGAAACGTTAACTAAATAACTTCAGTGTTCTACGAATACAAATCAACAGGTAATTTATTACAACGCATCTCTACTTTATTCCATTTAAAATCATTTTGCCTGCCGTGCGATGTTAAAAAAAACATGAAATATTCAAGAACATATATGTAATATAATTGAAATGCACAAATACATGCAAAATATTTTAATTTAATTTTAAACCCCGGTAATTTCAAAAATTGTATAAAATATGTCGTTAGTCGTAACATTTCTAAACAATAGCTACTTTTACTATAGTTCTATACTCCGTCTGTTTAGGTAGTTAACTATTTGTAAACAAACCATAAAAAGAGTTCTTTATAGTTGACATTTCCATGATTCAAAATACTTCATAAGAAAATAAAATTGTTTCCGTTTTTACGACAGTTTTCTCTATTAAATGTTATGTTTCTGTTCCTTTTTACTTATTTCTTAGTAAATATTAAATATATCTGCTTGAGGATATTAATTTAATAACATTTATTAAATAATATAATATTTCATTACAATAGACACCATAAAGAGCCTAAAATCCCAGGTATCCAAAACCCTTCTTTGAGAACGAAGCAAAATAATGTTGTCAAATTAAAGAGTACAACGAAGATGTAGCGCGACAATGAAAGTAGCGTGTATTACGTTTAGTCGGTTAATCAGACGCCATTGACAGCTCTCTCGTCGTTTGCGCTCGCGTTCCTATTTTGTTGAATTTATCTTGTTTCTTTGTTTTGTTTTCGTTATTAAGTTATTCAAGTTTAGGTTATTCATCGTTTGTAATTAATGTGTTCAAATATTTTGAAGAAACTTGGCCCAAAGACACATATCCGTACAAGAAAGAAATCCGTACATCAGATTCAGAATAGTTTCTATTTAAACATGATAATGAAATAAAACCAAAGGCAAGGCTCTTGTACGATTTAGGCATTTGTAGTTGTGTTGTGTGTATGACAAATGAACGAGTTTAAAGTGAATTTGGTTAAAATTAAACCACGAGAAATATTTGAAGTAATAGTAGGTTAAGTATCTCTGTGTCACGTGGTTTTCTTTGTTTACCTTTAGTTAATTACCTAAACAGATGGACTATAATTAAGCTTGTAGGTACTTATTGTTTATTTTATCAATATGTTATAGTTTGATTGCATAGAGTTAGGATTGTCGGTAAAAAAGTTACGTAGGTAAATATCTCGTACTTACTTTTTTTAGAAAGCAATAGGTTATAAAAATCGCCTTGAATACTTGCAGTATTAAAACTATAAAGAAAAAACAACTTTTGCGTTGAGTTTAATGTCGTGAAATAGCGGTACATTATGTATCAAGACACTAATGAACGCGGGACATGACATACGACTATTTAAAAATAGATGAGTATAAATATTTGGGCTACGCTGAACGATAAATTGAACGCATTCGAATGAAAATATGTATATTTTATTAAATAAAATCTAACAAACTTACAAAAAATAACACATAATAAACAATGGAAAGTTGGTTTTAGTTATCTAGATTAGTACCTAGTAGCCTTTAAATTTTACTTTACCTTGTAATTTCGCCAGTGTGTCGTAATTAGGTATGTAATTAATTGGAATGATATAAATTAAGAAAACCTCAAAAACTATTTTGGAAAAAATGTTATTACGTTACCTATTAATAAATAATAATTGCATCTACGCTTTGAAACTACTTGTTACGACTTAGAACATTCCTACTTTAATACGCCCTAGAACAAAGAGAGCGGTAATTAATAACGAAAAAAGATCAATTTAAATAATGTTACAAATAACAAATAAACTATGACTATATTATTGCGATAGCAGCCCCTTTCGCTGCATCACCCCCTGAAGTAAATTCTAGTGGCAAGCTGTAATAGTGCTCAACAGCTCTCTGCAATACAGCATTTCTAGATAAACCAGAACCATTTCCAACAATTCGTTTAACATTGGCGTTTCGCAATATTTCTTTAGGCATCATGTGATGTAAATTTTGTATAAGGCTATCACATAGAGATTTAAACACGCTACCCAGTTGGATGTTAGAAAGATCGATATTTTCCACTGAAGCTTTTGCAGTCGGTGCATGTCTTTCTCCTAACAAATGTGGAATTATTTGCATATTCGATGTTTTAGCTTCCAAACCCAAAGCAATTAGTTTTTCCCATACCTTAGACTGAGGAGTAGGAAAACCTAGCTCAAGCATCCATTGTTGAAGCATTTTCACGAAAGTAGCTAAAACATTGCCTCCATTTAGAGATGCAGCTACAACTAAGTGCGTGTTATTAAAATAAGGCAAGTGCTCGACTGTTTTACAGCCTAAATCTGATACGTTATCTACCACGAATGCTAACTGAGCAGACGTTGATATGTTTAGTACTGCATCATCTCTGGTTTCAAGAGTTGCAATAATAGAGCACTGTAAGTCACCCATAGCAACACTTACAGGTGTTCCCTCGGGAATGCCATTCCAAGCGGCATTCAATTTTCCTGCAATTTCCCCACTTCTACTGATTTTAGGTAGAAGCCCCACTGGAAATTCGACTGATTTTAGAATATCAATGTTCCATTCGTTCTTTTCAGTGTTAAAATATCCCCAACTGGCAGCATTTTGATCAGACATTACTGGTACGTCTAAATCGCAAAGCATAGTAACCACAAAATCTTGAACTGTTCCAGAATATTGAAAGTTTTTCAGCTTTTCAGGCTTGTGTTTAAGCATCCATAAGAGAGTTGCACATCCGTATCCGGAGTAGCAATTTAGACGGGAATCAGGTTTAGGCAATGATTCCAAAAATTCAGGTTTACACCTTGTATCCTGCCAAGTATACAGTGCTGACATGTTTTCTCTGGTTGCTTCAAACCGCATCACAACTCCATCTTTTTCGACTTTTTCCCAGGCGCTGTAAGCAAAATAACCAATACAAATTATCTAGAACTGTTGTTTTTTGTACATACTTAAAATGTAAAATGGTTTTGAACTTGAAACAGACTGATAAACATAAATACTGTATTGTAACACTTCTTAGATAATAAACTTGATTTTCTTGTTTATATTTCATGTTACAGTTACAGTATATGCGTTGTAATAAAATCACAGTTTATTAAACGGTTTACTTGAATTTTGACAAAATAATCGTAATAATTAAATTAAATAGAAACGGCGATCTAGCCGCTTAAACAGTAATATATAACAATTTTCATTGAGGACATGTAATTCAATGTAAACATACCCTTTCTTCCATAACAAGACTCCATGCATTTGTCCGCACACTCCAATTTTTGTGACACTTCGCAGTACATCTCTCGGAAGACGGGAGATGCAGTAATGAATAGCTGATACTATTTTTGGCACATCTTGTTTGTTACCTTCTATACCCTGATCGCTCGGTATGTTTGCCGCTGTATCCTTATTTTGTTTAGCAACAATTTCTTTTGTTTTTGGGTCGTAGACACAAACTTTTACTGAAGTCGTTCCAATATCCATCCCCAATATAAAACTCTTGTCAGCCATTTTGCACTTAAACGAAATAAAAAGTTGGAAGTTAAAAATCACACACTCGATAAACAGTGAGACGACGCGACTCGTTCGGCAATTTGTTTCTATTGCTCAAACACGGCAGCCCGCATGAAAAGTGGGTGGCGGGTGGTCTCGTCTGGTGGCAATGCGCCCGCATTGACCTCGTGTAGTCGCGTTGGTTATTACGTAAAAGTAGGTTTGTATTCCTTATCTCTTTGAGTGCTCGATGTGTTTATCAAACACTTCAGCGATTCACTAACTTACGGCTAATAAATAACTCCAGTTGATATTACTTTTACGATAACAGGTACAAATTGTTTTTTTTTATGTAAACATTTACACATTCATTCTTTTCTGTGTAGATATGTATTTCACTGATTGAGCTAGGTTAACATTTCCAAACTAAATAGTTTTTTCTAATACAAGACATAATACTGTCAATTAAATATCATTTTACGTACCTATTATATTAGTACCTGTGAAGTCAGAGTTTTAAATTAATGACCACATCACGTCGAACAAATGATTCAATCTTTTTTACATAGATTTTTGTTAAATAACACGGTTGCTCAGACATTTCGTTTGCCAAATCTAAAAAACTTACGCCAGTATTGTAATTAAAAAAATATATAATGTTCTATCACGTTCTGTGGTCATGTGCAAAAAAATTGCGTGTAATTATAGATAATTATATAAACGTTTACTGTTTTACAACATTGAATAGTAACGTAGCATCGCTCGTCGGAGATAGTAAAAATCTGCAAAATCGAGTATTTAATAATTCTGTGTGTCTGACAAATGTAGCCAATCTTGAGTTTTATTTTATGTAGGATCCGATCTTATGTGAATGGCATCTATTTACACCATGGGTCTTGTTCTTTTCATGGAAATAAAATTGATTCAACGATTGCTGTTTTTTGTTATCAGGAAAATGGGTAAAAGGAGCAAGTCGTCTAACGTCGCTGCTGAGGACGTAGTTGTAAGCAGTAAAAAAATGAAGAATAAAAGAATTAAGTTCGAATCAGCCGACGTAGGTGAACCTATACCTGACGAATCTAATGCGGATCTTGATATTAAACAAGTTAAACGAATCAAGAAAAATAAAACGCACAATAATAAAGGCGATGAGGAAAAGAAAAATAAAAAAATAATATTTACAGAGGACGATGACGAACCGGTTGAAGTTAATGTACCTACAACGGCAAATCAACAGAAACGTACTAAAGAAATTGTTCCTCAAGAGAACGAAGAAGATATTAAAGACGAAGACATTGATAAGTTCTGTGATGAGTTAAATGAAGAGGATAACGAACAGTTTGAAAGTTGGGTTAAATTAATAGAAGCTAAACTTCATTCAAATAAAAAGAAACCTAAATGATAACATGATTTTTTACTTTGAAAGATAACCATTGAAATAATTATTAGTTATAATAATAGAAGGCGCATTTAGAAGTTACAACAATTTTAAAGACGTTAAATATTACAACACTGGTCTTAATGTGAAAAAGTCTTGAGTTACGTTGCCATCTGGCTTGTAGCAAACAGATGTCTATTTTTCCAACGTGAATAAATTTGACAAAATCTGAAATACAAAGTTACGCCAATCGGTATGTATCATTCGAGTTCTCTTCCAATACTATGGCCTTCATAATATAAACTGAATGAAATTAGGAAGCGACCTATTAAAGTTCCCCTCGCTCTGAAGAAGTCTTACGATTCAAGTCCTGACAATTGCAATTACACGATTTGCCAACCTTGAGAAGTTGTGACTTATTTATTATTTACCATTACTTATAATATGATAGTAAAGCTACGAACATAGGATAATACATAAATTATTTTTGTAATATGCGTTATCTTATTTATCTAATCTAATTCCATATTTCATAAATCTAATTGAGAGCTAAACCTGTAAGTGATAAAATTCATAGCAATTCCAGACTAGAATACTACTAATAAACCAACGACCTTGAATGTCATGTTTGTTTATTTTATGATATTAGGCAAATTATGAATTACTTCAATGAAGTAAGAAGGTTGATGACCCCTGACACACGCAAATTATTTAATATACCCTAAACTATTTCTATCAATATTAATTTTAAGAGATTCTATATAACGAAAATAAATAAATATATCAAGTCATACAAGCAGCAAGTTTAGATACATTTTCAAGTCATTTATTCAATGATATATTGATTTATAACTTACATATTAATAATAATTATCACTAAAGTACCTGTAATCTTCAATAAAATTATTGTAATGGGGTATTCTTTTCGAATTCTTAGGTTAAACGTCTGAAATGATAAAATTTTCAGTGTTATCTTAGGTGATGGTACTCTGATGCTGTGAGAATTCCTGTTCCTAGCTATTCATATTAATAGCCTACATTCGACCAATAGAAAACCTAAGTTGTAAAATCGGTTTATCTCTAAAACCGTTTCATACAGCACTACTATCGTTAACAGCCTTCATCATAATTACCATAGACTGCGAGATAGAACCATCAGAATTTTTTTGGTCTAACAACAATTTATCAATTCAATCAGCTGATATATTGGCAAGCAAAAACACACATGGCAAATGACATTATATTGTTGACATTTGACTCACTTGACAGCTGACAGAGCCGTGAAATGAACGAGTTGTTTGCAAATCGGACTAATATTTTGTGATTTCTCTCTGAATGTCGGTCATCACCACCGGTGCAAAAATAACGGGATTATGTGCAAACGGTTTTAATGTTTACCTACTTTGATGATGAAGATATCTGACATCTCATTTAGGAAATAGTAAATTAAAATAGTGTAAGTTTCGAGTAAAGTTTAAATTTCTAACTCTAAATGGATACCAATAAGAAAAGCGAAGATATGGACATTCCAACCGTAGAAGGCAACCTCCTGCAGCAACCGAAAGAAGAAACAATGCCACCTCGAAATCCGCTAATGAAAGTGCGAACATATGTGCTTGCCTTGCGTCCTTGGTCGTTGAGTGCAAGTCTGTTACCGACTCTGCTGGGGGCTGCGCTGGCCTACCGTCTTCCTGGCGATAGTAGCTTCAGTTGGTGCACTTTATTGTTGACATTGTGCACAATTATTCCTGTTCATGGTGCTGGCAATGTGGTAAACACATACTTTGATTTTGTTAAAGGTATTGACAATCGTAAATCTGACGATCGAACTCTAGTCGACCATATTTTGAGTATAGATGAAGTTGTATCTCTTGGTGCTATATTATACCTTGCTGGATGTGCCTCCTTTGTTCCACTTGTAATTCTATCACCAGCTCGCATGGAGCATTTGGCTCTGGTATACTTTGGAGGATTGTCTTCATCATTTTTATATACTGGTGGTATAGGATTAAAATATATAGCTCTTGGTGATATTTTAGTTTTAGTTATATTTGGGCCAGTATCAGTAGTTTTTGCTTTCTTAGCACAAACTGGTAGAGTGGACTGGCCAATAATTTACTATGCAATTCCACTTGCTCTGAACACTGAGGCTATTCTGCATAGTAATAATACTAGAGATTTGGAGACAGATAGCAAAGCAGAAATTGTAACATTAGCAATATTGATTGGTAGAACAGCTTCATATTTGTTGTATGCATTTTTATTATTTACTCCTTACATTATGTTTGTGGTAGCTTCTGTGCGTTGTTCATTGTGGTTCTTAATTCCAATGCTAACTTTGCCTAGAGCTTTTGAAATAGAAAGAAGGTTTAGAAGCCCTGAGACAATGAGATATGTACCAAGACAGACTGCCAGACTCAACTTTTATTTTGGCATGCTGTACATGATATCATGTTTGTTTGCTCATCGCCTTCCATTCCTTCTTCGGTAACAAGTTAAGTGTACAAGAACAAAGATTTGAATTGTTGTTATTTGATTTTAGTGTAGGACTGACCATTTTTGTAAGTTTCTATAAAAATGTTGTATATTTTTGTACTTTATGTAAGGTAAATTAAGCTGAGGTAAAAATGATATCCTGTCACAAATTAATAATAGCTTATGTAAAGTGGTAAAAGCTTGTTAACCCAGTTGAGTCTTTTTTGCTCTATATTAAATATGACATGAGGCATTGTTTATAACTTCTTTTCTAATAATTTATGGGATCAAAACAACTGAATTTACCAAAATGCAATGAAATACATGATCATGTATTTATATGTGCCTTAGCCCTACAACCCTATTTCTGGTCATTATAAGTTGTTAAGTTTCTCTTACTGTGGATTTAATATTCAACAACATATTTCTAAGTGTAGTTTAGTAAGAATAGATAATATGTGCAATGAGGAAACTTATGCTATGTATTTTTTTGAAAGTGATCCATCATAAATCAACATGGAAAGCAAATTCAATTCTTAATTTTCCTCAAAGAGCGAAAATAGCATAAAGATTTTTTCTTGTGATGGAACATGATAATCATGTAAAATACCTTTGTTCAGTTGTATGAGCGTCATTGTTGCATAAACATGTAAAGGAATAGGTTGGTGACACTGAACTTCCTCTAACAAATATAATAATGGAGTCTGAATTTCAATGAATGTTGTATAGTCAATGAGATATTAATAACACATCTCGCTTTTGTGATTGCTTTAGTTATGTGTACACAGTTTTAAAAGATCATCTACCTCCTATAATGTCTAAGAATTGATGTTTTCAAAATATCTACGTAAATAATGTTGTTTAGTACTTTTGTAATTTGAATACAATGAATTCTCTTGATTGTAAACTGACAATAATTTATTTAATTAGCTAATAATTTTAGTCCATTATAATTGATGTAAAAGTGAATACTAAAATTGTGATGATAAAAACAATGATTTTCATTTATTTATTTTATTGATATAATCAACGTAGGAGACCTCTATGATATATAATCTTCATAATATAATGATAAATTACAAGTCAAATTATCATACAAGTGAGACCATGTAATTTAAAGAAATGGATTTCATTCAGGAATGCCTGATCTAGAAACTACATTGAATATATTGGCAGTGACTGGAGAAATATTAAAAGTTGAAATACATATTACAAACATACTATATTTCAATACAGTGTCTTCAATACAAGTCTACTTGAACTTATTTACTCACTGAAACATATTATGCATGTTTCAAGTTTGCCTTGTCTCCGCGAATTACGGCGTGTTCATCATTCCGTAGAACTTTGGCAGGCCGTGATCGATTATAATTATATTATTCGAATTAAGCTACTGATATTATATCGAATACTATTCCCTAATTCTCAAGTGAAAATCCATTTCAAATCATAACTAAAGTTATAAAGGAACAAATCACAATGTATTAAATGATAATACAAAAATCATGTTTGCTAACAAAGACTAACATAATATCACTATAATCAAGTAGAAATCAAATCCATAATATAATTAAATACATTTTTCTAATTTTCATTTTGCACAAAAATAAGAAGTCTTCAACATTCCATACAATTCCTATATGTTTCATATATTTATATCCTAATGTATAACCATTAGTTAAACTAATGCAGGACTAACCAATCTAAATCGAATTACACGCTCACGACGTTACAGAGATTTCCTATAAAATGCAGAAAGATATCCAGCTCAACATGTTCCACATCAAATTATTCTATGTTGTGCTCATGTTACATAGTCATCAAAATTTGGGGTCGAGACGAAAGCACCTAGCTTACTCCACAAATGTCATGTTTCTTGTATCTTAGATTTAGGCCTTTACAACTACATGTGATGGTAATTTCATTTAAACCTCTTCCTGTAGCCTTCAACGCGCCAATAATACAGATGTTAATTTAAGTTTAATTAGAAATTCATGAAATTACAACAAGTATCGAGACTCACGTGCAATGCGTTAAAGCTAAAAATAGATGCCGACATTAATACTCCGTGACGTTAAAGCTTTAGTCTAGCCATAAAATATAAATTTAGTTGTGGTTAAGATAAAATTTGGTTCTTGTCACAATAGGTAATACTAACAATGGAAGAATTTTGTGACAATATGAAAATAATGCAATGATTAAATTAACACCTGTATGCAAATTGAAAATGATCCGTTAGGTCGTATACGTTACAACAACGTGGTTCCAACTTCACGAAACATCCGAACAGTTAAACATACATGGAATAATCTCACATTCACGCATACGGACAATAGTCCATCAAAGGCGGAAAAATCCGTCCGGTAGTCTTTATATATGGGTTACGTTATATACATCAGACTTTAATGTTGGCCTCGCTTATGACGTCGACGCTTTCTTGTCGCGCTGCCATTGGTCGATCCTCTCTTTGAGCTCAGTTGCTGAAAAATTCAAACAAAGATTAGCCATATGCAAAGATTAAGTACATTTGTTGTGCTAGTAAATCAATGTAAAACGTACCTGGACGTAGCTGATCCTCGGAAAGAGGTTGTCGGTTAAAGGGATCAGTGGCACTATTTAGCAAGTGGCGCAGAATCACAGATCGGTCCATTACCTGAAATTTTGACAATGATCGTAAAGTTAGCTAAATAAATTCAAATATTGCCAAAGAAGAATGAAAAAAAAAATCAAATATGCGATTAAAAGTAATGCAGAAGATGTGTTTGGTACTTACTTTTCCGGAAGGTAGTAAGACTGGGTCGGTCATTAGTGTATCCATGAGTGGGTCCCTGAACTCTTCAGGAGCATCAGCATATTCGTCGCTTTTCTGTTGATTAGACACTGGAACAAAAATAAATTACGATTAAATAAGACGTTGATTATTGACATTCGAAGTCGCACAACTATACGGATAATAGATCCGATTTTTCCAAGGCTTATAAAAATGATTTCCTTATAAAGTTAAACGTGTTACTTATAGACAGACAACAAATGCAATGTGGTAATTAATTACCTGCGATTTGATATGCATTATCAGCAAGTGCCTTGAACCGCTCTATTTCTGTGGGCGTCTTAATGCACGACTTAGCTAGCCTCACCGATGCTTCCTCGAACAACTCTTTGCGGAATGATCTCTGGAAATGGAATATGATGTTGTTTTAATATGTGAATTAAGGACAACAATGTATTTTTTTGTGTAATAAGTATCGTACAGTATACGAAATTTAATTATATACTCAAACTTTATATGTACACAAATTCAAAGATGCCCGACTAGTTTCGGGTCACACAGGAGCCTATAATCAGCAGCGTATCTGATGGTGACGAGCGAAGTGGTAAACAAGAGTAAGTGGTGTAGATATAATTAAATTTATTTTTTAGTATGTTACCTCATCAGCGGCAAGTGCGGCGTGGAACTGCGGTGAGTCAAGATGTAGATAGATGTCTACTAGTTGACTGAGTAGTCGTCGCGGTTCCCAGCCATATTTCTCAGGTCGACGGACCTGTGAATAAAAATTAAAAACTCTGTAGTAAATGGTGGCCTAAGTGAGATAGTCATCATCATAAATCTATCGCTTTTGTGTTAAGAATGGAAACAAAAACGTCGAATTTCAGTGTTGGTGGACATAAATAACTGGGTCAATATTAAGTTTATTTACCTTGAGGTTTTTACATTTAGGTCCGCAGAGTTGCTGTAGGTTGAAGTTCAACATCGATGCGAGCCGGTCGACTAGCTCGGCGCGCAGGAATGGCTCCTTGATCTCCACTGTCAAGTACTCCAACATGTCCACCGTTTCCCTGTATCAATAACCATTATAATTACGTATTTCACATATTAGACCATACAGAAAGTCCAACGCCGTAAGTCATAAACTACAAAACTACTGGACAGATTTTAAAGCGATGTTTAGCATGAAAATAAATTCCTGATTTAAATATAATAATTCATAAAAGATAGTGTATCGCAAGTGATACTAAAAAAAGCCGGATAGCGGAAAGCCAATAATATAATTTAATAAGTATAAATTTCAGTATGTTATCGGACCTGGCGAGTGTGAGATATGAGCGACACTGCCTCTCGTCCTGTGCGAGTGCGCGCGCGCGGGCGTCGGCCGCGGAGCCGCTCGCCCCGCCCGCGCCCTCCTGCGCCTCGTGAATACGCTTCAGATACTGCGAAAATAACAATAAGAGTGTTTATAATCATTTCAATAGTCTTCTAATAGGGTTTTCAAATACGATACAGGCAGACAGTCTCACCAGAGTACTACACAGAAAATGTACTGCACAAACTCAAGTGCATGAGACATATTATAAAGGTTTAAACGGACATAAAACTGATGTTTCTGAATAAAAAAATATTGTAAACACTTACTGTTAGACACTCATCCAGGAGGAATGTAGTATCGTTCATTAACATGTTGATGAATTTGACAAACTGATGTCCAGATCGCGACTCCTTTACGATAGCCTGAAACGACAAGACGTGGCATTAGTTGAGAAGCCTTAAGTGTAAACAACATCTGTACATATTATTATGTACAGTTGAAAGCAAGACATATTGTGCCTACCGTGGTGCGTTTCACTCACTTGTTTATGAATAGGCCGCTCCCACATTCCCTTCAAGATGATGCTGATATGGAACCGAATAGTGAACTTATCGTAAAACTCGGTGCTTTGTCCTGTAGTTTCTATATCTGTGTAGAATTTCATGAGAGCACTCGGTAGCGCAGTTTGCGACATCGGGTGGTCCATGAATTTCTCGTATACATTCTTCAGTTTTAGTGGTACGGAGAGGTTGATGACGAATAGAACTTCTACGATCTTAGCAACAAGATAAGGGTTCTTGAAGTGGCGCGAGTGACAGATTGCACTTAGTAGCCAAGTGATGATTGGGTCCTCGATGAAATCCGCCACTATTTGTGGGACGTATCTGAAAATTGATAAAAATTAATTAGCATAAAAAGTAAATACCTTATTTTTCTTTATGGTATATACGGTACGATATCCTAATTGTAAAGATGTTTTTATATATGTCTACTAATGAAATACAAGCCAAAATGTAGTTAATTACTGTGCTAAAAATAATGCATCATCTATTGATGGCCTAACTAAGGTTCCCAACTCATGTCATGCTTATTAGAGGGTGGGATTTTATTTAACAACAGACGTCTTTGGGTATTATAAAAGTGTAATAGTACTCACTGCACAGCGAAGAGCATGAACTCAGCGATATCCTCGACGTACCACTCTGGCGTAGCGGCAAATGCGTCGGCGTACGGTCCGATGGCCGCGTCCGCCGCCTCCAGTTGCATGGTGAGCAGCGAGCATACTGACGAGTAGAACTGTAGACTGCGCCGCATCAACTCTGTCTCTAGCAGGGCTGTCTCCGCACACTGCTTCGACCTGACGAATATTTCATCATCTACAGGACAACACATAGCAGCACACCTGGTACCACACTCATAGGTGACCTATTCACTCATTATAATGACTCCTAAGTAACCTTTTTGGAAAACAGAGTCTAGCAAGGAGAGAGACCACCATGAAACGGTGTTCAGTCTAGAGCCTCTAGTCACTGGAGGAATCAAGTTGTGTAATTTCGCTGCATATCAAATAATAAATAGAAATATAGTGGAACTGAGATTTACATCATCAACATATTAATCAGTATTTTACCTGTGTAGTCTCTTGATCTGTCGTCGCCACCTCCGCAGCAGTTCTCGGTTGCGCAGCGCTGAGAAACTGTTGCGCCACTGAGGCTCGGCCGCCATCAACTCTTCAATCACTTTTTGGAGATCACGGAATGCCCTGTAGAAAAACAATTACAAATTATATGAATGTTCGTAAACAATAAAAGATTGTTGTATTATAGCAATCAAACAAAGGTTTCGATTAAAAAAATAACCATCCTCTTTCCAAGATTTTCAACTTTATTAACAAAAAATAAGATTGAAAATATTATCACTAGTTAGTTTCACGTCTGGCAAATATTTAATTAATTGTACGCTCACCGAATTCGCCTCTGGTGCGTGTGTAAAGCAGGGATCAAAGCCACATGGTGCATATGAAGCGTTAAGAACCAGCACACCGTCTGGAACTTCGCTTCAGGCCACTTATGGTTAGGATCCTTGTCTGTAAGGGAAATGGTTCTTGTAAACAATCATACATACATTCATAAACAAATGTTACAAAAAAGAGATAATTTAGATCTCCTGAGTAGATAATAAATAAAATAAAATAGATGAAGGATTTTCACTTCCAAATACCACAAAATGTCCAGATGTTTAAAGGTTTTTTTTTTTTAAGCGGGGAATATCATCGTGTGACTGCTCCCGCCTGGGTGAGGCGGAAGGGAGTGTCAGACTCTTACTGACTAATAACCACCCCGTTCCTTCTCCTGCACGTCGAGCCGGAGCCCCGGTTACCCGTTAGGTTCTCCGAAGGCACATCCGATGACAAATAGATCTCATAACAAGTTTCAGATCAGTTAGTTACTCGGCTATTGCGCCAATCTTACAGTTAGTTGGGACTTGAGTGTGTATATAAAAATAGAAAATCTCACGATATACAATAGAATTAAGAGTTAAAGGCATTTAATTGTTACCATGAACTTGGTTCTAGATATAACTGTTCATTAGAACTAAATTGACTTGATGACGTGTTTTCATGTCGAATTAAGGGTCAATGAGCTTATTCATAGGTCATTACATTATGTTTCATGTACACTGCGTTGTAAGGATAATTTAATGTGTAACATATTGTACATTAGCTATGCCATTAATTACTATAACTTACATGTTAATTGACAAGTCTTTGGATTCCATTCATTCAATTGCCAGTGCTGAGTATGAGGTAATGGAGTCACAGAGTTTGATATCGGTATTAATAATAGATGTTGTGACTGAGATTTTTTTAGGATTTAGTTAACATTTAACAATATGCCTGTGTTTTGGATTGGATCATTCAGATTCATAATACAACTGGTGAAAATTAAGTTATTCATAATCAAAACCTTACCTTGAATAAAGGGAACCATTTTCTACTTATTTTGCTTAAACTAAGTTAATATTTTATCATTGTCATATCATATATTAATCATCCAACCATGTATTAGACATCATCACTTCAATGTCAATGTATTCAAAATATCAATGGAATTAATTTAATAATAAGGTTCACTTACTTAGTGCGTCTAACCAATCCTGGGATTCCTGTGTAGTGAAGTACAGCCTGGTCTCGTCTCGGATGTTGACCCAGGAGTCTGGCTGGAACGTGTACAACGGGTACACGCGCTCCAGTTTGATGCGCACGGACAACAGTTGCAGTACTGAACATACGTTCAGCATGAACCCATCTCCTATAAGTGTTTTGTAACGTTAATTTGTATGTTCATAATTTTTCTGTTGATGTCTTATAACTAGGATACTAAAGACTATATTATTATATTTTTTGACGAAAATCGGTTAGCAGTAGCAGTGCACTTTAATAAACGTTAACTGGATTTGGCGATCCGAAAAAAAGAATCTACGTACGTCACAGGAAGTAAATGCAAAGTTTGTCCTAAATCCTAAAGTTCATAACAACAAACTACGCAGGGCATAGTTACTTCAGTGAATATTATTATGACTGCAATACAATACTACTTAATTACGTTCTATTTTACGTACACAATTTTTTCTGCGCTCTGTGTGTTTTGAAATATATTATTACACCAACGAAACCAAATTCAGGATGCGAAAGTGCTTAAAATGAGTATAAACTCTTTAAATACAAGGCAATCTATGTACTAAACTTGTTGTTTTGGTAGACTTGAAGCAAAACAATCATTATAATATAGCAGTCGGCAGTCGTATAGGTACTGTGACTTTAACATACATAGCTGCATTTGCAAATTGAAACCAAGATTGAATTTATGTTTACAGAATTATAAGAACTCGAGTAAAAATAGCAATGATTGGCAATATTCATCTTTTCCCTGTATTTTGTTTATGTTGTATTTCAGAAGTGTTGGGGAAACAAACACGGAAGCTGTGTCTTTAAAATGAAATAATGTTTACTGGAATTGTATCGTTGATTGCTAAGTGTTGTGTCGAGCCAACAAAATCTCGCAAATCACTGATACAGACATGTAGTAATAACACCTATCTGCGTCGCTGTGTTCACGAACAAATGTGTTTGTCGCCGCCACCTGACGAACGTTACAAACATAAATATTTACAGTAAACCGTCAACAAGTACCGATTAACGTTTTGATCCGAATCTTGGAAAATAAATTATTTGGAAGAGTGCCAATACAAATTCGTCTAATAGACAAGTCGAGTGAGCGACATTTGAACGAAATATGTACCTAGCTAGTCTATTTTCGCAAGTCATTACTCGAAGGGAGCAACTACGCGCGATTCAATATATTATAGCTGTTCTGATAAACTTGCAGTAATGTCTTTATCAATTAGTTATACGGAGACCGAGCGGGGCACATCGTATCAACGCGGTCTTGCCAGATATTTATAAATAAGAGAACAAAAGCAATTTTAAACATGAAGCGTGTTTGTAGTTGATGTACCAAAATACACGATTCTGCGCAGCCATAAAGGAAAATCTGCACAACATGCTCCAATTTGTTTGGAACGTCTTCTTCGTCTTATTTATTGAGAGGCAGTCAAACGATTCGAGCAACGTATTTACTGTTTGCTTCTAAATAATTTGAACTAATCAGTTTGTAAACTCATTGCATTGTTTCAACGAGTGTTTTGTTATGCTCATCACCATTCTTACAAGATGAAAATTTTGTTTATTATACAAGACAAAGATTTCTCTTAGAACAATGGTGACATTACATACTAATTTTATATTAGGGTTAAAACATGAAACATAGTTTTAAAACTTCTTGAAGTATGGTTCTTTAAATTCGGCTGTATGAGTACGAAAATAAAAAAGATGATAATTCAGAGGTAACTGACCGGCCAGTGATCTCTCGTCAGTCTGCAACTGCGCTCTGCGGTCATTTCTCTGCAGCAGAGCAGCGAAGTAGTTGAGTAACGGCTCGCGAGCCTCCGGACACAGCAGGATGTTGTGGCAGATGTTGTGCAACGTGTTGCGGCTCGCCTCCACCTCGCGCTGCAACGCGAACGCCAGGCTGCGGTCGCCCGACCCCGTCGCGAACAGGCGCTCCGCTAGTCGCGGGTTCTCTTCCGCGAACAGGGATATCTGCAGAGATTTATTTACATTGGTATATGTGTCTCGATGTAATTCCTGGGAAATTCAAATAGTAGGTAGTTATAGTTACCGCAAAGAATGGTCCGAGGAAGCTGACACGTGCGATCTCTCGTCCTGCAGCAGTAGTGACGGCGTCGGGACATAGAGAGGGCAGGCGCGCGATGAGCTCGGCGAGCGGGCGGCGCGAGTGGCGCGGGCCGGCGCGCAGCTCGCACAGCGCCCGCAGCGCGCGCAGGGCGCTGCCGCCGCCGCACGCGCCGCGCCCGCCCAGCGGGGACACTGCGCGCCGCATCTCCTCGCGGATGCCCATCACTAGCGGCACGAACACCTGCACCGACACACATTCTTACATCTCATCTCATCTCACCATTCTAGAAGAACAGCTTCATCAGTCTACGTCGCTTGCATTAGGAAGTAGTCATTTAAAATATTGAAATAAAACCGAAATAGACAATTGTCATAAGTCTGATAGGTTACAATGATGATGCACTCACCTCTTCGAAAACTTCCTTATTTGTGTAAGTTGCAAGTAAAAGTTCCGGTATGAGACCCGTCGGCGGGGACACCACTAGCATGTAGGGAAGTAGAGGAGACTTCCTGCACTTTTCTAACTCAAAGTTCCCCTGCAGCACTAGCACTAAGTGGTTCACTAGTAATGTTCTTAAACTTTGGAGCAAGTCGCTCAATGGCGGCTCCGAGCTCTTCTTGGAGTATTCACGTTCATACGAATTAATATTCGAGTAGAATCTTATAATGTAGCTGACAGCCAGGCCCTGCGTGGGTATTGTCTTGGGTAGGGTAGCGACGGCGCAGGGCAGTCCGCTTTGTCAGCTTCTGTCTCTGAACCAATTGGTCCACAAGTCAACATATCGTCTCCGCATTCGTCACTAGGCCTTTTAGTAGTTTCAGTGATAGCGATGAGTTTCTGGTTTAGAGGGTCTGAGCCGTCCGCTATTTGCGTAATAACATCAATCAGAGCCTCTGAAGCCAGTTCTTCTAAACTTAATTTTGGGTTATCTAGAAGTGATGCTGCTACAGACGGTACAAATATTCCTCCTGCAACAAATGGATTCATGAAAAATTATCTGATAACGACCTTTGAGAAAAATTGTTATTATTATTATCGTCTCTACCGATAAAGAAACAATGGAGGTGAAAGCTCCATCTATCATCCTTCTAAATAAACTTCTACTTTACCGACAGAGATGTGCAACAAAATAAATAAAGAAACCTTATTTCTTTACATATTATTACAAAATGAGAAATATTATAATAAAGAATAGTTTCTAGGTTAGGAATATACCATAAAAGTATTAAAAATAATTCTCTCCTTTACCGGAAGGAATTTATGTGTAAGAAGGCCACAAAACCGCGATAGCCTTCGCTCGTGAAGTATTGATAAAATAGGTCTTTTTTATGTGTTATACGATTGCTTTTAGCTCTCTTATATCCTGGAAACTGTTTAATTTTTTCCAATAAAACAAATAGACAATTCCCATGTGTACTTACACGGTACTAGCACCTACTTAAATTAAAATAAGACAGTAAATAAAGAAGGACGAAAAGAACTAAAAAAATACCCTCAATTAAATACTTATCATTATGGATGATGATCTTTACAGTTAAGTTATAAAAGTAAATGTGTGACAAACCTGCACTGTCTTCAGACCACGACACCTGTAGGATCTTGGCGACAATATTCCGGAGTTGCTCCTCAGTCAGTTCAGTACAGCTCACTGTACGTGACCGGTGTATCTTTCGGGCTGGGGACGCTGTCTGGGTGTCATTGTCGTCCACCTAACACATAGTTTTAAATGTCTCTTTAAATATTACATTTTTTTTTTTTAAATTCTGGTATTCAAAGGCTGAGAGGCCTCCATTTCAGTGATTGCTGTGTTGTTGTGAGTTGTGATTTACTACAAACACAATGTGTTTTATAGGTAATAAATGTGCTGACTATATTAAACATCAGACGTATCTGTCAATCTCTACACATTGTCATGGATAGTATGAAAATCCAAGAGACTAACAAAAACTGTTGCACTTTTCATTTTTGTTGTTGATATTACAGTCAGTCTAGTCAAAATACTGCATATCAGATCAGAAATTTAGAGTAACTATAAACAATGAAATCAAAAAGATTTATTTAAACATAAAAAATAATATGTGCGAGTATAAAACGTGCCAATTTTGGCACGCCTGGCAAGGCAAGTAAAGCCTAGCTTTTATTCTTTAGCAACATTAACCAGCCAATAAGCACCACTTGTTGGGGGTCTATGTAAGCGAGGAATCTACTAAATTAACTACAAAAATACAGTGTGACACTGGACATTAATGCTCAGATCTAGTTGATGTGGTTTTTAGCAAGAACACTACTACCTAATTAAACTTAATACCAGTGATAGTATTGGTATTGGAGAGTTTGTCAATTGAAATTAACATAATAGATAATAACATTATTGTTTCTGCTACCTTAATGATCTTGTGTAACCAACACTTAATTACCAATTTTATTTACATTAGGTGGTAAACTGAATTTTTATATATCCTCCTTTATTTTTATGTTTATATATTTTATACAAATAAGATGACAGCTTTATGCTGTTATTGGAATAACAAATTTTATAAACTACGAATAAACATAACCACCCACTGATTCTGACAAAATTCAGGATGAGATTATACACAATTTAGAACATATTATATTTTTAGAGACAACAGAATTAACATGATGATCATGTAGAGACAATAATACAAATTAGTAATACAGGTAGTTGGAAAAAATGTGACTATTACTTCAATTTTTAACACACTGTAGTTACAAGTAAAACTAATTGCAAATTATAGTATTATGTAAGCTACTAACCTCCATAGGTTCCTCTTGTTTCTCTGATTGTGAATTTCTTTCTGACACATCATCCACTTCCATAGAGAGAGACCGTCGAGAGCAACTAGGTGAGGCATTACTGGGCCGAGGCCTTACTGGTGATGGCTCCACAAACTGTGCTGGAGATATTGACCGTGATGTGCTGTCTTCCCTGGTTGAAGCTCCCTCTGATCCACCCACTGTAGACTGTGGTAAACTAGCCACTCTCACTGATCCACAACTCAATAATGTATCATCACCCATGGAGTCAAAACTATTGTACTGTCTTGTTTGTGATAGGTCTGTCATTTTGGTATCAGGCATTTCATCTAACAGATTATTGTCCGTCTTCTCAGTAACAATTAACCCATCAGCTGGTATTTTGCTCTGGTCATCCACTTCACTTTTAACTCCTTCTGAATAGTTTGGTTCTTTGTTTGTGTTGGCCACATCTGGGGTAGAGGGTTCTGTGGATCCTCGAGGAACTGGCGCAGGGGAAAAGCGCACTTGTGAGGAGGTCTGTAGATCTGGCGAGGGCATCGATGCGCCTGGTGTGACTGGAGGGCTGGCAGGCGATGGCGCTGAGCCTGCACCCCCAAGTGCAGCGAGACGCGCCAGACGCCGTCTCCGTATCTGCAAGAAAACGACATGAGGTCCTGCAGCACATGTGAAAACCTTCTGCGCGCGCCAACGTCAAACACCAACGCTTTGTTTTGTTACGAAATTAGATTGGCCATACGCATTATGACAAGGTTCGTTTACAAAACAAATTTTCTACTTACCTCCTCCTGACTCAGCTCACTCATGATTGAAAAATACTATTCTGTAGGTTGAGTAACAACTATCGAAACCACTATTCCTTTGAATTTAGTTTCAAAAATTTGGATAAGAAAGAAGAGCAAGCCACACAACGACGAGTCAGTCACCTCGCTCAGCTGTTTGACGTTTGTAGTTGGTACAATGACGAGAAAGTATTGAAAATACACGCGTCATCCTAGCCCGAACTCAAACCCCAACAAAAGCTTGATATTGTCGATCTCTTTCATTCATTCATTGATTCTTTAAGAGTGAAAGAGATGGCGTTTGATATAGGTATAAAATAATATCTATATGTCCAATATTATGTAAACCACCTAGAGCGTTGTTTATTATTTAAAAATATTTTTGGTTTTACATGAATAAAATTAACAAATATTTTTCGTCAATGATTTATACCATAATACATTTCAGAAAAAATAAATGTTATTTTTCAATAGTATTTTCTGCTGAAGGAATAAACAAAATTATAAGATCAGAGATAATTTCGTTCAACAATGAACTAAGTGACTCATTTACAATGTTTTAATAACCATTTATTTATCATTTTCCTTATCATCAAAATTAAAGTTTTACAGACTTCAGAAATAATAAAATAGATTTATTCGTGTTTCAGTACAATCTTACTTATTTTAAAAACATTTGAATTGAGTTGGTTACTGCAGCGTATGCTTGTTTTTTGTATTTTAGGACGAAGGGTTTGTGGTCAATGGCCGCATGTATTGTTAATTTGTTTACGTTTAGATTGTTATAAATTTGCTGAAATACTATATTCATGATTAAATGAATTGCTTAAATAAACGTAAATTTATTCTAATCATTAAGTTAAATGCTTATGGTGTAAGGAGCTATACATAAATTCGACAATGTGAAGTGCATTTGTTTGTCAATAATGTAATTTGTTTTAAGATCGGATTATCGGGTAATTGGTCGGTGTATTAAAATTGTGACTACTGTATATATAATAAAATGACGAGTTTCCAAGTGTCCGATTTAGTGGCGGGGCTGAAGTCACGTCATGCCGAGACAAGACATAAGGCCATTCGAGAATTGTTACACTTTACCAAAACAGACCTTCGGGAGATGTCCCAGGAGGCTTTAACTCAAGTACTTGATGACTTCAACCAACAAATACATGCGCTTACCTCCAGCTACGACAACAACGAAAAGAAAGCAGGAATCCTAACCATAGGTATGTACATTTTAGGTTATATTATTATGATTCACAAAATCAATCATCCTTATTTATGGGGATATTACAATGCTATCCTTGTTTTATTTATATGATTATTAGGTCAACTGCTACAAATACTTCAAATTTATAAGCCATAACTTGAGTATTATTTTGTTATTGATGTTGAATATTCATTGCAGTCTGTTTAATTGGTGGGGACACTGAAACAACAAAATCTAGAAATATTCGCTATGCATACTACCTCAGAAATGTCTTCCCAACAACTGATCTAAATGTCTTGGAACTGGGAGCTAAGACTATGGGTAGACTTGCAATCACTCTTGGTATAAAGAGAGGGGAGTATGTGGAGTCTGAACTGAAGAGGGCTTACGAGTGGCTAGCAGAAGAAAGAAATGAAGGGAAAAGACTTTCGGCTGTGATGATTCTAAGAGAGTTGGCAATCTCTATGCCATCTTACTTCTTTCAGCATGTCAATGGCTTCTTTAACTACATCATGATACCCTTACGGGATCCTAAGGAACAAATCAGGGACGCAGCAGCAAAGGCACTGAGAGCAGCCTTAGTAGTAACTTCTCAAAGAGAGATACCCGAGCAAAGTAACAAAGCTCATTGGTACATACAGTGCTATGAGCAGTCCATGTTATCATTTGCTGAGCAGCCAGGAAGAGAGAGAGGATTAAGTAGAGATGACCATGTTCATGGAGCGCTGTTAATATTAAATGAACTACTGAGATGTTCCAATGCCACATGGGAGAAGAAATACACATCACTAATGCAGAAACTTGATTCAGAGCAAGACCCATCTGATGATATGACTTCATTGGGTTCAAAAGTACAAAGTTCCTGGACAGCCCAAAACTTTCCTGATGAGAAAAATCAAAATACTCTTGTTTATGAATCAAGCATTTGTAAAAAACTGATTGCAGAACATTATGAGAAGATATGTTTAGGTAAGTACCTTTCTACACTGGTCAATTCCCATGCAGACACCGAACCGACCTTGTTTCCCATGTCTAAAGACTACTTTTTTCATAATTCACAAGTATAATTCACAAGTATTAATTTGATTTTAGATCACTACTTAAATTGTTATTGTCATCTTCTGTAACATGTACCATGTGTTCTACATGCATATACTATGCTAATCAATGTTTCTTTTTATTAACAGATGTGATGGCCCAACAAATATCAAGAGCACATAATGTTCATCAAATGCTTCTACTAATGATACCAAGACTAGCTGCATTCAACAGAGAAGCATATGCTAAGAGGCACCTCAAGTCCACTATAAACCATTTAATAACTTTCTTACGTGGAAGAGAAAAAGAGAAAGCCATGGCATTCACCACATTAGGCCTTATTTGTGTAGCAGTAGAGTCAGATGTTCAACAGTATTTGGGTAGAATAATAGAGATTATAAAATTAACTTTACCACTTAAAGATACTCCAAAAAAGCGCAATGGGTCTGACACGCCATTATTTAATTGTGTTACGTTATTAGGGTTTGCTATGAAAGAAGATGTCGCCAATGAAGTTAAAGAGCTGCTGGACCCAATGTGCGCAACAGGCTTAAGTTCACAACTCACTACATGTTTCAAAGAACTCAGCCAAAATCTACCATCTCTAAAGAAGGAAATCACCGATAGACTTCTCAACATGTTGTCATTGATATTACGAAAGAAGCCATATGCTCCAAATAATGGAGAAAATCAAATAGTTCAAATGTTTACGACAGCAATGTTGGTGGAGCCGCATGACGCTTCCAAATTAGTTCTAGCGTTACGCACGCTGGGCTCGTTTGACTTCGAATGGAACAATACCTGATGTCATTTATTAGAAGATGTACTGATCATTACCTCTTGAGCGAACAACATGATATTAGAATAGAAGCTGTAAAAACTGCGTCAAAGTTGTTAATAAAAGCAGTCGAGAGATGCGCGCAGACTAATTCGCGGACTTTGACCGTCTTAGTTGATGAGTCGCTCGGTAAATTATTGTCAGTGGGTCGCTCTGACTTCGACCATGAAGTTCGCTACAGAGTCCTGGAAATATTCACCAATCCTATATTCGATAGATATCTAGCTGTAGAAGAACATCTGAACTGCCTTTTTGTGGCAATTAATGATTCAAATAATGATGTTAGTGAATTAGCGTTGTGCTTGGTTGGGAGACTGAGTAACATAAACCCTAGTTACACTATACCGACACTACGCCAGCTCTTTGTACAAGTACTCATGGAACTGCAGCATTCAGAATCGACTCGTAATAAAGAACAGGCACTTCGGATGGTTAACAACATTATTTCACATGCGCCGAGGATTACACGACAATTTGTAGACACCATACTCGATGTTTTAGTTCCAAAGTTAAAAGCAGAATCGGACAATCCTACAATGGTTTCAACAATATTGAAGGCTATAGGCGATTTAGCAGAAGTTAACGGTGGAGGTAATGCTCTTAATAGATGGTTGCCAGAACTTATGTCGATTCAGATTGATATCCTTTCGGATCCTAATCAACTTGAAAAAAGAAGTGTAGCACTCTGGTCTTCGGCCAAGTAGTTGGCGCGACAGGTCATGTTGTTACTCCCTATATGGAATACCCGCATCTAATGGACATGTTGCTAAATTTTTTGAGGACAGAACAACAACCAAGGGAGAGAAGGGAAACAATACGCGTATTAGGTTTGCTGGGAGCGCTTGATCCATACAAACACAAAGTAAATCAGGGCTTAATTGACTTTCAAACGGTATCTACTTTGATTCCTGTTTCGGACTCCACTTCCGAAAACATTGACGCAAATGTCAGTGAAATGGTCGTCAACATGTCACCGCTTATTCTGGATGAGTTCTACCCGGCCATTGTTCTCACGTCTCTGATGAGAATGCTCCGCGACCCGATGTTGACACAACACCACACGAGCGTTGTGCATTCAGTCACATTCATTTTTCAATCTCTAGGCATCAAATGCGTGCCCTACATATCGCGAGTGACGCCAAGTCTTCTTAATGTGATACGAACTACTGACAACAGCACCTTTAGAGAGTTTCTCTTGACGCAGTTGGCACAACTTATATCTGTTGTTAAAATACAGATTCGAAATTATTTAGAAGATATATTTGACATAATTAAGGAGTACTGGACACCAAATAGTCAACTGCAGCCAACTCTGATAATGCTAGTAGAACACATAACAGTCGCCATCGGACCGGAGTTTAAGGTGTATCTGCGGAAAATTCTGCCAAATATTCTCCGCGTGCTAAAATACGACAATAGTAAGGATAAAGTTCTGACTGAGAAGCTATTACTGACTATACAAAAGTTTGAAAATAATTTAGACGATGTACTGTTGTCGATAGTACCCGCTGTGACTGCACTCTTTGATGGCAGAAATATTCCTTTGTCAATATCAAAGCTTGCTATGGAGACTATTGAACACTTGTCGATGTATTTGTACTTCAGGCCGTACTCGGCGGTTATTATACAGGCACTCGCCAAAGTTTTGGACAACAATCCATCTTTACGACAAACCGCCATGAATACACTTTGCGCGCTGATTGTACAACTGGGACGTGAATACATTGACTATATACCGTCTGTGGACAGAATATTGATGAAACATAAAATACAATGCCCCAACTACATCGTACTCGTGACGAGGTTGCAAGCTATATCCACCTTGGCTTCTGATGATGATTACTTAGATGAGACTCGACTTCGACTGCGGAATCAAAAGACTGATGTAAGTACTGTAATAAAGTACAAAAGTTATTCAAGTACTTTCGAAGAAGAACTTGTTACTAAACGCAATTAATTTTTCAGGTCGTAGGCCCTGGTGACACTCAGACCATACAGAAATTATCATTGAACGTGTCTAACTTACGTAAATGTTGGTCTATAAAGAACATAGTGTCCAAAGAAGACTGGATGGAATGGCTGAGACAACTCAGTGTGGCCTTCCTGACAGAATCAAACAGCCCGGCTATAAGGTAAACAGCCAAGTTCCTTGTAATTTGGAATCCTGGTTCCTTGGAATTTTTGGACACAAGACACAAATACAACTTTATCAATATTTTGGTTTTTAGGGCGTGTTCATCTCTAGCTCAGAACTATCCTCAGTTAGCTAGTGAGTTATTCAACGCAGCATTCATGTCATGTTGGACGGAGCTGGATGACAAATCACGGAAGGAACTGGTACAATCTCTCGAACATGCTCTCACTGTTCCCGACACTCCAGAGCTGGCGCTCGCAGTTCTAAATCTCGCGGAGTTCTTAGAACATTGCGAAAAGGGCGCTTTGCCCATACCAATCAAACTGCTCGGCGACACAGCTATCAACTGCCGAGCGTATGCCAAAGCTTTATATTATAAGGTAAGATAGAATTCTTTCAAATATATAACACCGTGGGTTAACATATATTATATAAGTTGGTTAAGATGTGATCTAATTGTGCATACTCTTACAGGAACAAGAATACAAAAGAAATCCTTCTAAACAAGTAATTGAAGCATTAATACATATAAATAACAAACTCCAAAGAAACGAGGCGAGTAATGGTTTGTTAGAAAAAGTTATTACACAAAAGAAGAATGGTGATACCTCGCTAAATGTTCATGTTAGGTGGTATGAGAAACTACATAACTGGGATCAGGCTCTGGAATTGTATAGTAAGAAGCTGGAAGTGGAACCGCAAGATGAAGACTCCAAACTAGGTATGATGAGGTGCCTCGAGGCTTTAGGAGAATGGAGAAAGATATATAACATCACCACCGAACAATGGGACAGTATCACCGACGAAAATAGAAAGAGGTCAGCTAAAATAGCTGCTGCAGCATCCTGGGGTCTGCAGGAGTGGGATTCAATGCGCAAGTATGTCGAATTTATATCAGAAGATAGCCAAGAAGGTGCCTTCTACCGAGCAATCCTTGCAATTCATGAAGGACACTGGCAGGAGTCGAGGCATTACATTGACTCTGCTAGAAGTTTATTAGATGTAGAGCTAAGTGCTGTTGTCGGCGAGAGTTACCAACGAGCATACGGAGCTCTCGTCAACGCGCAGCTTTTGACAGAACTAGAGGAAGTTGTCACATACAAACTGGTAGAAGAACGACGCAATCCTATTCGGAAATGTTGGTGGTTGAGACTCCAAGGCGGCCAGCGGCTGGTGGATGATTGGAGGAAAATGCTTCAGATACGAAGTCTAGTCATGTCGCCGAGAGAAGACTTCCAAACTTGGTTAAAGTTCGCTTCACTGTGTAGGAAAACAGGTGCTATCAACCAAGCTCATAAAATAGTTCTGTCCATATTAGGCTGTGACCCCATCACTAACCCTGACGTATTGCTTCGGATGCAGGATCCCAGAATAGTGTTAGCTTACAGTAAGAACTTGTGGGAAGCTGGGAACAAAAGATACGCGTACGATGTCTTACAGAGGTTCTTGGACAATTCTGAACCAGACAATGACGAGCACTGTAGGCTGTTAGCACGATGCCACCTAAAATTAGGATCCTGGTGCGAGTCTCTTCAAGAAATTAATGAGTTGTCCATCCCTGAGATATTAAGGAACTATGCAGCGGCGACGATCCTCGCACCAGACTGGTATAAGGCGTGCCACGCGTGGGCTTGTATGAGTTTTGAAACAGTTCTCTTCTACAAACAGCAGGACAATATATCAGAGAGCAGTATAGCGGGAGGCTCTGGGGAGAAGAAAGTGTCGAGGGCAGATTTTATAAATCCTCATACTATACCAGCTATTGAGGGATTCTTCAAGTCTATAAGTTTATCAAATGGCAGTGCGCTGCAGGATACACTGCGACTGTTGACGTTGTGGTTTGACCATGGACATCACCCAGCGATATACGACGCGTTGTTCGAAGGGATCAGGCAAATAGATGTAAAGATATGGCTGCAGGTGATACCGCAACTCATCGCTCGTATTGACTCACCCCGGAGTTTGGTGGCCAAACTAGTCCATATACTGCTCATAGACATAGGCAAGTTACACCCACAAGCGTTGGTGTACCCACTGACAGTTGCGACAAAGTCTTCCTTCGTGACTAGAAAGACCGCTGCGAACTACATTCTGAAGACAATGTGTGCACACTCTCAAAACTTGGTGAACGAAGCGGCCATTATATCTGAAGAACTTATTAAGGTGGCCATTTTGTGGCACGATCAAGTATTCATTGCGCTGGATGAGGCTTCTAGGTGAATATATACCTATTTAATATTCCACATTTGTTAACTAGATTTATTTTATCCTTATGGTGCTAATAATGTTATTATTTTTAGATTATACTTCAGTGAAAAAGACTACCGAGGAATGTTTAAAACGTTGGACAAAATGCACGCGATGCTGGACCGCCCGCCAGAGACATTGAAAGAGGTGTCCTTTTTACAAATGTATGGACGGGACCTGCAGGAAGCACATCGCTGGCTAGAACTATACAAGGTAAACTATATTTACCAAAACAATTGTAAGCGAAGTTACACATATTTGTAGATTTTGTAGTGTGTGTGACCTTTTACGACACAGATTAAATCTCATAAATACTATGCCTATGATTGCCATAGTAATAGAATTATTGTTCATACAAACAGGTTATTATTTTTATAATAGATTTGTGCAATGCACCGTAACTATATTTAATGTTGTGTAAAAGTACGAGAGAGAATGTATTAATCAATTACGTAGGTGTAGTCATTGCCAATGTTACATAATTAAATATTGAAGTGGAGGAACAAACTTGTTTAATCAACTTTTAAGACCCCATGAGAGTAAAAATATTAACCAAATAATTATAATTACATAAGATCACGCCTTTTTCCCCGAAGTGGTAGGTAGAGGTCCTCATTACGGCACTTAATGCTACTGTACAATGTAACACCCACTTTTCAATATTTATGTTACGAGTCCCATGTAATAGGGGACGTATTGCCAGTTCCAGACTCCATGATACTAATTTAATTTAAAAAAAACCTAGTAATACTTTGCCTGACCCGGGATTCGAACCCAAGACCCTGGCCCGGCAGTCGCACTTGCGAACACTCGGGGCAACGAGGCAATGAAATAATTATAATGTTTTCTGTAATTTTATCTCATTGTAAAAATCTATACCTACTTTTTATATAATTTGTTCACGAAATTTCACAACTCTCTACAAATATGTATACTCTTGTCATAAATTAACTAATTTACAAATGAAAACACGAATTTTTAAATGTTCCAACATCAGTATAGGAATTATCATTTTGTACTAAGGAACCGTCACTGTTCAGTACATATCATCTGTTACAAAATAGAACACTACAACCTAGATCATTTTGCAGGAGTCTGGCGAAAACAGGTATTTGAACGAGGCATGGGACCTGTACTACCACGTGGTGCGTCGCATCGCGTCACAGTTCCGCTCGCTGACGTCACTGGAGCTGCAGTACGTTAGCAAGCGACTGCACACCTGCAAGGACTACGAGCTAGCTGTACCTGGCTCCTACGTACCCAACGAGAAAGTCATCAGGATATCGCATATACATAGTCATTTACAAGTGAGTAACTTTAACCAGTACAGTATAAATCGTAACCATGATGGAGTTCTTTCCCAATTCCTCTCCTTAGAATATACACTTCGATATGATTTAATAAATTCAACTAAGGGACTAATGAACTTTTTTTGATGTTTAAAGGCAGCTTTTTAGTCTTATGTTTATGACAGCAAACAATCATTAAAAAATGGGTGGAGGCCTATCAGATTTGTACCTAAATCAGTCATATTACTACACGAAGAATTGCTTTTCATCCCTTCCAGATAACAAATAGACAAATTCTTAAATATATTAATGTTTCAGGTAATAAAATCAAAACAGCGTCCTCGCCGTCTAACAATCCAGGGATCAGATGCCAAACAGTACATGTTCTTACTAAAAGGTCACGAGGACTTGCGTCAGGATGAGCGTGTGATGCAGCTGTTTGGTCTCGTGAACACTTTATTGCAGGCTGATACTAACACGTACAGGCACGACCTGGCTATACAGCGGTACGCGGTCATACCACTGTCTCCCAACTCCGGCCTCATTGGCTGGGTGCCACAGTGTGATACGCTATACAACCTCATCAGTGATTATAGAGATAAAAAGTCTAACAAGATGGCGCTCAGTACGGAACAGCAGATCATGCTGCGGATGGCCTCTGATTACCAGAAACTTATGTTGAAGCATAAGGTACGTCTACATTAAGTTAGTGAGGAACAGAATTCTGTATATAATACATATAGAGTAGAATCAACCAAGGTTTATTGTGCTTATTTGAGATTCCATGGCACATGGGTTTTTTAAATACACAATTCGGAGAATTTGGCCGATTTATTCTAATTTCTATTTTTTTAGAAGTAGGTATATATAAAATACTTATAAATTCATCCTTGATACAGGTAGAAGTGTTTGAATACACCCTCTCTCAAACGCCTGGGAATGACTTGGCGCGGCTCCTCTGGCTGAAAAGTCCTTCTGCAGAGGCTTGGTTCGAGCGTCGAACTAACTACACTCGGTCGTTGGCTGTCATGAGCATGGTGGGCTACATCCTGGGACTCGGCGACCGACATCCCTCCAACATCATGTTACATAGAGTCACTGGAAAAGTCCTACATATCGACTTCGGGGACTGCTTCGAAGTAACTCAATCAAGAGACAAATTCCCTGAAAAAATCCCCTTCAGATTGACGAGAATGCTCATAAGTGCTATGGAGGTAAGAATGACTTAATCATATTTTTTAAAACGTTCCCCACACTAGTGTTTTCTCCAGTGTGCGACCACTGAGCTGACTTTTCTTCTACTCTTTATCAATTTATTGATAGCTCGATAACTGTCACGAGTCCACTAAACCTATTATTGACTGCATTTTTATAGATATTTTTTGTTGCAATGTGCAACGATAAGATATGCAAATGCAGTCACTAAACATTTTCCACTTGTATAACAATTGATGCAATTTGCATGATAACAATATTTTGTTCAGCAATAAAATACATAAACTAAATAAATATAATGAAAACGACTGACCTAATTTCAAAAGTTAGGTCGTCTAATTTCAAACAACCTAGCTGTGTTATAAAAGCGTTACATACTTAAAAATGTGTATGTTGCTATGAATAATTGCGAGCACAATGCTAATATTAAATTGAAAAATGTAAATATAGCAATGAATGTTTGTAGTAGTGTTAAATGTGTAAAGATAAAAATATAATTATGTCATGACGTATTACCGTCACTATTTATTATTAGGTAGTAGGAATTTGTTTTTATTCTCAGAACGTATTAAACTATCGACTAAATAGACGCAGTAGTAGGTATATGACGCTATACTAGTGTGTCGTTTACTAAATCCATTTGATCTCCCGACCTCGAGTTTAGCACAAATTAATGATACACCATGAACTACTTTAACGAACTATTTTTGTAGAGCGTTCCATTTATTGATATAGAATCATTATAAACACACAACAGAACTAAAAATTATAATCATACTACACACTTTTAAATTCCCGAAGGCTAGATGTCGACGTCGATAAACAAGTCTTAATATCCACTGCTCCCAAAGGCCTTTAGCCAAAGGAACCCTTTTTCACCAAATATAGACACTTTTTTTTTTTTTTTTTTTTTTTTTTTTTTTTTTTTTTTAACCCCAAGGTGGGAAATCCTCATGGAGCCCCCTCGCCTGGGGAGGACGAAAGGGACTGTCAGACTCTTACTGACTAAAACCCACCCCGGTGTCCCGTCTCACACGTGGGTACGAGGGTGCGGGAGTCACATTCATCCGCAGCCCCCGAACTCGTGGCGGCCTGCCTTGCCAGGCCCCACCTCAAGATGCACGGAGAAGTGAGGTGTTGGTCTTCTCCGTGCAACGTCTCGGAGGCGCGCGTGGACACAACGCGCGCCACCGTCTCGGGTCCTTTACAACGGGATGACGGGGACTTCCCCAAGTCCACCGTCCCCGGACCCATTTAGGGGGGTCGAAAGAGAGTAATTTCTGCTCTCCTTCGACGCCCGGTGCGCCTACTGCGGGAAGGTAGAGACATTGCAATTTCCCTTTCCCTCTCCGCAGCCTCCTTCCGCGACATTACATCTTCGCAGAAGGACACCACTGCATCCCACTCTGCACTGCCGACCATTTTTTGGACAACAGTCGACAATGACAGATCGTCACCGATCTCTAATATGAGGGCACGACGCGGCTCATCCCAAGCCACGCACTCCATAAGGGTGTGCTGCGCCGTATCCTCCTCACAATGGACGCAGTGATGGCACCGAGCGTTTGGCTCCCTGCCTATGCGACACAGGAACTTTCCGAAACACCCATGCCCCGAAAGCACCTGCGTCACTCGAACGACAGGGTGCCATGCTTTCTCCCGACCAGTCGTCGAGTACTGGCCGGACCACCTCGATGAAGTTGAGTCCAGCGATAGGGCGTTGAAGCCTCTCCCGCCATTCCGCCACTAAGACCTGACGAAGCTCCGACCGGTGCGATTCTATCTGTCGTTGCACCAGTCGGACACCCCGTTCCTGCTGTTCCTTACGCCACAGATACAATGACGCAAGTACTTTCGCCTCGAGGTCCCAGGGCGGAGATCCGGCCAATACGCAAGCTGCCTCATAGGAAATCGTGCGATAACCCCTAATGACTCTGACGGCCATCGCCTTTTGCGGTTTTCGCAATACTGCAATACTGCCGGCCGTCAGGTCTGCCGCCCATATCGGGGCTCCATACATGGCCATGGATAGTACGATCCCTACGTAGAGCCTCCTACAGACAGCGCTCGGGCCCCCTAAGTTTGGAAGCAGCGTTGAAAGCGCACCCGTAGCACTCATTAACTTATGCGCTAGCCGCTGAAAATGAGGACCGAAGGTCCAACGGCTATCGAGCACCAATCCTAAATACTTCATGGTGGACTCGACTGCTATTCGGGTCCCACCGACCACTAAATGAGATTCCGGCGGTGGAGCGCGTCGAGGGCCATGGAACGTAATGGCTTCCGATTTGTTGAGGGCCACTTCCAGACCCAGGCGCCGGATGCGGCTCACCACCTGTGACACCGCTGCTGTGGCTAACATCGCCGCCTCCCTATAGGAACTCCCACGGGCGGTGACTAACGTATCGTCTGCGTAACACGTAAGGTCTGCACCCAACGGAAGTTCTCCTCTCAATACCCAATCGTATCCAATGTTCCACAAAAGAGGCCCCAATACTGAGCCCTGTGGAACACCGCAAGTCATGGCTCGCTGATTTACGCCATCATGTCCCCGGTAGGTGACACACCTGCCATCCAGGTAAACCTCTACTATGCGACGGAGGTAGGATGGCACACGGTGATACTTCAGTGCCTCCCTTATACAACTCCATGGCAGGGTGTTGAATGCGTTAAATATAGACACTTAGATTAGATACTTGTCTTATAAGCATCTATTTGTCGTAGGTGACGGGCATCGAGGGTACATACCGGTCGACGTGCGAGTCGGTGATGCATGTACTACACAAGCACCGAGACAGCGTGATGGCCGTGCTGGAAGCCTTCGTCTACGATCCTCTCCTTAACTGGCGCCTCGTCGACAACGACCACCACTCCCTCACTGAGTCCACCTTCTCATCAGACATCGACTCATCCTACACACTCCCCAGCCGATCCCGCAACCACTTGCACTACGAATCTCTCGAAATTCCTCCAGAGGCTAACCTCAACAAGCGAGCGCTCTCTATCCTCAACAGAATTAGAGACAAGTTGACTGGAAGAGACTTCCCGCACGTCGAGGCGGTCGTCAGCGTGCCCAAGCAAGTGGACCTGCTCATCAAGCAGGCGACGAATAATGAGAACCTGTGCCAGTGTTACATCGGCTGGTGCCCCTACTGGTAGTTCAGGTAACCAGCAGTTTGTTTCCAATGCGCTGTAACTGTAAGTGCCCGTCATATATATAAGGTCTTTATATTTCATGTAAATATCTGTTATATCAGGTGTCGACGCAGTTATACTACACTACACGTGTAATCTCTGTTTGCACCTCTATTAAAAATTATAACCGTGTTTATAATATGGAAATGTAGTCACTAAATAAGACTAATTATTTTATTTATGTTATGATATTAGTATTTATAAAGATTTAGTTTGTAAGTTTGTTACGCTTTTTTTTGTTCAATATGAGTTATTATTCTACGAAGTGTTTTTCGCTGGACTTAAAACACATATTTTGGCACTTATCTCGTTTGATAGTGTTACGAATATAATCCTATACAATTAGATGAATTATTGCGTTTACTCGACAGTATTTTTGTAATTTTACCACCGACATTTCATAGAAAAGACAAACACCGTGAGATCGAATGAGGAACATACTCGAACTCGTGTCGTACATAATTTTATATGCATCAACACCGCAACGGCATCATAATATAGGTGCCGAAGGACATTAACAGTAATGATGTACATTTGTCAACGTAAACACGTATGCATTACACTACAACACTAGCTTTATTTCAAACATGTATTAATCAAAGGCTCAGAGGCACTAACTGTTATATGTAAACTTCTTCCTGCCCTTATCCCAAGACCCAAGTTATTTGAGATCGACACAATATGTCTTCCTTATCTAATTTTCTGTATCAGTTGTCATCTTATCAAAAGTGTATAATAAGTTTGGAAAGACTAATTAATTAGCAATTTGTTTGTGAGTAAATATACCAACATACACTAGATTTCCCCGAGTACTTTTTCTTATATTTTTTACTAGGGCCCGATGTTATAGTTTGCGCCGCTGATAACATGATTTTACATATTTTATTAAACATTGATTAAATTTTTTTATCAATATAAAACGAATGTTTGTTGTTGATTCCCTTGTTGTAAATAACCTAATAAGTATAAATGAATGCCTCACGTTAAACGCGTTGCCGTTACACTGTGTATATTGGACCGTACTATTAGTACCTATAAGTTTTGTAAATATAAAACGCAATAAAAATGTTAAAGCTTTTTGAATGTTTAATTTCGTATAAAATATTTGGTAAATATTACAAAATCATTTTCGTTATTGATTGGAGCTGTATAGTTATTATTATGATAATATGCTATCTTTCTTGTAGCTGACGTATGCCAGAGGTAAGATGTTGGATAGTTTGGTGCGGAGTACTTTGTCGTGGCAGGGCTTGCCGAGGTATACCTCCATGTCTCCGTCGGAGCCGCGGAATTCGCTGAGCGTCTGCCTGCACACCCCACACGGAGCCGTGAAGTTCTCTTGGTGGGCCACTACCGCGACTATCTTAAACTTGATATATCCGTCACACACTGACTTCCCAATAGCTGTTCTCTCAGCACACATGGTCGGTGACAGCGTCGAGTTCTCTATGTTACATCCTGTAAACACTTTATTTCCTTCTTCTGTCAGTAAAGCACATCCGACTTTGAAGTTCGAATACGGACAATATGCTTTCTCTCTCACTTCCGCTGCCGTTCTCAATAGATTTTGCACAGTTTCACCTGTAAACCAATAAACATTAATTAAAGTTTAACGTTGATAAAGATTTAGGTACTTACTTCTATAGTGCTGTTCTGTTCCTTCTTTAATGGTTACGTCTATGCTCTACAAGACACGAGAGAAATAATTTATATTTAAAGACACGAGCACAATTTAGTGGATCGTGGAGTTGCACCTGAAATATGATACACAACACAGCTCGTCGTTCAGGTTCAACCACTGTGTGAATCGTGCATTTTCATAACGAAGTAGTTCTAATGGTAAAATTTCAAAAATAACTAATTCGTCATGACTGATAATATAATAATTTCATTGAGATAACTATATAGATATTGTTAGTTACAATAATTGGAAAGGTTTGTTATCATTGCGGTAAATTTGTACTAATACTAATCATAATAAGGAAATGGTAAGTGTTTCCGTATTGATCTAACAAGTATCGTTGGTGCATACTTAAACGACACTTGTGTCGATTGGAAGGGCAACGAGTTAGCAGCTCTATAATAATTATATGCAATATTATGAACACTTATTGAAATGTTTACTGTGGTCTCAGGTATATTATTTAAATGTAAGTAACGAGATCATGTCTTAAAAGTTACGCTGTATAATGCAAAATAACAAAATTAATTGACGCAAATATTTGAACATGTTTTCGAAACACATTGAGCAAGAAATAGTAAGACGATGTAAAAATAAGTAGGTAAGTACATTTGGCAATAAATAATAACACTTACTCAAAGAGTTGAAGTCAACAATTTCGTAATTCGCCATGTGCGCGCGTTCACTGTTCGCGTAGTAATTCGTATGGAGCGGCTGTAGGGGCGCCCAGCGCTCTCTGCGGTCAGCGGCCAACTGATTACTTAAGTAACGATCGTTGATTAGATAGTGCTTTATGATTGAATATCCCTTGTGACAAACGGCGTGGTGTTACTGTTTCAAACGACTCGCGCGCACTGGAAACAATTGCTTTCTTCACGCACGAGGGGGCCGTGTCTGTCATTGTTGCTGAATCAGGCGCACGTTGTGGTTTTAAAATTCCCTGCTAGGATTTTACTTATTGCAAAATACGTGCATGTCAAGAGAGGAAATAGGTAAAAATCACCTTTGTTCACGGCATTGTTCTAATGGGGTAAGCAGTGGATTCGCTATCCTTTAAAATGGGTTGATATTTGGTAATCAGCTGTGTCAATGAAATGCAATATCCACAAATATTTTTAGAAATCTATGGATCCAATTTTCCTATCCGATACATTATGTTCAGCAATCGCTAGATTAGGAAGACTAAGTCAGAATGGGTAGGAATGTCAAGGGTCATGAAATAATGACAAGTGAAAGTGCAAGCAATTTGTAGGTGGGTAGCTGTCGCACTTCATGCTAAGAATAGGTATAATTCATTGTCAAGTTCAGGCGAGGACATTTTCAATGTTATCATCTTTATTTTATTTCCTATTAAATCATGTTTATGTTGTAAGCTCATAAAGTATATCATTTATTCGTCATGGCTTACCTTAGGTACCTACCTAAGATATTTAGATAGGTAGGTACTATTTTAATTGATAGGTATCCTAACTGACGTAACGTCATTGCGTTCCGGAATGTATTCTATATTCCGTGATTGCGTTCATACGTTTCTAACATCGGTTTTAGTTTGTAAATCTAAAATGTGAAAGGTAATCACACTAGGTAAAAAATTAGCTAACCTATTATTATTGGCATAACATCATGCCTTTTGTCGCCGACGAGGTAGGCAGAAGTGCACATTACATCACTGTACCTACAATGTAACACCCACTTTTCACTATTTATGTTATGGGTCCCATGTAATAGGGGCCTATTGCCATATACCGGGCACATTTCCAGGCTCCGGGCTACTACCTACTGAGTTTTTTTTAGAAAACCTTGTACCTAATACTTTGCCAGAGCTGGGCATCGAACGCGAGACCCCTTGTCCAGCGGTCGCACTTGCGACCACTCAGCCAATGAGGTAGTCTGTCCTATATGTCAATGTGCAGTGTCCTTAATACCCCGGAGATAATATCAAAATAATTCCTTTTTGTTAATAATATAACAGCTAATGGTTCATATTCGATAACGCAGGTGATAATATCGAACATAGGTAGGTACCTGTATCTATATTGTTAATGAACATTAGAACATCACGGCAAGCAGGAGTGCACACAAATCTTTTCACACAGCCCACTTTTTAAATAAAAGTCGCATGTAACTTTATATCGGGCACAAATGAAAAGCCTAACTATTAAGTGGATGTAGTATGAAGGCAGGTAATGCACGTATTGTCAGCGGGGAATCCCCGTAGCACTGTAAATACTATTGAAATTCATTGATTGTATGAAACTTGAGGAGAATCTTACACCTCCTACCTTTCTCGCGCACGACATACGACTCCGCCACCTTACCTTATAATGAGCATTGTGGGAAAGTGTCTTTTTAACCAAAATCCAATAATTTTAACCCAACTGCTATTCAAGGGTTATTTCCAGTTACACTACCAACGAAGTACCTCCTGTGACCAATTGTTATTTACAATAATGAGAGTTATTTTATTGTCAAACGCACAAAAGAAAACATCAAAATAACAATAAATCGTTTTTATTCCATGAAAAACAATCTTCAATTCAGATATTATAAACATGGCGTATTTACAAGTAGCATATTATTAATATAATCACTTCCATAACATTATGGAAACGATATAATGTTATCACAATATAGGCACAATTTTACATTTCCCATAAAATAAGTTTACCTTCTATATGAATTCTTATAATTATATAAAATAACATAACATAGAGGTGTAATAGATTCGCCAGTTATGTTATTAGTCGTATGAGTGAGTTCATTGGGTTCCCTATCCATTTGCACTATTTTTTTACACATTGCATAACACTTGGGCCAGCGCAGACGAAGAGCTTCAGGATCAGTTAAAGATTGTGTAAATGACTCATAAAGAACTTGACTAACTGCCTCACAGGTACATTTTTTCAATTTAGATGCGCTATTAACTGTTGGGCTCTCTCAATAATCTGTTTGTCGGCCGGACATAGATGGTTATTGGGACTGACTGTACCTATACGGAAAAACTCTAGAAGATTAAGAGGAGTCTGTGATGCAGTAAGTCAGTGGAACAAAAATCATTCGTCTGTACAGGCACTAATATTGAACTCATGAAATTATACCAAAATATCATTTATGCAATAATGCATTAATTACATAATCATTTATACATCCAAGTATGCAAAAAGTATAGGGATTGTGACCAATATATCCCCGAGACACTCTTATTTAAAACAACCACAAAACAACACAATTTGTTGTAATATTTTCAATAATAAGCTAATGTCATCAGTGCAGTATTTAATAGTCAATAGAAAGAAATAGAAAATAATTACATAATTATAGTAAAACACTTCTACCATTCTTCGCGGCTCAGATCACCACTATTATTATTTAAATTGAGGATTATAGAGTCATAATTAAAATAGGGATGTTTCAATGTTTAATGTTTTATTCAATATTGACTGTTTAGCTTAGTGACTGGACAACCAAACCGAGACCCGAGTGTGATGTGTTTTCCACCCACGATTACCGATAAATACCGGTATTTATTATACACATTGACGATAAAACATATTTTGTAAAAAACCTATATTATGTATATTGGTATTATATAATCAAGTAATGATAGCATAATAATTTTAAGATAAATCACCTAGAATAAATTGTTACAGAAAACATCCCAATTTCTTTTAAAACGATATAATCTTTCGTCATTAGAAGCTTTAGGCCGCACAGCGTATTCTGCCGCCGTTTAATCGCAAAAGAACACGTACTAAATATCGGTTTCGTATTATAGTGTAGCGCGATTTGTTCTCTCAAGCACGTTGCAGTTTTCAGATCGATCGAAGTATAAAATCTTTAGTGCGTGTAGTTGCACTGCTTCCTTTGGGACAAATCGTGCGCGATTAAAAAATGGCTGCGGTTAATCGTGGTACGGCCCTACGCTTAAGAGTGGTTGTCAGTCACCCAAAAATATTACTGCTTAACTAATATAGTTGCTTGGATTGGCGTCAGTGATAGGAAACAGTATTAACAAAAGTAAAAAGACGTCACTACTACATGTATGGCTAGTGTTTTCATGAATCCTTAAGTCCCTAAAATACCCGAGAATTAACTGGATCTTCTAAATATAGTGTATATTTATCTATCCCTATATTTTATACCTTAATTGTAAATGAGTTAAACTAAATGCTAGTTATCATTAAATGCATTTTAGTTGTTAGAGTTTCTAATAACAGCCCTTAGCTGTATTGGCGTCCGATTTCAACCACACGTACAGTACAATCGTACTCAATTAGGCACTTGGATCGTGAAATACGGACGAACGTTTATATAATATGTATACTTGTGTGACTTTGAAACCTAAAACTAAATGTTCTAAGTCACTAGCTGCATTCAAAATTATGTGCTTAACATTCCCAGAGGTATATTCGACTGATATAAACGAGAAATAATGCTTACGATATCGCTAGACTAAGATAAAAAACTTCGATTATAAAATCCTTTGGTATTACCAGAACGGACACCAGCCAACGTAGCATTGGCAGAGGTTCTCATTGCTGGTGGCTTGTTGTATTAACAGGTCGACTTGTTTCTGCACGGAGACTATCTCGTCGATGTGGGGGAAGTCTCGGCCGGTCAGCTTGTCCCTCACTCGATTGACGATGGCGAGGGCTCGCTTGTTCAAATTCGTTTCCGCTGGTTGGTCGAGGGTGTCGTTCAACCCTATATGTATTCTGTTCCTGCTCGGTTGTGGTGAGGAGGTCGGATCTGACGTGGAACAGACTTCTGCATCAGCTCGGGACCGCCGACCAGCGTCAATTAGCCTCCAGTTTAGTAGAGGATCGTATACGAACGCCTCTAGTACAGCCATCACGCTGTCCTTGTGACGATGCAGCACTTCCATCACAGATTCACACGTGCGACGGTACGTGCCCTCAATACCCGTCACCTATAAATTCAGAACATACAGTGTTGTAATGACGTAACAATATTTTTTGAAGGTAGTTACTTTTTATTTGTGGCTTTATAAAATAATTGTTAAGGGTCTTGATACATAGTTACTCTTTAATTTCCATATGAACTAACAATGTATCAGATTTGAAATGTAGAATGGATGGTTGGAAAGATTTGATACCTAGATAATATATTGCATAAATTAAATCCACTGAAGGTCTTTAAAGGTTATCAGTGAAAATTTCGTGAAGAAACGGAATCGATCGAAAAATCAATAAATCAGCTGTATTTACCGATAATACTCAGTGTGTACAATGTCGAGATAATAAATAGGGCTTTGCTGGGAATTTAATTGTACTGATTTGTTATACAGAAAACTACAGCTTTTTTGTTTTAAGACTTAACGGCGACATCGCTGTCAGATATAACGCGCAGACCGTTTACAAAATGCATATAATAAATTGTAATCTTACCTCCATAGCATTAATGAGCATTCTTGTCAGTCTGAAGGGTATTTTCTCAGGGAATTTGTCCCTAGTGACGGCTACTTCAAAGCAGTCTCCAAAGTCGATGTGTAAAAACTTGCCGGTGACTCTGTCCAACATAATGTTGGAGGGATGTCGGTCGCCAAGTCCCAGGATGTAGCCCACCATGCTCATGACAGCCAACGACCGAGTGTAGTTAGTTCGACGCTCGAACCACACTTCGGAAGATGGACTCTTCAACCAGAGTAACTTGGCAAGGTCGTCACCTGCCGTATGCTCTAGAGCGTGTTCAAAGACTTCCACCTGGACAATTAAAATGTAAAATTAAATGGTTACAGTGAACCACATTATCCTGTCAAATAAATATGTGCATTGTATTCCCTTACCTTTTGCATTAACATCAGTTTGTCCAAATCGGAAGCCATCCTTTGCATAATTCGATGCTCGATATTTAACAGGCACTTTCTCTTTTCTCGATAATCTCTGCAAATAATAATTGCACATGTGATTATTTAGTAAGGTATAATTTTGGTATAAGAATTTACACCCGAAAATTATGCCATTTTAGTCTCACGTGATATAAAACTAATTTCACTAGTTACTATCATCAAAAGCTTTTTATAAACTACCTTATTAACGAATGCAGGGTGTCACAATGAGGTACCCATCCAATCAGGCCAGAATTAGTTGAAAGCGGTATGACGGCGTATCGTTGAATAGCAAGATCTCTTCGGAAGGTATCAGGGTCAGCCTGCAGCAGAGTATTCACAAGACCGAATAACTGCATCACTCGCTCGTCTTGGCGCAAGTCCTCGTGACCCTTCAGTAGGAAGATGTAGTCCTTGCCGTTGGAGCCACGGATACATAGACGGCGAGGGCGCTGCTTCGACGTGATTACCTTTTGAGAATCAAACGTATTGTCAGTAATCTTGAACTAATAATTTACATTTATTATAAACATCTAATGACAGCCTTTACTGTTAGAAACCAAAAAAAAAAACTATTAATAAAACTTATCAAGGATTTCGTATTAACTTACAACCATCTCTGCTCATCACAATCCGCATGGTACCCACTTAACGGGTTGTAACAGGCAGACAGCATTGGAATCACTTATAGAACTCTGACTAAGTAAAATAAGAATATCTAACCTGCAGACTACTCTGTATGTTAGCGATACGGATGAGGTCCTGGTCAGGCACATAAGAGCCGGGCACCGCGAGTTCCAGGTCGCGGCAGTTAAGCAGGCGCGGGCTCACATACTGCAACTCTAGCGACGTTAGTTGCGGCAGCTGCCTACTGATGCGCCGGAACACGTGGTAGTACAGGTCCCACGCTTGGCTCAGGTCGCGGACTTGACCCGACTCCTGGACAAGTTTATAAATCGTTACTGAACTGATAGGAAAACACAACTAAAATATTACATAGTACATATGATTTAACAAAAAAGAAAAATATTATTTATCATTAACTAATGTCCTACAACAGTAACATACCTTATATCGGTTACACCACTCTTGTGCCTCATTCAGATCTCTTCCGTACGCCTGAGTGAACGAGACTTCCTTCAGTGTCTGCGGGCCCCGCTCCAACATCGCGTGCAGCGGTTCCAATGTCTTAAACATTGCATTCACATCGTTCTCGTTAAAGTACAATCTGGAAGCTTCTTCCAAAGCTTCATGCCATTGTTCGTGCCACAAAATAGCCACTCTGATCAGCTCCTCGGAAATCATAGCAGCCTGGTTTACCAAGTTATTAGAATGGGTACACATTGACTTCAAAATCTGATTCGCAGCATTCTTCCGAGCGATGAACGATGACTTCGAAGCCACCGTTAAGGGATATACCAAAGCTTGAGGATGTGACTTGCCGATATCTATTAATAGGGAATGAATCAGCTTTCCAACTAATGCTCGCGGCGTGTCGATCCTAGCAATAAGCTGCGGGATCACTTGGAGCCAGACATTAATCTCGATCGTCCGAATGCCTTCAACGAGCGCCTCGTGAACAGCTGGATAGTGACCATAATCAAACCACAAAGTCAACAATCTCAAAGTGTCTTGTAGCGAACTACCGTGAGATAATTTAATGGACTTGAAGAATCCTTCCACGGCAGGCACGGTATGTTGCTGTATACACTCCGGCGAGGGACGCCTTTCCGATTGGCCTGCATTAGCATCCTGATGTTTGTAGAATAGAACAGTCTCAAAGTTCATGTACGCCCACGCGTGCCAGGCTTTATACCAATCAGAAGATAGGTCCGTAGCAGCTGCGTAGTTTCGTAGGATTTCGGGAATAGAGAGCTCATTAATACCAAGTAGGGATTCACACCACGATCCTAGTTTCAAGTGACACCGTGCAAGCAGTCGGCAGTGCTCCGGGTCGCCTGTTTCCGTAGAGTCGACGTACCGTTGTAGCTGGTCGTATGCCAACTGCTTGTCACCAGCTACCCACAAATGTTTGGCGTACGCTAAAGTTAGTCTTGGCTCGTGTGTAGGCAGTGGCATATCTTTATTCTTGCTAGGATCTGTTCCCAACAACATTACCAAAGTCTTATGAGCTTGTCGCGGAGCGCCGCTCTTCCTGCAGAGTGAGGCGAACTTGAGCCATGTGGCCATATCTTCTTGCGGCGTCAGAACTAAACTACGAACTTGTAGAATTCTGCGCCAGTCTTCCACCAGCCTCTGTCCACCCTGCAGTCGTGTCCACCACGCTTGTCTTATAGACTCTCTCCTCTCCACAACTGACTTGTAAGTGATTACTTCTTCTAATTCTGCCAGCAGCTGAGCGTTAACAAGCGCACCGTATGCTCTCTGATAACTTTCACCGGCGACTGCCGTCAGCTCAGAATCGAGTAAAGTTCGTGCTTGATCGATGTACTGTTTAGATAGTTCAAATTCTCCGTTATGAATGTTGAGAACTGCTCTGTAGAATGCACCGTCTTGTGTATTTTCTGGGAGGAATCTGACATACTTGGCCATGGAGTCCCATTCGTTGAGACCCCAAGCAGACGCGGCGGCTAAACGCGCAGCTTTGCACTTTTCTTCATTGGTCATTTTAACCCATTTCTTGGATACGGTATTATAAAGCTCCACCCATTCTCCCAGAGCTTCGAAACAACGCAACTCACCCAGATACGAGTCCATATCGCCCATATCAACATTTAGTTTCTCGCCGTATAAGTCAAGAGCTTTCTCCCAGTTGTGTAGTTTCTCATACCACCGTATTTGTACTTTCAGGCTGGTGTCTCCAGCTTCACGCTGTGCCATCACTCTTTCGAGAAGCCCTTCGGCGGCCTCTTTCTGTTGTAGTTTGTTGTTGATATGGATTAAAGCCTCTACTACTTGAGATGTAGCGCCGTTACGGAATTCTTCTTCCTGTGGTAAAAAATATTATTAGAACAAATAAACAATAAAATAAATAAATAATAATAAGGCGAAAGGCAATATTAAATTGAAATAACTGTAATGACCTTGTAGTGGAGAGCTTTTGCATAGGCTCTGCAATGCATCGCCCTCTCGCCTAGCAGGTGCGTCGATATAGGCAGGGCGCCACCCTCGCAGTGCTCCATAAACTCGGCGAGGTTCAGCACGGTGTGCGCCAGCTCGGGCGCGTCGGGGGCCGTGAGGGCTTGTTCTAGAGCGTTCGACAGCTCTTGGCGAGACGTCTTGTCAAGTTCTGTCCAGCAAGAGACGAAGGCCGCGTTGAATAAATCCCGGAGAAGTTGTGAGTAGTTGTGTGCTAACGCCAGACAGGCCCTGTAAGTGACATAACAGTTAGTTCAAATAGTGTATAATTTAATGTGAAATTGTTATGCAGCTATATATTCATCGATATTTACCTCAGTGCAGGGCTATGTGACTCTGTCAGTAATCCAATGCTAAATCGTCGAAGCCACTCCAGCCAATCATCTTTCGACACTCGGCTGCTGACTGTCCACGCCAGCTTCAGATTGTGCGCATTAACACACAACTTGCGTATGGATTGCGAAGTATCGCAGGTGTAACCGATTCGAGCCTGTCAAACGTAACAATTAAATGAGTGATATAGGTGAACAAATAATTGTATTTTGCATAAATAATAATAGTTACCTCCTGGTTATTATTTCGTGGTCTCCTTCTAGTGCTTTGTAGGAACTCATCCATAGCCAAATTTTGGCTAGACTGCATTCGAGATAATAGTAATTCGTAGTTTTGATGCTGTATTTTGTGCTTACCCACCACTTTTTGTACCAATGGTATAAAATCAGTGAACTTGCGTCCTTGCTGTACTATAATAGCACATAAAGTGTCCATCGCAGTTGGTCGCAGTTGTGCACAGGTGTCTAGACTTCTGACTAGAGGATGGATTATTCTAGAAATTAGTTCACCGTAATTTAGAGTGTCAGACAGGTAGTCCACCGTCTCCATGGCCACTTTGGCCACGCCGATTGGACAGTCTGTCGCATCAAATAACTTGACTATTGACGGTATGACTAGATGCATGTAGTCATCCAAGTTGTCTTCGAACTTTTGTAGGGCATACAGAAGTTTCTCAGTGACTATTCTGTCTTTACTCGTATCGTGTGCCAGAACTCGCAAAACCTGTGGCATCAACTGGGGCAAGTACACTTTAAATTCTGATCCAAGAGCAACCGCGATGTACTCCACCAAAAGAATCAATGTAGGTTGTAGTGAACTATTAGGTGTCCAAAACTCTCTGATCAAATCGAATATTTTGTCCAAATAATTGCGAATGTGCTGCTTCACAATCGCAATTAATCTAGCTAGTTGAGTAAATAGGAATTCTCTAAAGGTATTGTTGTCGGTTGCCCTCGCCACGTAAAGCAGGCTTGGCGTAACTCGAGATATGTAAGGCACGCACTTGATACCCAGAGACTGGAAAATGAAGGTGACAGCTTGGACAACACTAGTATGATGTTGTTGCAGTGTGGGGTCTCTCAGGATCCTCATAAGCGTCGATATAACTATGGCTGGATAGTATTCATCCAAGACGGTGGACGACATATTCACTAGCATCTCACTTGTCGTCATATCGAAATTATTCTCTTCGGCTTTGCTATCTGCAACAGGTACTAAGCTGGAATCAGGCTTTTCGCCAATCAAACCTCTTGTAATTTTATGTTTGTAAGGATCCAAAGCTCCTAACAATCCCAAAACACGAATGGTTTCTCTCCTATCTTTTGGTTGCTGTTCAGTCTTGAGGAAATTCAACAGGACATCCATGAGGGTGGGATACTCAGTGTAAGGAGTGACGACGTGACCTGTAGCGCCGATCAATTGACCAAACGCCCAAAGAGCAACGCTCCTTTTTTCTGTTGCACTTGCATCAGATAACAACTCCAAAAGAATGCTCAGTAAGTCTGGTAGCCATTTCTTGAGACCACTGTTATCACCATGGACATCAGCCAAGTGACCAATAGCTTTCAAAACACTTATGACCACACCAGGATTTGAGTCTGATTCTCTGAGTTTTGGCACCAGTACATTCAAAATTGTCTCCATATAAGGTTTTATTAGCTTTGGAGCATGACGAATGAGATTGTCCAACATTCTGGCCGCTTGTTCCTTGTTTCTACTCATTCCAGAGTGTTCTAGTTCAGTTAGAAACTGTATCAATGTCTTGCGTAGCCCCGGCATGACATAAGCTGGGTTAACTACACTCAATCGGCCAACAGTACAGATTGCAAGTTCTCTTATAGCCAAATGCTCATCATTCATGGCCATGAAAAGAAAACTCAAATTCTCAATTTGAGCTAAATGTATATCAAACATATTGTTTAGGGACTCCAGTACCCAGTATCGAACTTCGTAATCTGGATCTGTTACAGTAACAACCAGCAACTTGCCCACCACTTCTGCAGTCAGCAGAGTGAGAGTCCTTGAAGGAGTTTTCATAGTCCTAATCATTGAATCCGCCAATAATTTTGCAGCAGTTTTCACTGCCTCTAATCTAATTTCCTGTTGTTCACTCTGCAAGAAGTGGTCAGCACAGCGCCTTACAAAAGTAAGCAAGCTGTGCTGCCCTTCAAAATTAAATGATCCAAGAGTTCTTAAAGCTAGAACAATGCTAGCAGTATCTTGGGGTTCCATTACTAAACTCATGTTACTCATCTGCTGTTCCAAACTTCTCGGCACACCTGGATGTAAGAATGGTTTATTTCTTAAAACAAGAGAAAGCATATTTAGCAGACCTTCCGATATTTCTGCTCTTAAGGAAGGTATATTGTTGCTCAACTCTCTGAGGCAGATTGTGAGAGAAGGACTCAGGCCAGTAGCAAACATGGCGTCTAGCAACTCTTTAATGTCGGTGGTGACTAGATCTTTCACTGCACTCCCAAGTAAAGTTATGCAGGCAAAAATTGAAGGATCAATCCAAATCCTCTTTTTAGTTTGTGTGTCTCTAACAGGCAGTGTTTGTTTGATGACATCCATAATGCAGGGAATATAGTTCTTTATGTCATCTTCTATAGCAGCAGCCATAAGTCCCAGTGTAGTGAATGCCATGTTCCTATCTTTTTCTCTACTACGTAGACAAGAGAGCAAGTAGCTCATAGTAGAAGTGAGGTATTTATTTAGGAAAAACTCTTTGTTAAATGCAGCTAGTCGTGGAATAATCACAAAGAGAATTTGAGGAACTCCTTGGGTTTTGAGGAAGCGTTGGTTCATAACATCTGCAAAAAATATTACATTAGTCAAATTAAAAAAAAATACTATTAGAATTTTAACAAATTTTGCTTAACGTTGTAGCTTATAGCACTTACCTTTGCAAATTCTTTCAAATCTCTTAGTAAGAAGTCTACGGCAAACTTCAGATTCATAAATAGGAACTGGGTATGTAACATTTTCAGTCTTGAAGCCATCACACAAATATCCTCTCTTTACTGATGGACTGTGTAACTTAGTGCTTATAAAAATAATATCGTCAGACACTGTGATGTCTTTCTGGGAATCTAGACTCTGCATTAGATACGAATACTTTTTCTCCCACACAGCATTGGAGCATCTCAGCAACTCATTCAAGATTAACAGGCCTCCATGGACTCTATCTTCTTTGGTAATGCCCTTTTCTTTTGCTGGAATTTCATCAAAGGACAGCATTGCTTCTTCATAGCACTGCATGTACCATTGTGGTTTGGCAGTTGATTGTTTGGCTGTTTCTCTCTGCGCAGTCACTACTAAACCTGCTCTTAAAGCCTTTGCTGCAGCTTCACGAATTTGAGGCTTTGGATCCTTCAATGCGACAAGAATGTGATCAAAGAATCCTGATACTTGTTGGTAGAAATAAGTGGGCATAGCTATAGCTAACTCTTTCAGCAACAATACAGCTGAATGGCGTCTACCTTCATTTCTCTCTTCAGACAACCACTCAAATGCTCTTTTAACTTCAAACTCAACATATTCTGCTCGTTTGACGCCGGACACTGTAGCAAGGCGGCCGACAGTTTTAGCGGCAAGTTCCATAACACCGACATCAGAAGAAGGTAGTAGGTTCCGAAGATAGTTTGCAAATCTGGTAATTCGCGTTTTAGTCGTATCACAATCACCACCAATGAGGCACACTGAAATTAAAATAACATAAAAAGAGCATTCTCCATGACATAACATAAAAATTAAAAGATGGTACATAGAAAACTATTATTTTTACCTATTGCTAAAACACCTCCTTTTTTCTCATGGACATCATTACTGGAAACCATTTCGAAGATCTGGTGGTTAAATTCGTCGAGGAATTGAGTCAATTCCTCCTGTGGGACTTCTCGGAGTTCCGTCTTCGCAAAATGATAAAGCTCACGGGCCGTCCTGATTTGAACATCGACATTGCGGGACTTTAGTCCCGCAACGAACGCACCTACTTGATTAGACATCTTGATTTTAAATTATTTCATCGTGCACATAGAAATCAAAACGCGTAATTTATCACGCGTTTTTCAGTTCAATATAAAAATAAACAAAGTAGTGGTACTGCTCCACACCAACCCAACACCAAACATAGACTAGAAACTTTTTTTTTTATTACATGTCATTGATTAGGGATGTGAATCGTCGTTTAGTAAGTTACGGTTTTTTGTATTATTTTTTTTTTTGTTGAAAGCAAAATTCTGTAAATTGTTAATTTACTGTAATTTTAAATATTCAACACAAAATTATCTTATACCTTTTTGACTTATTTTAATCAAAATAATAATACTTGATCGCAAGTCTAAAGTGAGCACTCAATAAAATTATCCGTGCTCTATGGTTACATGGCCGATATTTCATTCATTTGGAGCTTCCTTTTCTTTCTGTCGTTTATGGATATCTATATACGGGCGGTCATCGTTGAAGATTTCCGTATAAATTATTAAATGAAGGTGCTATAAGCGTTGATTTTATGAAAAAGCTGTAGGTTATAAATTGTTAAATAATGATCTTACTCGAGATCAATAATAGAATTATAGAAGATACTTTAACAGTTAAATATAAAAATGCACTGGCGCGGTGAGTACGTTACGCTTAGAAAGTGTACTGTTTTTTTTATAAATGTGATGTGTTTAACGAGCATGCAGCCCATTTACACGGATTCTGCCGTACAGTGGCGTCAGTGGAACTGTCTACGAGGGGGTGATTCCTGGCCATAACCCCTTTTCGGATGTAACTTGACAAGTGTCAAATTCCTGGGGTGGGCCCACGTTGGCCGCCGCATCACAGCAGGTCCATATAAATGTATAGAAAAAGGGCACCTAGTGATTTGATGTGTATTATGTCATGTAGTGAATATGACGTGATAGTGGCTATCTCAGCATGGATGAGTCATCAGTTGTTTATTGGTGTTCGGTAGTGTGTGTGCGGATACGTCCCATAATGTTTTTGGATTCCAGTGGTGGTAAACAATGTAATGAATCTGATATGTGATACTGCTATCCATTTGGTATAGTGGAAGAATGCCATGATAATAATGTGGCGACATACTCCAGGATATGAGTAATTCGATGTTGATTTGTCATCCCACAAATATTTATTTATTTATGTTTTTGTTTCCAGCTTAAAGCCAGAGTCAATAGATGTGAAAGTTGCAGATTTTGATGGAGTACTCTTTCATATATCCAATGTGAATGGAGATAAAACCAAAGTTAGGGTATGTGGATTTTTGAATGTAATAACAAGTGCCATTAATACTTTTCCATGCAGTTAATTTGTGCTTAAAGCCTCAGAGTAAATATCTGCTTAAAATGTTATCTTTTACCATCCTTTTTTCCCTCTATGGACATGTAAAAGAGGAAAATAATATATGCCATTTATGTCACTCCAATTATTGTAGGTGATGCCTATTAGATGGGACCTACTAATTTGTTTAAACAACCACACTTGTAACTGGAATAATGTAGAAATTAAGCCTAACATTATATTTGAATGTTCATACTTAGCACTCAATAAACCAAGGTTAATCTATTAGTGTTTTTATCTTTGATAAAGTGGATTAATGTTTGATAGGTGGGTCTGTACTTACTTTTTTAGTGTATTTTATTTGTATTGTTTATAATAACATGGTATCCATATTGTTTGTAGGTTAGTATATCATTGAAGTTCTACAAGCAGTTAGAAGAACATGGAGCAGATGAGCTTCTCAAAAGAGTATATGGACCACTCCTCACTGAGGCAGAGTCAGGTATATATACATCACTTTACTCCCTTCAATGCATTCATGAAATAACTGGATTTTGTGGTAAACCAGGTTCTAAAATAATAACTATAACAAGCATAACACAATTACCTTAAATAATAAATTTAGTTTTTCCTATAAGGAAAACTTCAGTTGGAATACTATAATTCCTATAAGAATCAACATTTATGTCATGCCCCAATAAAGTAGGATGTAATTTAAAATAACAAAAAATATAAACTAACTTATTACTATAATTTATATTATAATATAAATAAGTTCCAATTCAATTATTTGTAATGTCTAAGTCATCTGCACAATTTCCAGTGCTCTACAAAAACTAGTCGTTGAACAGTTGCATAAAATGAAAGCGAGTATGTGAGCCTTGTTTTTATGCATTGCATAATTGCTGGTGTTCAGTGGAGCAGCTATTGTTCCAGTTCAAATATCAACTAAATATATCTCTTATTACTTGTTTTCTGTCACATTTAAGGACAATAATGGGTGTGCCATGTACATTTGAACTTCCTCATAGTGAGTCATATTTTGATTAATAATAGTACTACTTATTGGTACTGAAAAATGTTATGTCAATGTTTGCCTACATAATTTGTTATTATCAAACCATATAAAATCCATTTTAAGAAAAGACTTTTCAAACAAACTCAGTTAGAAAAAAATGTTTTTATTGATCGTGGTCGGAGCATGGAACAAGCTGCCAGAATATGTAATCGCTGCACATAACGTTAACCAGTTCAAAAACAGACTTGACAGATACACAACATTGAATTAACCACTGATAGAAAAATACGATACAGGCATTTATCAGTTGTTTCAACTGCCTGTCTGAATTAAATAAATAAATAAAAATATTCTCAAAAGCAGATAAATACTGAATCTACTTTTTGAAACTTTAGTATAGCATTGACTATTTTTAACTATATAAAAAAGTTGCTAAATTTTTTTTAATGCCATCCTTCATGTTCTCTATTCCCTTGTTTTTACTCTTCCATTATAGGTGTGTCCTACATTTTAAGTACTAGTAGGTCTGTTACAATCTATTGATGTCTAGGCCATCCAGTATCTCATTGAGAAGCAGTATGAACTGTATTTAATTGATCGTACATTTACCATTGCAAAGGGCACAGCAACAACTAAATAGCATTTTATTGACAAAAATATTACTCTTTATTTGTATCCACACATATTGAAAACATATTATGATAAGATTGCAAGTGTGGACAAGTATGGAACACTATTGATAAGATATAAAATGTTTTAATTTTAAACTCGTGGCTTATCTTGACTTGTATTTATCGCTTCAATACCAATTTCGTTTTTCGTTAAATATTTAAAACGTAAAATTTTTCGCATATTCAAAAGATGAAGCTATAAAACACTACAATATCCGTTTATATTAAAAATCACCTTAATGTCTCTAGTATTTATTTATTACTCATATATTTTCAGCTATTATCTTTGCCTTTGGGTAATGTCCACCTGGCAAACTTAGCACAAAAACACCTTGTATTGACCTACAAAATACTTGAACATTATAGCCGGCGGTCAAATCAATCTTCTTTGTTATTAGACAGTCCCCTTTGTAAGGACAATTTGTTAGCATAAAATATTCACTGCCAAATGATAAAGTAGTGCTTTGAACTCTCGTATTGATTAGTCATAAAGCGACACACCTTTGCATAATCATCAAAGTAACTGTCTCTAGGGAAATAGTTATGGAAAAACATGAACGTGACTACTACGCAAGTTACTATGGTATGGAGTATTCTTGTGTCGTTACGTCACTTCCCGATAGAAATTGACCGAGCACAATTAGCATTTCCATATTTATTTTAGAACCACATCTATCGCGAAAGCCATCACAATGCACGAGTCGCTTATACGCCAGTGTAAATAAAAACTGAAGATTTATAGTCGTCTCCTTAAATACTCACTATACTAGCCAATAGATATTTCAACTTAGCGTTTAAAAATATTGATGTAATTGAAGCACATATTTATACTCAAAATTATGTTTTCGGATATGTTGCTTTACAAGTTCTATTGACCATTTAAAATTCCCTCCTACATTACATCTTGTTCCAAGTATTTGATCCATATTTTCTTTTATCTGCAGGTTACAACATCTCTTTGTTACTCGACTTGGAGAACATTCCCGACGACTGGGAAGATGTCGTGAAAAAGGTCGGTCTTCTAAAGAGAAACTGCTTTGCGTCAGTTTTCGAACGTTACTTCCGGCTGCAAGAAGATGGCGATGTCAGCCATAAACGCGCCGTTATCAACTACCGACAGGATGAGACGTTGTAAGTACATAGTTAAATCTTAAATACTACTAATTTAATAGCCCTAAAAATTTACTAGAGTGTGGTGGCACTTCTTTCTGGTGTAATCATAGATCGATAAAGTGACTAAATCCATCTCAACAAGTTTTCTCATAAAATGGTATAAAATTCCAGATACGTGGAAGCGCAAGAAGACCGCGTGACAGTAGTGTTCTCTACGGTGTTCCGACACGAGGATGACATGGTTATTGGCAAGGTGTTCATGCAGGAGCTAAAGGAGGGCCGGAGAGCATCGCACACCGCGCCACAAGTACGTATTAACTGTACTAGAGTCCTCGCTGTCACATCTGATCTGTCCCTCTTGTCAATAGTAGATTACCGGCGCTCCGCAACGGCCGCTTCCCGCGCGACCTAAATCATCATTAGGTCATTGACTCGACGTCATTCAGACTCATTGAGAGCATACTGATTGTTGCTCTTTTTGATTGTTAATGTAATTAATTTTGTGAATATTAACATTTTACAGGGTTTCGAACAGTGATACGATATGAAGTACTTACTTTATGTAAATATTCAAAAGATTTCATTGTATGTATAATAATGCATTCACTGTCTATATTTGCAACTGGCTATCATTAATATTTAATGCATCATTGTTTTATATTTATTCAATTTTTATTTTCAGGTATTGTTTTCACATAAGGAACCGCCCTTAGAACTAATGGACACGGACGCGAGAGTAGGCGACAATATCAGTTATGTTACGTTTGGTAAGTTTATTGAGACGTTTTGTAAATTCTACTTTAATAAACTAGGGTGCCACATTGTAATTTGTAAAGATTGAAGAAAGACGCATAGTCAACAAAAATAAATCTTATACGTATATTTACAAAATAGAAAAGCTTGAAATGTTTTATGAGAATATGTACAATGTACGCGTGTGTTGCAGTGTTGTTCCCGCGGCACACGTGCTCGGCGGCCCGCGACAACACGATCGACCTGCTGCACATGTTCCGCGACTACCTGCACTACCACATCAAGTGCTCCAAGGTGTACGTGCACTCGCGCATGCGCGCTAAGGCCGGCGACCTGCTCAAGGTGCTCAACCGCGCACGTCCCCAGAACACCTCGCGCCCCACCGAGCGCAAGACTATCACGTCAGTATGCCATACCTCCAGCTCTACTGTACGTTCTCTATTATTTACACGCTTCAATTTTGACACCAAGTTATTTTTCCAGTGGAAGAACATTTGTGAGGCGAGACTGAGTGTTGCGCGCCGGCGGGACGTAGGCGCCGACCACAGCTCAGCTGTCACTAGTTACGTTCTCCAGCTAACGCCACCACTCCGGTAACATCTCCCTGCAGGACACTACCACACGGGAGAACTACCCACTTCATACAAACTGCCCACATTCACCCACGAATTAAACATTGTAAGTCACACCTATATCAACCAGAGATATTATTCGAGTGGACGCGTTACCCACGAAGAAACTCCGACAATGTGCGTATTTCATATTATCCAAGTTAAAATGGAATGACATATAAGATAGTTATTTATTAAAATAAATTGTTTGTTTGATTCAAACGTCACAAAGTACTTATTCTTAAAATCATCTTGATGCCATTTCTAAAACAAAATTGCCAAATAAACACAGTTGTGCTCAATGTCTTGTGTACTGCCCATCGACATTTTATATTAGCAAAAGAAATGTGCACATTGTATTTATCATAGATATTTATTGTCAACTCTTCAAGCATAGCGTTAAAGTCAATAAAGTCAATATGGCAATGCGACGCAGAGATCGAATGTTTCGGAATTACAAGCGAGATCGTACTGACGAACACTGGGCGGCTTATAAGGTAGCGCGAAATAGGTGCAATCAGATGATACGCAACGCTAAAAGCCGCCACATTCTTGAAAACATTACTTCTGAGTCTTCTGCCAACATCTGGAAATTCCTTGGAACTCTAGGTATTGGCAGATCGCGCAATTCTGACTTCTCAGTTTCAGTTGGATTAGATGATCTGAATCGTCACTTTTCCTCGACTCACACATTAGATCAGTACACTGAACAACAGACACTGGCCTTCATTTCTGGTATGACGGGCTCTAATACTAGCAATTCTTTTCAATTTGTTCCAGTTGCACCTGAGGAGATCGGTAAGGTAATACTATCCATTAAATCGAAGGCGGTGGGATGTGATAATATATCTCGTTTCATGATCACCACAATATTGGATCACATCCTACCGGCGATTTCCCATATAATAAATTTCTCTTTGTTTTCCTGTACTTTCCCATCCTTGTGGCGGAGAGCATATATTCGGCCGCTTCCTAAAGTCACCAACCCCACTGTTCCTTCTCATTTTCGTCCCATTTCTATCCTTCCTTTCCTATCCAAGGTGCTCGAGGCCTGCGTCCATCGACAGTTTTCCGGTTTTATATATCGGAACTCACTTATTTCACCACTGCAATCTGGATTCAGGCCTGGTCATAGCACTGTCACTGCACTCCTTAAAGTGACTGGCGATGTTAGGGCAGCAATGGAGGACGCCAGGGTGACTGTTCTGGTGCTGGTAGATTTCTCTAACGCCTTTAACATGGTCAGTCACAATATCCTCTTAGCTGTCCTGGCCTATCTGTCGGTCTCTGATGGAGCACTGGAATGGTTCTCTTCATACCTTCGTGGGCGTCAGCAGATGGTGCAGGTTGATGATACGTCATCGGGCTGGGCCACACTGCACAATGGCGTTCCACAGGGCGGCATACTTTCTCCTCTTCTGTTTTCTATTTTTATCAATCTTATAACTTCTGATCTTCAGTGTGCGTATCATCTATATGCTGACGACTTACAGGTGTACTGTCACGGAGTAGTGGCTGAACTGGACCAGTGCATCGCCAAAATCAACCGTGATTTGGCTGCTATTGAGAGTTGGTCCGAGAGGTTTGGAATCGCTGTCAATCCTGACAAATGTCAAGCGATTATTATTGGTAGTAGTAAAAGTATGGCCAAAATCAACTTCACTATACTACCGCCCGTACTGTACAACGGGACGCCTGTCCAATATAGTGAGAGCGTCAAGGACCTGGGTATACATATTGACAGTACCCTCAGTTGGCGAAGTCAAGTTGCCAGTGTAAGTCAAAAAGTTACCGGATCGCTGCGGTCTCTGTACCGTCTCAGAAATGTATTGCCTCCCAGCACTAAGGCGATGCTTGTGCAGACCTTAATTTTCCCCATCATCGATTATGGTGATGTGTGTTACTATGACCTGAATGCAGATCTTCTCAACAAACTTGACCGTCTTCTAAATAACTGCATTCGATTCGTTTCTAACCTGCGTAAATACGACCATGTGTCTGCACAGCGATCATTGTGAAATGGTTGCCTATTCGTCAGCGCAGAGAGCTAAGGGCACTCACAACTTTATTTTCTCTGCTTGACTCTCCCAATTCTCCTAACTATTTAACTTCACATTTCCAGTATGTATGTGACAACCATACTAAAAATCTACGCTCCTCGCATAATCGGCTATTGCACTGTCCTGTCCATCGCAGTAACTTTACTCATTCTTCTTTCTTCATTCAAGTCATTTCTCTCTGGAACACGCTTCCAACGAATGTCAGAACCGCAACCAGTCGTCTGAGTTTCAAGCGGAGGGCGCGTGAGTACATTAGCGGAAAGCTGGCAGTTTCATAACATCTTTCATAATTTTTCATCTTGTTGTAACATAGGACAAATTCATATACGAGTCACAAATATATTTATATGTATAATGATATTTATATTATATATAATTATATATATCTATACGATTATATTTACGTATTTTATGTATGCTTTTGATACCCTTTTTTTTTTAATTTGGATAATTACCACTATTTCTCATAACAGTTTTGCAGCTTACCACCTACCACATACATTTCTGCACTACCCAAAGGATGACTGGCAGAGAATGCTGTTAGCATTAAGTCTTCCTTATGCAATTGTATAGAACTTTTAAAAAAAAAAAAAAAAAAAAAAAAAAAAATAAATAATGTTGCCGTAGTTCTTGTTGATAACAAAATTATGCTTTATTATTACGAGAGTTCTATTTATAGCGGTGGCACTGCGACATCCAAAACTTGGGTTCCTAAAATGTTAGCATACACCCTCATTACATTGTTACGCGTTAGATAACCGTAGTGTCCATCGAGAGCGATCTTGTCTTGTAGCTTACGTAATTTTGTTGTAAGTTATGACATTACCAATCCTCATGTAGGGTAAAGTGTATTATAAAATCTAGCCTATACTTACCGTTTCGGTTGACAAACTTGTAAAAATGTATATCACTGAAAATATCGAGACAGGTATCATGCACAAAACTCGTACGAATTATATTCAATTAATAATTTTTACGCCACTCCTATGTTTAGTTTAATAATGCTACGCAATATATACGAACAATAATTTTAATAAGAGTTTCACCTTTATGTTTTAGGTAGGTCCGATTCAATTATAATGTAAGTGAAAGTGTATAGTATTTCTCAATAGATTCTTCCATAGTCAAAACGAACTCTAAGAAATCATAATGGCCTTATTTATGATAAAGGTTGAGTTCAATTTGCAATTTGTTTACGAGGCCGCCGCGTGTCGGTGCTTCGAATCGATAGAGTCGCTAGTTTAGAACATGATACACTATGTATCTAACGTTGTAAGTGCAATTCGATTGTTTACACACCACTTTTTTATTCCAAATTGCATTTTTAGTTTTAGGCAGAGAATATAAACTCTATAAAAATACTTATTTCTAGCAAAAATTTATTCACGATTTAAGACTATTTTGAGTATAGTTAGTTTCGTCCCATAGCTAAACAAAACACTTCTCATTCGACGCAAGTTTGTATTCTGTTCGTATCATATTTGCACCAACATCAATAATTGCTCAAAGTATTGTGAACACCAAGAGGCGTGGATATCGAGTGAACAATAGAACAACTTGCATTACGGGAGATGATGCGATGTCTAGTGTTTAAGATACGATTAATAAATTATTACCTGTGTCTGGATGAGAGTGGTAAAGTTATATTGAGTCAAGGACTGAGAGGTTAGGCTATCTAAAGTGTGTCGAGTCAGTGGGATTACAATAAAATTTTAATATAATACACTAAGTCAGAAAATGAAATGTTAGTGACATTCAACCTGAAATTAATTTGAAGGTTCTCAAAGCAACATTGAATATAATTAAGAAGGAACGTAATACAAGTATGTAGAACGATTTAACTATTTAATAAAACTTAGCTAACTTGAATTTATGTAATTTTTATTTGCAAGATGTATTATTTATGTATTATAAAGTGTAAGTTAAATGTTGCTTTAAAGTTATTGCTTACATTGGACAATTATTGTTTTTACTGTCAGTTTTAATGCGAGATTATGTAAACAGCGCAGAATACCGAAGTTATTTGTGAATATGTAATTATTCTTGTGATTTAAAATCCGTTTATACTGTATTTTTTATTTTCTAGATTAAAGAAAACTTACTGCATTTTAAATTTTATTTTATTTTTCCTATAACAATATTCTACTTAAATATAAATATTATAATATCAACTGCACAATAAGCATAATAATTTATTAATAACCTTATCAATACATTTAGAACTCCATCTTGTTTCCCGAGGGTGTGGGCGATGTTGGTGACTTGGGTTGTCCTAGTTTGGAGATAGTTGCAACTTTGGACGCAAACTTTACAAAACTAAGACCCGACGCTTGAGGCTCCGGTTTCTGCCCGCCTTCTGGCTGGAATGACGCGTCCAATGAACCTGTAAAAACAACAAACTTATTTACTTAGGTCGTAGTCCAAAGTACCTAATTATTTATTGAAGTGCCGTGGTACCACAAAATATAGTAAGAATAATAGTAATTTATTTTTACCGACTTCAAAAATGTAGGAGGTACTCGACTTCAAAAATGTAAGAGGGACTATGTTCGGCTGATTGCTGTTTTTATTTTTTCTAGAATACTTGATCAGTAATTATTTTAGTTGGGCATGGAAAATACATTAATTAATTGGTAATGTGGCAAGAGTCGAGGTCTTACACTACTTACTTTGTTGCGGTGACATGATAGAGCTTGGCTGCGATCCCTGTTGATTTTCTCCCTCCATGTTAATAGCAGTTTGTTCGTGCAGTATATCCAACGCTGTAATACGTAAGAACAATGCCAGTTAGACTCTGATATAAAATATTTTATTATCTTATCTTTAGACGTTGTTTAGTGCAAATAAATCTAAAGTAGTGGTTTGGTCATTTGACTGGTGGCAAGCAGTCGTAGGTATGGTGATGTTTGTTTAAAAATCAAGATATTAGGTTTGTTTGTTTGTTTCCTTGTGATAGTAAAAGTGTTATGAAAACCAGCAGTAACCGTGCAATACCTACTGAAAACTGACAAACTGAATATGGTATAGTATAGGTGAAATGTACCACTATACCATATATACCACTTACGGTAGCAATAAACGGGTGTAAATCTGCAACAACTGAGGCATCACGAGTGCGGTGCCGGCCACCGAAAATGTAATAACACCATTTTTCAAGAACCTTATGCTGCAACTCGTAGTCTAAGCCCTTTTTTACAGAAGGCAAATATTACCTACCATCTTTTAACGACATCGCGTCCATTTTTGCATCTTGTATGGTCTCTAACTTCGAACGGAATTTATTGGTGAGCTTTCGCCTCTGATAGTCAGCTTCGATTTGTTGTTTCGTGCGAGGAATACGGAACCGGAAACAACAGCATACGATCACGACTGAAATAAATCGAATAGTAAATCCATAATATTGATCCGTTAAAAATGTTAACCTCTGGTTTAAATTACTGATTTGTAATGAACGGGATGAAATGAAGGTATAGTACTTACTTAGAGAAGCAACACTTGCTAAACACAGAAACATAATTTGCCATAGTCTCAGATCTCCCACCACATTTCTTTCAAGCCATTCTGGTTCTTCTGAATTATTAATAATATCCATAATTGGGTCCATGATCTTGATTAAAAATGAACAGCTATCGTGTTAAACAATACGCGGTCGCACTGACTCCAACTGAGTTAGGAACTAATTACTATTTCAAGGAGTGGTTCTATGCCACACCTAAAAATATCACCCCTCGGCACTCCCGTTGTTTCTATCATTTTCTTTTACTCTGTTAGCAATTTTTTATTGAGAAATGTAACACATACTTACTTACCAAACCATTTGACGTGGTCAGTTTTACTTATTGTTACATAAACTATATAAATTAATTAAAACAAAGCTGTTAAAACACTAGATAATCTACCTATAAAATTTTGCATCAAGAATAATTTATTTGAATGTTCGCGCCAATCATTCCCTATAGCTACAGAAATAATGATTGTTGCCAATCTCAAAAGTTTTCTAAGTAGTACAGAGCAACCAAGGGTGTAATTTAATGTTATTCTCTGCACATTTTTTATTTTGTACTAAAGAATCAATAAAAATAAGGGGTGAAAAAATTAATCATTGTTATATATTTTAATAAATGTTCAATAATTATATTGAGTAAAACGTTTGAACATTTCTCTTTAACAACATATGTACGTATTGATTACGAAATTACATTCAAGAGATGTATTTGAAGAATTTAAGGATAAATACTAACTTATATAGCTATTTTTTACTTGCTTGCATAATATTTTGTCTCGTAGACTTGGCCTACCGCGCCATCAATTTTATGAATGAAATTCATGGTGGTTTAGTATTTTTTTTAACACTGACAACATTTATTCGTTTTTCTCTTTCGTTTGAAGACTGTTTCACTTTCCCGCAGAAAATAGGGTGTCGAATCTGTCCTATAACCTCCGTTATATTTATTACTATTTAAAGATCGAAGATGCATCTTTTATGATAATTGTGGATTAATTCATGTAAAGGTTGTTCTAAGTGATGTTGTGTAAGATCGTTTGTGTTCTTGCGATCACTCTGTAGCGTTTTAAAAAATTAAACATGGCCTCGAACCGAGGAATTCAGATTGGATCCGCGTGGTTTCAACGGAAACTGAACTTGAGGCCGCAGCACCGGGGCGTGCACCTCGTCACTGAGGAGATCCTCAAGCAGGTGCCGGAGCTCTCGCAATTTGCAGTCGGTCTCTGCCATATCCAGAGTGAGTATCTGCTGCCTTGACAGCATTCCTGTCTTGCCGCCGATGTTGCATCCTTGCCGACTGTCATATTTATCCTTCTTATTAAAATCTCGCGCTGTTTTACAATGCATAGGATGTGAAGTGTTACAAGAAAATTTTGTTGTGAAATCTCAGCAACGTGATAGTCGCGCGGTAGCCAGCTGATCAATGAATGTTGTTTCCAGTAATGCACACATCGGCAAGTCTCGCGCTCAACGAGAGCTGGGATCCTGATGTTAGAGATGATATGGAGATGATGCTCAATAAAATAGTGCCGGAAGGCTTGCCTTATCGACACTCATGTGAAGGCCCTGACGACATGGTGAGTGTTTGTTGTGCTAATCATTCATCAATTTTTATTAACCTATCGCAGTCATACTGGCATTAACCTTTACTGCAGTGTTAAATTTGAATTTGGAATGTTTTTATTTAATTTGCAAGTGAATTATTTTGTTCTATCAATACATAACAAATGAAGTATGCATCTAAGCTATTTGCTACATTCCTGCCAGTATGTTCTGCATTGGCTATAACTTTAAATCATTTATTATGTATTGCTAATTAAAACATAACTTGGCTGTGTGCAATGTTTGGATTGCAGCTATGGGATCATATTTACATACACTGCTACAATATTTAACAAATAACCATCAGTATTTGTTGTAAAGATGTTTATGTCCTTGAGCATAATATTGTATGTATTCTAGTTATGCCTCTACTTATGTATTAACATTAGTATATCAGTGCTAAAGTGATGTTAAAGGCTATTTGATATGCAACAATAACCTTGCACTGTTTCATTTCATGATAACAGAGGTTAAACTGATCGATTACTGTTTTGCTTATACCGAACAAGGCACATTATTATTTGAAAAGGAGTATCATACAAAAATATATTTATGTACAAGTCACATAACATTAGTGTAGTACTAATAGAACTTATAATTAATGCACTTTAATGTTATCTCACAGCCTGCTCATGTGAAGGCATGCTTCCTGGGATCCTCACTAACAATCCCCATAACTGATGGCAAGCTGAACCTTGGCACCTGGCAAGGAGTTTGGCTCTGCGAACATAGGAATCACGCTGGCAGCCGAAAGGTAATTAATCTCATACTAGTTTATTTTTCCTTTAAACTTTAGGGTGATGATAAAACTTCATTAGGTACGATTGTACGAGATATGGCAATGGTTTGGGTAGTTATTATATTTAACTTAATATTATAACGACCAGCACTTATTAACTTTTGTCCTTCAAAGAATTTACGAGATCTGCATATTCTTAATATAATCTAATAAAGACACTCACTTTTTACCTGTTATGTTGTTAGTACCATCTGATAGGATATTAGTTGTTACCCAAATCTTTGCTTTAAGAGATAGTTTGATGACTACTGTTTATTTGACTCATTATGCCATTTTGCGAATTCATGCAGGTCTCCTCTATCATAAAGTGATGCCCTGAACATTGGTATCATTTATTAATTATAATCAGAATATGATATGATCCTCAGCTAACAATATTTATGAAATAGAACAAGAATTTCAGCACATTTAGAATATATTTAGATCGAGAACAATCAAACAAGAGTTGACTTTATAAGTGCTTGTTCTGTGAGATTTTAATGTAACTTGGAAACAGACAATGTTTGTGCATAATAATAATAATAATAATAATAATAAGCCCGCAGGGCACCTTGAGGCGAGGTGACGGGCATTAGCGATCCCGCGGGCTACCATCATCCCGAGTGCTCCAGGGAGAGGTCACCGTTCCTTCTTCTCCGGCTTGCCTTAATTGGCTGGCTGGAGTGAAAGATGACAAGGAACAGGTCTCCCACCTCTGGCTTGCCTTCATTGGCCGTCCAGAGTGGAGTCGCGAGAGCAGTGAACCTGCTCGGAGGGTAAGAAACTATTCGTAAGTCGCGAGTGGGCCAGGGATGCAGGAGGCTTCGGCTGGAGCAGATGATCTGAGTAGAAAGCGGTGGTAGTTTCTTAACCCTTCAGCCACTCACATTCTCGTTGCCCCTCTGTTGCTATATCTAGCAACCATTTCCGGGGCCCGGTCGGTGAGTTGGCGAGTCTCCGCCTGCCATTTTTACGTGTAAAAATTACATTGTTTCGGCAGGTGTCATAGTCATCCATAGTTCCCAATTTACCAGTCTACAGCAACCCATCCATAGCCCTACCTTTTTTTTCCATTATTCACAATAGTCCTACACTAACCGGGGACTGCCCTTGGGTGCATTTCCATAGTGCATACAGGGATAGTCGCCGGTTTGTGTGTCCATTACATTTATATTATAGTTGTCTAAAGGGCCTCTGCGCAGTTGGCTTCGGCCCCTCGTACGCCTCCCAAATGACCGGGACCCTGTGGTCCCGTGAATGGTAAAGACATACATAATAATAATAATTCTTTATTTGCATAAAACATGGTATAAATGGTGTTACAATAATTATTATAAAGAGCTTACATGTTTTGCCAAAATTGTATTTAGCATGCAAATCTTTCACTTATAAAATATGTAGTATTAAAATTTTCTGTCCATAAATTCTTTAAGACAATAGAAATTATTCGTATTCAACCAAGCAAACAGTTTATTCTTAAATAATCTAAAATTTAATTTTTTTAAATCACTCGGTATCTTATTATATATACGAACACAATTACATAAGCAGCTTTTACTATACTTATTAAGCCTGGCAGTATCATCTAGAACTAGTCTATGTGGGTCACGCCGGTTCCTAGGATTAACATCATTGACTGATTTAAACAAAGTTTTATGTTTATTAACGAACATGCATATTTCATAAATATAGAGGGATGGCAATGGTAACAAATTTAGTTTTTTAAATATGGGTTGACACGAGTCCTCCGGTTGCATCCCGAACATTGCTCTAATGCATTTTTTTTGAGCAACAAAAGCTCGGTGCATATCTGTGCTATTTCCCCATATTATAAGCCATAGCGCAGTAGCGATTCCACGTATGCACGATAGGTCATAATGGCTGTTTTTAAGTTGGTTACATTTTTTACTTGTTTGAGAGCATATACAAATTTATTTATTCTCTTTGAAACATTATCTACATGCTCTTTCCAGTTTATATTCTCATCTATTATTACGCCTAAAAACTTTGTCTGTACCACTTCTTTAATTTTGGATATGTTAAGTTTAATATTGTATTTTGAATTATTACATTTATTAAAGTTGATATATACGGATTTATTAAGATTTATTTTAAGATTATTAGTGTCGAGCCATTGTATTAATTTTCCTATAGTGTTATTAATTTCATTCTCGTGATTATTTATACCATTATTACATTTTTCTGTTGTTATAATAATACTAATGTCATCAGCGAACAATATACAATGGTGATTGGTTATATTAATAATGTCATTTATATACAATAAGAACAGGATAGGGCCCAGTACACTTCCCTGTGGTACACCATATTTATTGTGCTTGTATTCTGAAGAAAAAGGCACCTTATTCTGACTGTCGTCTATTCTATCAATGATGACACGTTGTAGTCTGTTACTAAGATATGAGGCTATCCACTGAAGTGTAGGACCCCTAATGCCAACTAATTCAAGTTTTTCGAGTAACAAATTATGGGAAACTAAGTCAAAGGCTTTTGAAATGTCGAAAAATAGCCCATAAAGAAATATGAATTGTAATGCGGGGTGGTATGCAATGTCTGCCGGAAGCATATTAAACGCCAGAATACTTTATGTGGCTTTACCTAGCTTCTTTGGGCTCGCTGCCATTGCAGCGGTAAGTCCCCTCTTTGAGGAGTGGCTTGAGAGACGCTACGGCGTCCTCACCTACCGCCTGACGCAGGTCCTCACCGGACATGGAAGTTTCGGGAGGTACCTGTGTCTGATGGGGCGGGAGGAAACGCCCGGGTGTCATCACTGCGAGGACCGCCCTGAGGACACGGTGGAACACACCGTAGCGGAATGCCCTGCGTGGGCTGAGCACCGCCGTGCCCTCAGGGAAGTGATCGGCGATGGCGACCTCTCGCGTCCGGGCCTAGTGCAGGCCATGATGCGGAGCGAGGGGGACTGGGATGCCGTCTCCTCCTTTTGCGAAGCAGTCATGCTAGCTAAGGAGGAGGCGGGACGCGTGAGGCAGCGAAGCGCTGCCTCCTCGCGACCCAGCCATCGCGAAGGACACACCGGGCGTCGGGGATCGCGGGACGATCTCCGGCCACCGTAAGCGCGGGCCTGCGGACGGCGAGCATGGGTGGCTCCCCGTCCGACCAGAAACAGACCCGAGCGTACGGCGCGTCGCGTTCCGCGCGCGCCTCAAAGAGCCATCAGACCACCACAGATGGGGCCCAATAGGGCCGATGCCGATTCGGAGTCGCGGAGAACCTAACGGGTAACCGGGGCTCCGGCTCGACGTGCAGGAGAAGGAACGGGGTGGTTTTTAGTCAGTAAGAGTCTGACACTCCCTTCCGCCTCACCCAGGCGGGAGCAGTCATTCGATGATTTTCCCCCCTTAAAAAAAAAAAAAAAAAAAAAACCTAGCTTCTTGGACATGCTTTATACTATTTACACATTTGTTGTTTGTATGCAGGTGGTAGTGACGCTGTCAGGGTGCCCCCGTGACTCCCCCCTGTCGCCTGTATCGGCCGCGTCGTGTTCCAGTTAGGAGGGGGGGGGGGCGCGACCCCCCAGACTCACTCTCACTCGCGCCCCTCCTCCAAAAACACGCGGAGGTAAACCCCGCGCCAACACCTTTTATATCCCGCACTTAGACATAGTTATAAATCTTATCTTCGAACGACAATATGTACATAAGATAAATATTTTGTAACGCTTCGCGAGCCACCTCGCGCGGGACGCCGTCACGAGCCCCGGCCGATGCAGGCGCGGCGACGGGGCCGAGCTCCTGTTTGTAATATAGCGTCCTAGGAATTGAAGGCGCCCTGGCGTCAAGCAGCTCACTGCCGCGTCCCGCAGCGAGGTGCCCCGCGACTTCTGAAACATTGTAATGTTATGTTCAGCCGGTAGAGCTGAGCCCGTTGAACTTGTACATATACATGTGCGATGGTTTTAAAGTATACATAAAGTAATTGTTGTTTTGTTATTGCAACTCGTCGATATAATGTACATAGATCACGCGTGGACGTTCTGCTTCGTAGGTTCGGTTCGGTCGTGGAGGAGGTTCATGTGGCACCGAGTTTCACCATTATAATCACATTCTACTATGTTAGGACAAATTACGAGATAAGGAGAAATGATTTGGATGGATCGAATATTTTTCACTACTGCACTCGTTTAAATTTTTTCAATGTACACTGGAAGACACAATATTTTTTAACATGACAGCACATTAGACATTTTTATGAATTCGGACACTCATTTTATTCACCAATTTTGTATGTAATCGCACTGGTTAATGGTCAGTTCGTGTAAGATTTAAGAGCTGAATGTAGGTTTACATAGATAAGTACTTTGTACGTGTACGATAGCTCCCTTCTCTCTCCGTGTTAGGTTAGACCTTATTAACGATTAGTACGTGGAACATGTCCATAGCTTTAATTGTGTCACGCCCGTTGTATCAACGGGTCCTTCGCGGGATGACAAAGAGCTAACATTTGGTACCACTAGTTAGTAGTTGTATATCATTACTGTTAAGATCATGTAAGTGCCTCGGATTTATGGGGTGGTCATGTATAATTTGCAGACTCGATTCCGAGACTAGGTATGTGAGTCGTGTTAGACAGACTGAACCAGGGCAGAGACTCCGCTCGCTGACGCCGTCGGGTGTTCCGGTCCCACACATCTGTTGCAACGTTTACATTATTTATTACGTGGTTTATATTACACACAGCTGCAATAATCTCTTTGATTACTAAATGTACTAAATCATAGTTAAAATTAATTTCGCGATGTCTATAAAGGCGTATATGTATAGTTGTATGTCTTCCTATGTAAGTTCCATCACATAAGAACAAGTTAGCGTAACGTGTCGGAATAATGTAACAATGTGAACGGTATTAGGGTATACAACCATCACCTATATCCGGCCACATCTATATAAATTAGATAATGTATTGAAATTATCGCGATAGGGGCTCTAAATTGAATCTAAATTTGGGCATAGTCATTATTATACATAGTTATCTGGTGGAGTAACAAGTAGCGGGTGTTTTATATGATACGAGTCGTAGTGGAAATTACATAATGTAATTCATTCACTAATTTTTACAGGGTTGAAAACCTTGTCGTTTTACAGGAATTTATAATATTCATTCCATGTTCGACATTCCATCATCAGCGGAACTAGTGACGTGGCCGGGGCCGCTGGTCAGCCAGTCAGCCACCGCTCCACCGCTCGGTCGAGGGCTGGTGGCCGGCCGGGTGGACAGCGGCTCGCGGCGCGCTTGCGATTGTTTCGTTGCGTTCGGCTTTAGATGTCCCATTGAGATCGCTTGTGTGGCACAATTTTACACTTAAAAGTTAGTTAGGAGTTAATAAATTATAAATAGTAGGGTACCGTTGCGTTAAGTAAATATGAAGCGGTGTTGACATGGCACGCGACACGCGACCCGCCGCGTCACGCCGCGCACTCCTTGTTTTGATACCACATTGTACAAAGTGTAGATGTCACGTCGCCGGCGGTGGTACGGTCCATCTCATGGACTACTTAGACTTACTTCACTTAGGGAGCTTGTTGTACGTTCATATTCGGGCTTTTGATAGATTCACGTTAAACTTTACGATTTTTTAAGTTTTTTGAAATCATATAGACATAGGAAATGTTTTTGGAATTATCTAAACAGCTTTATAAAGCTTAATTATGCTTCGATTGAATATTTATATTGTTTATAAGTTCTCAGTATACAATTTATACCTACTACGCATGATCAGTGTATGTACTATGTAACAATTGAATAATTTCGCTAATTACACTTCTTGTTTTTACTGCTTTTGTATGTTTACATCGATTATTTTTATTGCTTTTTCTTATTATTTGAGTTGTACTCACGGGTGTGTGAAAAGGGTTGGCTATTAAGTGCTTTTTAAAACAATTAATTAAGGAAATGTAAATATTTTTTGCATTAATATAGTGTACATGTACGTTTATCCATGTACATAATGGTTCATAATGTAAAAATGTTCAAGTGCTATATGTGTCTGGGTGTTATGTATGACACTAACATGAAGATTGCCTATTTGTTATGTTGATTTAAAGTTCGGATTAAAGTTTCTTTTTAAAGTCATTATGAAATATTAAAATAATAATAATGAAATGCATACAATACATTTATAGTAAAAGGAAAATCCTATTTAGTACATAAGTTTCCAAAGACGTGAAGCGACTGGTTCGCCTAGAGTAACGAACATTCCTTTTTGTTCCGACATTACCAGTACCGGGGCATGTTTTGTTGTTCCGTGGTAACGTAGGTTAGAGATGTCCCAAGTTAGGCTGTTCACTAACAACGAATGTGTCTAGTGTATTACCTTTAAGTGGACTCCCAACTCACCATCCCCAATGTTTAGTAACTTGTACAGCAATACGTAATGACGTAACCACAATTGTTATCAGACACATTAACTCAACTTATTATTATCTATCAAGTGTTTGTTTGTTCTATGATGATGTATTCTATTTTCAATGTTCATAATTATATAATGGAACAGTTCAATAAATTAGGGCACGGATTTTATCAAATTATTTACTTACGTATTTAATGGATCAATAAGCATAATTCATTTGTTGTATTAAATATTAATTGCACATAGGAAAATGAGGTTGTATTCAGGATTAATAAAATAACCAAAAAACGGATGACAAATAATAATTTGTGTGTATATTATTTAAGATCAATAATAAAAATGAATATCAATATTATGATTGTACAGTACAGTTGATTCAACATTTCTTAGAGTATTCCTGTCAGTTGTTTATTGTTAATTTTACACGTTCACTTGTAAGTGACGTTGGGATATCTGTCACAATAAAATTTCATTGTATCATATAACTTGTACAATATAAATATATAGATCCACAATTATAAAAGAGATTAAAATATTTGCAAAAGTTAATATCGCAAGAGTTTTATTTCACTTTCGTACATATCACCTCACATCAGTCGACTTACGATTAATATCTAAGCGGTAAGAACTTATCTAATTGTTAATTAAATATTTCTATGTTATTTGGTATCAGTTATTTATTTATGGTAATTTCTCTTCGCTTTCAATCTTGTGAGGTCCGGGGCCGGCGTCTGAAAAGTTTAACGAAGTCTCATTAAGGTCGAATCGTGTGCGGAAATGATCACTAATTGATCATTACGGAACTTTGGTTTGAATGCACTCGTAAATGTAATTTGACTGTAGTTACAGTTATTATTAGGTAGTCTATTAGTTAGGTACCTTTAGTGGTAGGTGAGGCCGTGGTGGGCTTAGTAGACTGGTTGAGTACTTTCGTGAGGCCGAGCGCCATTTGTCGGAACTCGCGGGTTGCTACCGAGAGTTCTCCAATCACGAAGTTAAGGTTCGTCCCTAAATCAACAATGCGTGTCGTGATGCCGTCCATCTGGGAACAAAAAGAATCCGGTTAATTAAACTCATACAGCTTATTGCAATACCATAAAGGTCGTTAGCTTACCTCCTTTTTCATTTTATCCATTTTCGGTGTACTGGCATTAACGTACTCCTCTGAGAATGCCTGTGAATGTATGTAAATATTAGCTAGTTTTTATTTCAATTTAATTAAGCAAGTTGTTAACTTAATTGCGTGGTCTTTTAAACGTCGCAATACTTATAGGACGGTAATGTGTAGGGCACGTAGGGCGCAGTGTCCCTTTGAGACTTATTCAACAGTCGGGTTTACATTGCAAACGCTAAGTATTAGTTTTAACACAACTTCAAGGCGTTGTGGCATGCCAATTTAAAACAGAAAATGTTAATTATTGCTAGAAAAAAGCTATATTCTTACCAAATAAACTTTGTCATGTTAAAATTGACCATACAACAACAAAAATAAATAGTTAAACTTACTGAGAGTTTGTTCAACGCCTGGCTGCTCATCATGATTTGTTGGTGCATAATGCCGATCTGCCGCCAGACTTGTGACATCTCCGATTCGATCTTCGATCCTAATGTGTTTAGCGCGATAGTCTGTTTGTTCGATATTGTTGTTTCAATGTTTTCTAATCTGTAATAGACTCATATTATGATCTTTACCTGATAAAGGTTAAAATCTTCAATGTATTATAACTTAAATTTCCTTTTATTTTATTTTTTCGATCATTAACTATTTATTTCGAAACACCAAAAAATGTCTATCTTGTACAATAATGAGTTACTTAGTAAGTAATACGTGTTAAAAATTAAGTAGAATCTTCAATTGAACTGACCGCAAGCGGTTGTGTGTGTCAGCTGACTAGCGATAAGCTGCTGCGCGACGTGTTGCATGATGAGTAGGAATGATTTTTGGATAGCAGTACAGAAGTAGCAGCTGCTACTTCTGTACTGCTATCTGCATTGTGAGGAAAATACTAAGTTTTCTACTCACTTGACATTGACAGTTTTGTTCATGGTCTTGTGTTGTTGTTTGATGAGTTCGCCGACTTCCATCAGTATCTGATGGACTCCGTATTCAAACCGTTTCTTGATGGCTACGACGTTATCCGCCGT